GTAATTTTTATATTGATTGTGTATTGACATAATATTTTGGAGATGTTGGCTAAATAAATTATTAACATTCATTTTACCTATTTCTTTTCACTCTAATGTGGATACTAGGACATTTGGAATTATGGATGTGAAATGCATTGTAGTTCTATCAGACAGTTAAATGCCTTCAAGGTTTGATGAAATTAGTTTATAATTAGAATAGCCCCCCCCCCACCACCAGGGGTGCCTGGGTGGTTCAGTGGGTTGAGCGTCTGACTCTGGATTTCGGCTCAAGTTGTGATCTTGGAATTGTGAGATTGAGCCCCAAGTCGGGCTCTGCGCTGGGCATGGAGCCTGCTTAGGATTCTCTCTCTACCTCTCCCTCTGTCCCTCCCCCTCGCCTCCTTATGTGCTGTCTCTCTCAAAAAAAATTGCAATGCCCCCGACCCCTGAGATCCCTACCTCCCCCATGGGACTCTTAAGGTCCTTATCACCTGCTCCAATGTTGTATAATTTATGTCTCTGGCAATTTATTGCTTACTGTCTGCTCCTTTTGTGAGAACATGAGCTCCAGTAAGGCAGAGTTTTGCTATTTTGCTCAGTGATGTAGCCCCAAGTGCATGGAATAGTGCCAGGCACATAGTAGGTGCTCAGTAAATGGTGAATGAACGAATGAATGTAGGCATACGAAGTATGGGGGTTCCACTGTCTTCTAATTTTTCTAGAAAAGCTCCAAATACAGATTTTCATGTATAATCTCCAGCTTTTTAAAAGATTTCATTTATTCATTTTGGAGAGAGCACAAGCAGGGGAGAGAGGCAGAGGGAAAGGGAGAGAGAGAGAGAATCTCTCAAGAAGACTTCCTGTTGACGTGGAGCCTGATGTGGGGCTGGATCTTACAACTCCTAGATCATGACCTGAGCCGAAATCAAGAGTCAGACTCCCAACTGACTGAGCCACCCAGGCGCCTTAATCCCCAGCTTTTTATTTATTTATTTATTTATTTATTTATATTTATTTATTTTTTAAAGATTTTATTTATTTATTTGAGAGAGAGAGAGAGAATGAGAGAAAGAGAGCACGAGAGGGAAGAGGGTCAGAGGGAGAAGCAGACTCCCCGCCGAGCAGGAAGCCCAATGTGGGACTCGATCCCAGGACTCCAGGATCATGACCTGAGCCGAAGGCAGTCGCTTAACCAACTGAGCCACCCAGGTGCCCAATCTCCAGCTTTTTAAATATTGTAATTCTGCATTGTGTGGGCCAAAAGAAACATTTCTGTAGCATCCAGTCCTCTCTGGTCTAGAGGATTCTGGAGCCTGATACACACTAGGCCAGGTGAGGAACGGTCTATTGGAGGGAGTGCCAAGCAGGCCCCTCAAATCTGGCCTGTCCCAGAAAACTTGCCCCTTGTGGGCCAACGTGGATCTAAGGGTCTCTCGTGGGTGGTGATTAAGGGACATCCCCCATCTCGTGCAGCCCCTTACCTGTGGTGTGTCTATAGCCTGTAGCTTCAGCGGTCATAGCATGGGTGGGGACCAACAGAGGACTTTCCCTGTGGCCAACACAACCCTTCCTCTTGGGCAGGCCAACATTTGACCTCTCTGTCCCTTAGGTCCTCCATAACAGCAATAAATTTTGCTCTAATGGGTGAAGACAGACAGCTCAGGGCAGTGGGCTGGTGCAGGAAGGGCTGGGGGCTGTACTGGAGGGGGCTGCAGGCTTGCAGCAGAGTCCGGACTGTCCTCTGGTCTCTCTGCATGATCTTAAGTAAGTCCCTTCCCTTTTCTTGTCCTCAGTTTTCCCTTCTGTACAGTGAGGGCTTGGAACCAGCTCGGCATCTCCAAACCCATCCCCCGGGTGGCTGGGTCCCCCTGCAGACTCACTGAATTATAATTTGGGAGGGCGGCGGGTCTTCTTATTGAGACCTCCCCTGGCCACCAATTTAAAACAGCACCCTCCTCCTTCCTACCTTGTTCCTCTGTGTTATTCTCCTCTTTGGTGCCTATAACCATCTGGTTCACTCTATATTTTATGCTGATTTTGCTTTTTGCCACCCTCTCCTTTCCTGCTGGTATGTAAGCCCCATGAAGGCAGGGATTTTTTTTCCCCTCAGTTATCAAATTTTTTTTTATTAACATAATGTATTATTTGTTTCAGGGGTACAGGTCTGTGATTCATCAGTCTTGCACAATTCACAGCGCTCACCATAGCACATACTCTCCCCAGTGTCCATCACCCAGCCACCGCATCCCTCCCACCCCGCAAGGCAGGGATTTTTTAAAATATCACCTTTACTGAGGAATAATTGACAGAAAACACAATTTAGCAATTTTAAGTGCACACTTCAATGAATTGTGACAACTGTATACAGCCTTGTGACCACCACAACAGTCAGGATATAGAAGTGACATCACCCCAAAAAGTTCCCTCATGCCCCTTTTTTTATTTAAAAATTTTTTTCTTAAGTAATCTTTTTTTTTTAAGATTTTTTATTTATTCATTTGAGACAGAGAGATACAGAGAGAGAGAGAGAGAGCATGACCAGGGGGAGAGGCAAAGGGAGAGGGAGAAGCAGACTCCCCGCTGAGCCAAGAGCCCCATGTGGGGCTTGATCCCAGGACCCCAGGATCATGACCTGAGCCGAAGGCAAATGCTTAACCATCTGAGCCACCCAGGTGCCCTCTTAAGTAATCTTTACACCCAACATGGGGCTTGAACTCACAACCCTGAGATCAAGAGTCACATGCTCTAACACTGACCCAGCCAGAGGCCCCCCCTTGTGCCTCTTCTTAGGCAGTCTCCTCCCTCCAGACCTGGTCCCTAGCAACCACTGATCTGCTTGTTCTGTTCTAGGTTGGTCTTTTCTGGAACATCATAGAAATGGAATCACTGCAGTGTGTGGTCTTTTGTGGTCTGGCTTTTTACACAAAGCTAATACTTCCAAGGTTCCTCCAAGATGGTGCCTGTACTAATAGTTTGTTCCTTTTTACTGCTGAGTAATATTCTATTGTATGGGTACATGACAGTCTGTTTATCCATTCTACTGATGGGCATCTTGATTATTTCCCTAATAGTCAAAATAGTTTTTGACTGCTATGAATAAAGCTGCTGTGAACATTCCTGTACGTCTTTGCATGCACCTGTGATTTCATTTCTCTTGGGTAAATATGTAGTAGGATTGCTGTCTGGTAAATGTACCTTCACAGATTCCAAAGTGAGGGCCCAAAGACTTCCAGTAATACTAGTTGAATGAATGGTGTCCTTGCATTTGCATTTTTAATAAACTCCCCAGGTATAGCCCAGTGTTTCTGTGCTAGAAGATCTGGACTCTGAGATCCTTCGGCTCTAATGGGCTCCTTCCCTTCTGCCTTCCATCTGTGGAGTCTGAGGTTTTATACCCAAACCTCAGCCCCTGAGTGGACCCAGGATTGAGATTCTGAAAAGTTGTTCCCACCTCAGAGGAACTCAGGCCTTGCCAGGAATGTTCCACCCACAGTCACCTTCATTAGCTTAGCATTATGAGAGCTGATAATTATTATGGTAAATACACTGTTGCAAGCTTGCCATCATGCCTCCTTGATTATCTTTTGACTTTTTATGAGCCTGAGGTCTTCTCCCTGTCCTTCTGGGGCAAGATGACGTGCTCATTTGTTCCTTTATTCCTTCATTCATGTATAGCACCTTTAAATGAGTCTTTTCGGGCGCCTGGGTGGCTCAGTTGGTTAAGCGACTGCCTTCGGCTCAGGTCATGATCCTGGAGTCCCGGGATCGAGTCCCGCATCGGGCTCCCTGCTCGGCGGGGAGTCGGCTTCTCCCTCTGACCCTCTTCCCTCTCATGCTATCTCTCATTCTCTCTCTCTCAAATAAATATATAAGAAATCTTAAAAAAAAAATAAATGAGTCTTCTCTGTGCTAGGCAATGTCTAGGTGCTGGAGAGGCATTTGTGAAAAAGATAAAATCACCGCTTTCAGGGAACTTTCAGGGTGGAGAAGGGTGACAAGGCAAGTATAAACAAATAAGGTAATTTCAAGTAGCATTAAGGTCTGTGAAGAAAATATAACTGGGTGATGGTTGGAGGGAACTTTAGATAAAATGGCAGGGAAATGCCGTCTGAGTTGGAATATTTGAAACCAGAAGGAATTGACTGTAGGACTATACAAAGTTGCTCTGTAGCCACCAGCTACGCAAGGTTATGGAGCACTTGAACTGTGGCTGGTTTGTAATTGAGATGTGCTGTAAGTGTAAAAAACACACTCAATTTCAAAAATTTACTATAAAGAAACCCTAAAATACCTCATTGATTCTTTTTTTTTCTGTTGGCTACAGGTTGAGATGATCATATTTTGGACATACTGAATTAAAGGAAATACATTATTTATTTTTACGTTTTTCTTCTTTAAAAACGTACCAAGTAGTAAATTAAAAATTACGATGTGTCTTGTATGTGTGGCTTGTATTATAGTTCTACTGGACAGCAGGGATCTCGGGGGGGAAAAGGAAGCTAAGTAGAGAGAATGGCAAAAGCACAGGGTCCCCTGAGGTGGGAACTGAGGGATGCTGGGGGCAGTGAGCCAGAGAGAGGGGCAGAAATAGGAATGGACCACATCCAGTGGGATCTTGGTGTTGATTCTGGAACGAGGTGGATTTTAATTCAAGCATAAGGGGGAAGCCGTTTTAAGCAAGGAAGTGGCTTGGTCTGAAATATGTTTTAGCAGACCCCTGTGGCCACTGAGTGGGGAACCCACTGTGGGTGAGCCAGATGGAGGAAGAATCCTGGGTCCCAACACTGTCGAAGCCACACGAATTTATATGGCCCTGCCCTCCGCTGGGACTCAGTCTCCTCCCAGCCCTGTAGGCTAGGGGGCTCCTTCGGCGGTTCTCCCGCTCCAGCCGCAGTATCCGCGGGCGGCCGCCGGCGGCAGGGGGCGCCTCCTCGATGACTCGGCGCTCGGCTGGCCAGGCTCCGCCGCGTCGCCCGCTCGATTGGTCGGGTCGGGACGGGCCGGAGCGCCGCTGGCCAGCGCCATTGAGGAGCCGGGAGAGGAAGCGCCGCGCCGCGCAGTTGCCGGGCTAGGCGGGCGGCCCGGGACACAGACAGGTACCGGCCGAGGCGGGGCGGCGCCGGGCGGCGGACGGGATCGGAGACTGCAGGTGGGCCGTAGGCCCGTTGTCTGTCGCCGCGGCTCCGCTTCGGACCCGGGGCCCGGGCCTGCCTGAGGGGAGCGCGCCGCTGGGAGCCCGGGGAGCCCGGCGTCCGGCCCTGCCGCTGTCTGAGCTTCTCCGGGGGCTCTGGGGCGTCCGCGCTCCCGACGGCCCCGAGCCCGCCGCCTTCATGGGGACCCGCCTGCATCCGAGCCCCCGCGGGCACCCCGGGGACTGACAGGCTGGGAGCTGCCTGGGTTTCTCGGCGCCCCGGCGTCCCTGCCCTGGGAGTCCGAGTCCCCACCGGACCCGGCACCCTTTTCGGGGTCCCGGCAGCCTGGTGCCGGGGGATTGGGGGCGGTGTCAACCCGCGTCTCCCGCCTGAGCCGCGGTCTCGTGAGGGACCCCAGTGTGCGAGCCCCCCTATCTCACGCCCAAGAATAGGCGCGCCGGTCAGTTCTCTAGAGTGTCTTAACCACCCACCAGCCTTCTGGGGTCACGGTCTGGGAGGGGGACTTCAGGCCTCAAACCGGCCTTTACCCCCGCTCCCCGGGGTCACACCTGAGCTGAATCCCTGCTTTCAGGTGCGGGACCCCAGCCACCAGGCGCCGTTTCCTCCGGCCTTTATCTGGGAGGTGGGGGTCTCCGTTCCCTGGAGCCCACCGGGTGGAGGAAGAGCTGTGGGACCCTCGCCTTCAGGGCAGTCCCATTCCTGTGGGGCCCGAGGCCTGGCACCCGCCCCCTCTGGTTCCTTATTCTCCCCGGCTCCCACCGCGCTCAGGCCCGGCCGGCTTGGGGAGCAGCGCCCTGGTCCCTTTGCCGGTCCTTCCTACTCCCGGCTTTGGCCGCCCCGCGAGGGAGGGGCCTGGCTCAAGGTCATGCCCGGCTGTCTGCCCGCCCGTGGGCTGCGCACTGATCCCCAGTGTCACCTACCCCACCGATTAGGGGAGGTCAGGTGCGAATTAGTGCCAGGCGGATGCCTGGAAGCCCTGGTGGACCCGAGTGTAAACACTTTGGGATTCTAGCCAGTCTGGCGGCCCTTCCTGACACCGGATTCCTTAAGGGAATCCTTGAAGTGGCTTTAAGCCTGGATTAGATGCTTAGCTGAGCTAATAGACTTTCTGGCTTGCGTCTTAATTTACTGACCAGGGCATTTACAGTTCTTCTCACCCCATCTTTTCCTTAATCTGTATTTTGCATTCTTCCACCTTCAGGGGAAGTAGAGTAGGGCCTGATCTTGTGTGCAAACTGACAGTTGTTTTCCCTCTCCTGGGAGAGTATTTGTAGCTGGCACTTCAGAGAGAGTTTGTTGGCATTTTAGGGGTGAAGTCAATGGCATTAACTTCAGAAATAAAGAGGACTCTGATTTTGGCTCCCTGCCCAAGTGTGTTTGGAGTCTACATAGTAATACTAGAATAAGTCAGGTTCACATTTTGTTTTCACAGATTTACTTGTTTGGAGTTAGAATATAGAAATGTTTCTTTTACCAGACTGTTAAACATTTCTTGTTTTAAGAATTTGTTCTTGTAACCTCTCCTTTAAATAAATGTATCCAGTAATCTCTAGCAAAATCTTAGTTTTACACAAAATATGGCTTAAAGTCTTTGGAAAGAAATCAGTATTTCATCAAATGCTATTTATTTACTTGTTTATTTTTACTGTCACTGATAGCAAATAAAAATGAATCTTGCTGGAAGTGCAAGACACTGTTGACAAAAGTTGGTCTTTCCTGGAGGTTCAGTTAACTCTTACAGGGCCTTGTGTTTTGGGTCTTTGTTGGGTGGTAGCCTTTCATTTGAGATAAGTGTATCTTCTGGCACTACGATGAATCACTGGGGGTGGGGCAGAGTGCCTGAAAAGGATCTTGAAAGGGCTGGTTCCAAGTGGGACACATGCCATAGCGAATCTGGAGTGTCCAGCATGGTGGGCTGGTGTCTGATGTGCTTGGCCCAGAGCAGGATTTGGAACTCACAGGTCTAATTGGGATCTGCTAGCTAGCTGAGCAATTTCAGAACACATTTAAACTTTGATGTCTCAAGTTCCCTCACGTTAACTTTTTACAATACTAAAAGTAACCTGTATATTTTTTGCAGTGCTAATAAGCACAGTTTTCTTATAGGTAATGGTAAAGCAGTACTGAATGTAAATACTCTGGCTGGAACCAGAGGATCTCTTGTATTTGTGTTACTAACTAAGATAGTTCATTGTATCAGCATCATCTGGTGCCTGGGTTCCTGTAATGCAGTTCTGGAACATTTAAGAAGAGTGATAAACCCCTGCCTTCTCCCTTTCATTTATGCTATTTTATGAATGATCTTGATGGACAAATTTGCACAATTGAATTAGGGAAGGCTTAAAGAGGATCATTGTAGAATATGAAGTTCACTGAAATCTCTTAGGACATTTTGCCTTAATCTAGGGCAAGGTTTTTCTTTCTTTCTTTCTTTCTTTCTTTTCTTTCTTTTTTTTTTAAGGACAGGGTTTTTCAACCTCAGCCCTGTTGAAATCTGGGCTGGATGATTCTTTTGCCATGGAGGAGCTGTCTTGTGCATTGTAGGATGTTTAGCTGTTTCCGTGGTCTCTACTCACAAGATACCAGTAGCAACCCCCAGTCATGATAATAAAAAATGTGTCTAGACATTGCCCAGTTACACTTGGATGAGAACCCCTGACCAGGACAGTCTGATGCCAAGGTGAATTACTAAAGGCAAGCAGTTTAATGATCGGTTACATCGAAAGGATAGACAACTTGGAATTATAGGTATGTTTTGTTATATTTTAAGTGACCGTCCCTTGTAGCTGTGTCAGAACGTAGATGTGTTAGTTTGATACTCTGCTAACAAGGCATCTTACAGTGCTGGTCACCCCATCTTTTCTTAAATCTGCTTTGCATTCGTCCACCTTTAGGGAAGGTAGAGTAGGAAATCAGCTTAGAAAAGCATCTGGTTTTCTGTTGATTTCCTTTTTTTTTTTCCTTTTTCTTTCATAGATTCTTCTGTGACCATGAGAGAGAGAAGTAAAGAATGATCCATGATTTTTTAAACACCTTATCTTGAGGATATAGTCATGTTGGAAGGTCTTGTAGCCTGGGTTCTCAATACCTATCTGGGAAAATACGTCAATAACCTGAACACTGATCAGCTGTCTGTTGCGCTTCTGAAAGGTGAGTACATGTATCTCTTTTTTGGTAAAGCATTTCAATTTTTTTAATACTCATTTTGTTTTACTGGGAATAGTAAAACATAATGCCCAGATGGCTTTGTACTAAGTATGTGTAAAAGGAAATAAGTTCTCCCCCATGACGCTGATTATTATTACAGGGTAACTTAAGTATGTAGCTGTATTGCTATAGATTTTTAGGGAACTATTAAATATTAAAAAGAAAAAGACTATACTGCTGGTGACTGTTGATTTTTTATCCCAGTTGATTTTTTAGCTTTATGAAGCTTTATGGAGGTGGCCATGATTTAATGACAGTGGCATTGACTTTGGTTTCAAATCCTGTTGTGTTACTCATTAGCTATGTGAACAAGCCATTGAAATTCCGAGCCTTAGTTTCTTTAGAAAAAGCGGGTAAGGGGCACCTGGGTGCCTCAGTCGCTTAAGCGTGTGCCTTCGGCTCAGGTCATGATCCCAGGATCATGGGATTGAGCCCCACATCGGGCTCCCTGCTCAGTGGGGAGTCTGCTTCTCCCTCTTCCTCTGCCTCTCCTCCTACTCATGCTCTCTCTCAAATAAATAAATAAATCTTAGGGGTGCCTGGGTGGCTCAGTCCTTAAGTGTCTGCCTTCGGCTCAGGTCATGATCCCAGGGTCCTGGGATCGAACCCCGCTGTCGGGCTCCCTGCTCGGCGGGAAGCCTGCCTCTCCCTCTCCCACTCCCCCTGCTTGTGTTCCCTCTTCCACTGTGTCTCTCTCTGTCAAATAAATAAAAAATAAAATCTTAAAAAAAAAAAGAAGCTTTTAAAAATAAATAAATAAAATCTTAAAATAAATAAATAAACTCTTAAAGGAAAAAAAAAAAAAGAAAAAGCGGATAATATACCTCTCCAGGGTTGCTGTAAGGCTCAAATGGATCAAATGGAATGACATTTAAAGCTCCTGTCCTGCTGGTGTATAATAAACACCAAGTTGAAGCTTTAAAATATGTTACTGTGGGGTGTTTGATAGAATAAAGCTTGAGACACTTTAGCCTTTACAGGCCTATCCTTGGTAAATGCCTATATGTGATTTAATGCAGTGCAGGGAACTGGTGTGAGGATTGGAAAACCGCTTTTTTTTTTTTTTCCTTCTCCTTGTTTTAATGTAAGTTCTCTTTGCTCAACTCAAAATGGAATGCTTGAACAAATCTAGGGAAAGGAGATGGTCTGTAAGCATGTAGCAGCCCAGAAAATGGAAAGGAGATCTCAAATACGATGGGAAGCTCACCTTCCTGGGGGTGTGGGTTTTGGCAAGTAGACCAGGACAGGTTAGTGGAGATGGCAGTGGTACAGATTGTGGTGGAGTCTGTGAGAATAGGGTGCCCATGGCTTACTTGTTCCCAGAAATATTGTTTTCAGGTTTTTCTGACCCATCTAAACCAGTAAAAGAATTGTGGGAGCCATAGGCTGTAGGGAGCTCTTCGCTTGCCCCTCCCACTCTCCTCCTTTCACTGGAAACAGAAGTAGGTTTTTTCTTCATCTCTAACTTCTGTCCTGACCTTTCCCTCCTGTCCTTAGAAGGGAGCTGCTAAGTGCAAGGTGAAAGCCACCAGTCTGTCAGGGACGAGGATGTGTTCAAAGGACGAGAGTAGCATCAAGGTTACCTCTTTGGTCACTTACTGCAGTTCTCATACATGCTGTGCAGCTAACCAGGTTGCACAGGGCAGGTATCAGGGCCGAGAGAGGGAATTGTAGACCATAACCTTGTTAATAAAAGAGCTAGCTCTTTCAAGAGTGATATGGTAAGAGGATGTTTACCAAAGAAATGAATAAGTAGAAATTTGTGGTATCCGATATATCATGGACTCTATTACTAAACAGATTTCTAATCTGTTTTAGAATATATCTCATAATGACAACTGTGTGTATCTCTCTGATGCTTCAAAGTGCTTTTCTGTGCTTCCTGTTTAAAAAATATTCTCTTTGCAGAATAGAAAAATAATTTTTCTTTTCTTCCTTTAAATTTTTTGTTATGTTAATCACCATACATTACATCATTAGTTTTTGATGCAGTGTTCCATGATTCATTGTTTGCGTTTAACACCCAGTGCTCCACGCAGAACGTGCCCTCTTTAATACCCATCACCAGGCTAACCCATCCCCCCACCCCCCTCCCTTCTAGAACCCTCAGTTTGTTTTTCAGAGTCCATCGTCTCTCATGGTTCGTCTCCCCCTCCGATTTCCCCCCCTTCATTCTTCCCCTCCTGCTATCTTCTTCTTCTTTTTTTTTCTTAACATATATTGCATTATTTGTTTCAGAGGTACAGATCTGTGATTCAACAGTCTTGCACAATTCACAGCGCTCACCATAGCACATACCCTCCCCAATGTCTATCACCCAGCCACCCCATCCCTCCCACCCCCCACCACTCCAGCAACCCTCAGTTTGTTTCCTGAAGAAAAATAATTTTTCTTTCATAACCAGTGTTAGGGTGGTGCCCCATCCTTATGGATTCAAAGCACACCACAATGCTTGGCTAGGAAAGTGTTGGAGCATTGAGCCTTGCAGTTGTAGTTAAAGCAGTGTTTGGAGGCAGAGGGTCATGTATAGGAATGAGAAAGTTATTTCGGTCCATCTGCAGATATTTAGTGTCTGAGATGCTCTGGGAGATGCCAAGAAGATGGGGATAGTGGTCAAGAGTATGAATTTTATAGCCAGATTGTTTTTTTGTTTGTTTCGTTTTAGAGAAAGAGAGAGAGAGAGAAAGCTGGGGTGGTGGTGGTGGTGGTGGTGGTGGTGGTCGTGGTGCAGAGGGAGAGAGGATCTTAAGCAGGCTCAACAACCAGTGCAGAGCCCAACTTGGGGCTTGATCTCGTGACCCTGAGATCATGACCTGAGCCGAAATCAAGAGTCAGAGGCTTAACTGACTGAGCCACCCAGGTGCCCTAGTCAGACTGGTTTTGAATCCCATTTCTTCCATTTACTAGTAACTTGGGCAAATTATTCCAGTTCTTCATGAATTCTCAAATTCTTCCTTTCTGCAAGTTGGAGAGAATATTAACTGTCTCATAAGGTTCTGAGGACTAGAATTAATGTAGGTCAGAGAGCTTAGAACTGTTCTGGGCAGATAGTGGGCCCTCAGTCAATCATCATCCCCTATTGTCATGATCATCAGCATATGATTGGCTTGGGTTGGACTTCAAGGGTGCACACATACTAAAAGTAATAAAAATGCAAAATAGCATACAAGTAGTCGAAGGAGAGAGAACTTGTATATGATTTTATTTGTTCAGTCTCTCAGCAAGCACCATTGAGCACCTGCTTTGGGTACGGCTCTGTGTTATGGACTGATAACAAAAAAGGGGGAACAGTAGAAGATACCAGGAGCTCAGGAGTAGGGTCTGAGCCTGGTCTCACCACTTAACAGCTGTTTGTGACTGTGAGCAAGTTACTTAAGCCTCCTCTTGCCATTTGAGATCAGACAGACCTGGAACGAACTCTAGGACTACCACTTATCAGCTCGGTGACTTTTTTTTTTTTTGGAAGATTATTTATTTGTTTATTTTATTTGACAGAGAGAGAGAGAGAGAGCACAAGCAGGGGGAGCAGCAGAGGGAGCTGCAGGGAAGAGGGAGAAGCAGGCTCCCTGCTGAGCAGGGAGCCCGATACGGGGCTCGATCCCAGGACCCTGGGATCATGACCCGAGCTGAAGGCAGACGCTTAACCGACTGAGCCACCCGGGTGTCCTATCTCTGTGATTTTTAAGAAGATTGCTTACCTCTACACCTGATTTTCCTCACCTCAGAGTGGAGAAGATAATTGTATTTCCTCATATTATTGAGAGGCTTAGATGAGATGATGGAGATGAGTGCTCAGCACTAGGACGATCTCACTAAATGATTGCTCTTCCTATTATTCCACATCGGTAGTCCCTGCCCTCGGACACCTCTTAACTTGTTAGTCATGCCAGGCAGTATATATTGTCCCACTAGAGATGCAGGCACAGTGCGGAGGGGGGTGCAAAGCAGGGGAGTCATTCACCCTGTTGGGAGAACTCTGGGGAGGCTATGACGGAGGGAGCCAAGCAGGAGTTTGGCAGGTGGCGCAGGGCAGGTCACCATGTTCCAGGTGGAGTGCAGCTTGTGAGTACAGGCAGAGGGCAGAAAACTCGCAGGGCACGTTCGGGATGGTCTGGGGCCAGAAGATAGCAGCTGCCGGAGTCACGTCAGGGCCTGAACTTCGGGCTGCGGGCCTATCTGTGTTTGTGGCCCAGCACTTAGGGCCCCCCTCCTTTTTGTTCCTTTTTTTTTTTTTTTTTAAAGATTTTATTTATTTATTTGACAGAGAGAGACAGCGAGAGCAGGAACACAAGCAGGGGGAGTGGGAGAGGGAGAAGCAGGCTTCCTGCCGAGCAGGGAGCCCGATGTGGGACTCGATCCCAGGACCCTGGGATCATGACCTGAGCCGAAGGCAGACGCTTAACGACGGAGCCACCCAGGCGCCCTCCTTTTTGTTCCTATCAGCTCTGCACCTCAGGCTGGCTTTCTAAGTGATGCAGAGCCGCGGGAAGAGAGGTCAGCAGTCATCAGTGCTGACCGAAAAGCCACCAGCCTCTAGATGTACCCCAGTTCTAGGGACTCTGCTTCTTGCTCAGCTAAGCTGAGGCATTTTGGGAAGAGACGTCCAGGAATAAGCCTGCACGTTATCTGCCTGGAAAGAAACGAAGAGCGTTATCATTTATAAAGTCCTCACCTACTCTGGGTCCCTTGAGGGACCTTTCCCAGCAGGGCCAGGTGTGGGTGCATATTTGAGTGGGTGGGGAATCAGTGAGCCTTCCGTCTGGAGCCACCGACTGACCGGCCGCTGCTGCTTGTTTCTGATATGCTGGAGGCTGCCCTTTCCCCGGCTTCTTCTCCTTCCTAGAGCACCTCTTTCGCTCCCCGCACTTCAGCATTAATTTTGCCTGGTGTGGGCTGCCTACTGTTCCGTCCACTTCCCCAAGGTGCACAGCAGCCAAGGAAACCTAGTGCTGTCTGCCTTTGTGACAAATTTGGGTACTGAAAAATAGGGCAAATGATTCAAATTGCAAATGATGCTTTTCAAAAGAAGAAACCATATGCTTTCCCCCTTTAAGTCAGTTTCAACTGTTGAGGAACATGTTTCATGTCCCCCCCCCCATGATCATTTACTCCCCGAATGTGGAAATAGAGTTGTTTCTGGGCTCTTGGGGGTTATTAACATCTCCCTTTGGTTAGTCGTAAGCTGTGGGAGGACCCACATGGGGACACATGTTCCTGCAAACGTCTAAAACAAGCTGGTTGCATTTGCTCAGCATCTGCCAAGCTGCTAGATTCGAATACTTCAGAAGCCAATTACCCACAAGTCTTGAACAGTCATTTAAAGGAAAAAAGTAATCGTTTCTTGTATTAGTTTGTCTTTGGCTGGCTTGCCTCTCTTCTGAGTTCCTGTACCAGTGGTTCCTGGGTGGTTGTCTGTACCCCTGTTCTCAGAAATTGCCTTAAGTTGTGTAAACAGTTTTGTAGAATTATGGCTGTCTCCTCTGCCCTCTAGGATGGGGACCCTGCCTTCTCTTTTCATATTCCCAGTGGCCAGCACAATGCCTGCTAGAGGTTGGGGAGTGGTATGTCAGTGTGGACGCATAACTTCCACAGCTGGGAGAGTGAGCGCGAGGCAGAGAGCCTTGGCCGTTCAGAGACATGTCGAACCTCTAGGTTTAAGTCCTATAAAAGCTGGATCTGAAAAGGACCTTCAGCAGTGGTTTGTTCTTTGCTTTCGGACAGGTGATTAAGCCTGCAAGTGTAGATGTGGAGCAGAACGTGTGGAGCTGGTCTCTCCAGAGGGGAGAGTAGAATTCCTTTTGATGACCAATTTTATTGAACTCTTCAAGGCCTCTCAGGTGTTGCGTGCAGTAGACCCATTTGTTGGGGGGTGGGTGGGTTGCTGGAGTTTGTTGAAAATTGCAGATTTCTGTGTTTCAGTCGCAGCGATGTCTTCCAGGGGGCCCTGGAGCCTGCATTTCTTCCCAGCTGACTCAGATATTAATGGTCATCTAGTGAATATTCGCCTAAACTAGGGGTCTGCAAACTGGCTAGCGGACCAAACCCAACTGAGAATGGCTTTTATATTTTTAAAGGCTTGTAAAAAAAACAAAACAAAACCAAACAAAAACACCAGAGACAATATACAACAGATACCATAAAGCTTGAAATATGTACTATCAGGCTTATTATAGAAAAAGATTCCTGCCTACACCCTTCACCTGCTGGTGAGCTTCAGCCGTCAGAGTGGGATGGTCAGGAAACTAGTGTAGGCAGAGTACACAGCTGGTCGAGGTGCTGCTCCTGGCTTTTTCTGGCCAGGCTGAGCTGTAAAACTTTCCCTTTAACCTTCCAAGATTTGCACACAGTAGGTGCCTACTGCCTGTGTTGGGTGAACATTTCATGCTGTTGTTTTTATTTTTCAGGTGCTGTTGAGTTGGAAAACTTGCCCTTAAAGAAAGATGCCTTGAAAGAACTGGAATTACCGTTTGAAGTCAAAGCTGGTATGTGGAACTCTGCAGGAGAGGGAGGCAGTCTTCCACTGCTTCTTCCACTGCTTGGGACAGGAAAACCCAGAGCCCTTGGGTTTGGCTCTGTTTGAGGAGGAAGAGGCAGGATAGGAAATAGGGAGTTTAGATCAGTCCTTGAGTGTGGCCTTTTCTGTCAGGGTGACCTTGGGGTAACAGTGGGGAGGTCAGGTGTTTCCCAGACTCATTGAATCAGAACCAAGGGAGTATCATTGAACCTGTATGTTTCATAAGTGCCACAGGTGATTCTTAACGTTTCCTGAAGTGTGAGAACTTCTGTTCTAGATACGGGGCAGGGGGGTCTTATTTTTGGGGAATTCATAATATTACTGAGAGACAGTTTATTGAATGAAAGGTGGGCTCTGGAACAGTGTGCTTGGGCATATATTCCATATCTGCCATCACACCCCAAGGTGGTGTGGCCTTGGGGAAGTTCCCTCACTGCTCTGTGTGTGCTTCTCAGTCTTTAAGAGGAGGTGATAATCATTGTACCTATGTCAGAGGGTTGTGGAGAGGAATACATGAGTTAATGCATTGAAATTACTCAACAATGCCTAGCACACTCAGTAGAGGTTTGCAGTTATGATAGGAGTTCTGCAGTTACTAGATTTGGTGAGGAAACAAGAACTGTCCTGGAATAAAAATATTCTTTGTTGGGGTGCTCAGCTGGCTCGGTCAGGGGAGCCTGCTACTCTTGATCTCGGGGTGGTGAGTTCGAGCGCCATGTTGGGTGTGAAGATTACTTAAAAATAAAGTCTTACAATTCCTTGTTAAATGACCGTGTACAAAATTAGTCCCTATTCAGACACCCCGACATCATTCAATAATACCTGTTGATGTCAGTCTTTCCATTATTTTTGGGTACTTATATTACAGTACAATGCAAGTACCATGCAAATCAGTTGCTAGGTGGAGTAAGATAGAAATCTTGCAAAAGATTTAGGCTTTCTTGAAGTCAGTTCAAGTGGTGGGTGAACTGCCAGGATACCAGGCAAAGACAGTGACAAATTAGAATCTGAAAGAAACTCAGGAATGATGATACTGAGGGTACTTCCAAAGATGATTATTTGAGTATCAAAGGATTAGGAGAGGCTCTTGGGAACACTGATGAAGTTTCCTAATATTTTTGCAAAAATGACCCTATTTGTACTTGTTCTGCAAAAATTAAATGAAATGTAACAGGGTTATATTTTGCTGTCACCTAATTTATCAAACATGCCTCTTCCCCCAATAATTTAGGTTCGAATTGCAACTGCACACCAATTGTTATTAAACTCTTTGTGGTGAAAATTTGTATTCGGTTTCAGTTACAATATAAACTATTAAATAGAAAAATCTTACTTTAATTTTTCTAGATAAAATTCAAATTAAAACATTGTTTGATTATTTGTTGCCACATTTCTTTTTTTTTTTTTTAAAGATTTTATTTATTTATTTGACAGAGAGAGACACAGCAAGGGAGGGAACACAAGCAGGGGGAGTGGGAGAGGGAGAAGCAGGCTTCCCGCTGAGCAGGGAGCCCGATGCGGGACTTGATCCCAGGACTCTGGGATCCCAGGAGCCCATATTTGTTGCCACATTTCTTAATTATTACTGGATTACACAGTCAATCCCTTGGTGTTAATATTATCTTCAACAGATCAATTCCACTTGAATTCTAGATCTTAGAGGGTAGCGATTGATAACATGTTTTTCTTTCAGAGGGAACATATTAGTTGGGCCATGTGGATCTTTGAGAGATCTTTTAGGACAGTTTAGATATTCTTATGCATTATTCTTTAGTGGCGCCTTGCCTCTTATTAATTGAATTTAAAGAAGACCTGTGTCCTGGGAGCCTCGGCTAGAAATGGTAGGACTTGGGAAATCAGTATCACGGTTCTAGCAGGTTTCTCGTCAGTCCGGGTTCTCATGAAGAATCAGGATTCTTCCTTGATAGAGTGCCACAGTAGTGCTATGGCCCATGTTTCAGTTGGTAGGTTCAAGACCGGACATGCTGTAAGTAAGTCCGGTAACTCCCAAGAGGTGCTTCTCAACCAGCCCGTGAATAATGAACAAGAAATGAATTTCGTGCTCATGGGCTCGTGCAGGTGCTGTGGGGAGAAAGACACCCCAAGGAGGTTGAAGATGTCGTTCAGTTGGGGAAGAGGCACTTCGCAGAGGAGGGCTGTTGCATTTGATAGGGCAAAGTCACACTGGGCTTTTTCTTTTTTAAAGATTTTATTTGAGAGAGAAAGAGAGATAGCCACAGAGATAATGACAGAGAGCACAAGCGGGGCAGGAGGCCTGACATGGGGCTCGATCCCAGGACCCCGGCATCATGACCTGAGTCAAAGAGACGCTTAACCTAACACCGAGCCGCCAGGCGCCTCCACCCCGGGCTTTGCCATCTTTTACTTTATTGTGCCTCGTTATTACTGATCTCAGCCCACTAACTTTCTGTTTCCCATGTGTGAGAACCTGCTGCCTGTTTTCTTAGATTAAAAACTAAATGGCAAAAGTTCTCATGCTTCTTTTTTTTTTTTTTTAAAGATTTTTATTTATTTATTTGAAAGAGAGAATGAGAGATAGAGAGCACAAGAGGGAAGAGGGTCAGAGGGAGAAGCAGACTCCCTGCTGAGCAGGGAGCCCGATGTGGGACTCGATCCCAGGACTCCAGGATCATGACCTGAGCTGAAGGCAGTTGCCCAACCAACTGAGCCACCCAGGCGCCCAGTTCTCATGCTTCTTAAACAAAACTGATGGAATACAGAAAAATTGAAGTAAAAATGTGTATCAGCACTTGACAAGACTTTTGCTTTCCCCAGGCCTGATTGGGAAGGTAACTCTTCAGATTCCCTTTTATCGCCCCCACGTGGACCCTTGGGTGATCTCCATCTCCAGCCTTCACTTAATCGGAGCCCCTGAAAAGCTAGAGGATTTCAATGATGAGAAGGAGAAGCTCTTGGAGAGGGAGCGTAAGAAGGCTCTGCTTCAAGCCCTGGAGGACAGATGGAAGGCAAGGCACACCCCCTCGGCCACCAGACCAGCTGCGGTGAGACAGATGAAATGAGCAGAGCACTGGATTTGGCTAATTCTGGCTCTTCCCTTTGTAGAATGAACGCCAGCAGAAGGGGGAATCCTACTGGTACTCAGTTACCGCCTCTGTAGTTACAAGAATTGTGGAGAATATTGAAGTAAGTCCTCCTGACTTTTATAAAGTACGAACATGACAGGGACTTCTCAGGCTTAACTGTGTTGCGCTTCTTAGTACCTTGTTTCTTGTGGGTTCAACTGAAACGGGGTGTACAGAGCCTTGGCCGACTGCTCAGGTATGCCCTCTTCTAGGCAGTACCAAAGGAAAACCTGAAAAGCAAGTCTCCAGCTCTGGGCAGGCACAGGTTTTTCCTGCTTCAGCTTGTGTGAGTAGGAGTTTTCTTTCACTCGTATTTCGCTTTGTTTTTGAACGTTGGACTCTTACTTGCTAAAAGGATGTATCTCCTAAGAAGCTGGGTCACCTAAACCTTCATGACTGATCATTTCAGGGCATTTCACTTCACCTCTCTGTCTCGGTTTCTTCATCTGTTAACACGAGAGAGGTTGAATACATGGTTTCTAGTTGATTACATAGTGAATTGTGAACAGCCCACGGAGGTGTTTTAATATCTCACTGATGGATCTGGTGGCGGTTTGAGGAGTTACAGTGTCAGGGCTGTTGGCCACGTTTTCTGCTTTAATTACAATTTTGTTTCATCCTCAAAAACTAGATCAGGGTCCACATTAATTTTTATGAGTGCCATAAGAGTGAGCCTGTACTTAGTACCTCCGGGGTTTTCTTGCAGTGCCAAGGTGACACAGGCTAAATGGTTTCAAGGTATACTACTTCCCCCCAAAATGCAGTCTGAGGTTGTTGGTTTTATAACTGTCATAACGTTGACAAAGAGATTGGTGCATTTGAGGTGAGTGCTTTGAATTCTGTTTCAGGCAACTATATATTTCTTTTTTTAGCTGTCATTGGTTTTAAATAATTCATCATTATTATTTTTACTAATAGCTTTATTGAGATTTAGTTCACATCCCATAAAGTTTACACTTTTAATGGGTACACTCTAGTGTTTTTTTTTTTATTATTTTATTTTTTATTTTTTATTTTTTTTTTAAAGATTTTATTTATTTGAGAGAGAGAGAATGAGAGATAGAGAGCACATGAGAGGGGGGAGGGTCAGAGGGAGAAGCAGACTCCCTGCCGAGCAGGGAGCCTGATGCGGGACTCGATCCCGGGACTCCAGGATCATGACCTGAGCTGAAGGCAGTCGCCCAACCAACTGAGCCACCCAGGCGCCCTTTTTTATTTTATTTTTTTTAAAGATTTTATTTATTTATTTGAGAGAGAGAGAATGAGAGACAGAGAGCACGAGAGGAAGGAGGGTCAGAGGGAGAAGCAGACTCCCTGCTGAGCAGAGAGCCCGATGTGGGACTCTATCCCAGGACTCCAGGATCATGACCTGAGCCGAAGGCAGTCGCTTAACCAACTGAGCCACCCAGGCGCCCTCTAGTGTTTTTTTAGTGTGTTTGCAGAGTGCCTAGGTTACCACTCCCTAATTCCAGACCACTTTCATTAACCCCAAAAGAAACTCCATACCCACTTAGTAGCCACCCCCATTTCTCCTCTCCCTCTAGCCCCATGCAACCACTAATCTTCCTTTACGGAAACTACCTATTTTGGACATTTCATATCTATGTGATCGTACACCATGAGTCCCCTTGTGTCTGGCTTCTTGCACTTAGCATAATGCTTTCAAGCTTCATCCATGTTGTGGTGTGTACCAGTACTTGATTCCTTTTTATGGCTGAATAATGTATTCGGTCGAAGATACGGATTGTCAAAGATAAACAAAGTTGAATGTTAGTGAAAGCGGTGAAAACAGATTTTATTCAGTAACTGCTGACAGAAGTGGAAAGAGCAGAGCTCTGTTCCAAATTACACAGAAGTGACAGGTCCTTTCCAAGGGAGAGTGAGGCAGGGGATCCCGTTGGGGAGAGCTCAGGTGAAAAATGACAAAGGGTCAGTGTCCATGTGATAAGGCCAGCTATATCTGCTAGCTGGGCTTCTTTGCTCCCACAGAGACAGACTGAGAGACAGGCCCTGTCCTTCCTGATGATTACATTTCAAAGGAATGGCTTTCAAGTCCTTGATTATAGGAGATACATACACATCTCATAGGGACAGAGAAAGGATTCACAGTTGTAAGCCCTTTTTGGTAAATGCTCTAAGAAAGGGAGGTCAGGGACCTATTGTCAGGCTTTGGCTGGAAAAAACAGCCCTGAGCTTTTCCACACAGGAACTCAGAATGAGGCTGGAATGTCCCAGGGACGCAGGCTTAAGCTTCTAGAAGCCGTGTTAAATGTGGTCACATCTCTCAGTGCAGGAGTTTGAGAGAGGTTTTGTGGTTTTTGGGATATACTACATTTTGTTTATCTGCTTATCAGTTGATGTACATTTGGGTTGTTTCCACTTTTTGCCTGTTACGAATAATGCTGGTGTAAACATTCATGTATATGGTTTTGTGTGAATATATGTTTTCAGTTCTCCTGAGTATATACTTGGGAGTGGAATTGTTGGAGTCATATGGTAACTATGTGTTTAATTTTTTGAGGAACTGGCAAACTGTTTTTCAAAGAGGCCGCCCTGTTTTACAGTTTCATCAGTGATGTAGGAACATTTCCATTTCTCCACATACTCATCGACACTTGTTATTATTGTTTGTCTTGTGATAATAACCACACTAGTGGGTAAGAGGTGCTACCTTGCTGTGGTTTTGATTTGCATTTTCTTAATGGCTAATGTTGAACATCTTTCCATATGCTTATGGTCACTTGCATGTCTTTTTTGGAGAAATGTCTATCCAGATCCCTTTTCCATTTAAAAAATTGATTTATTTGTTTTTTATTGTTGAGTTGAAAGAACTCCTTATATATTTTGTTGTTGTTTTTAAAGATTTTATTTATTTATTTATTTGAGGGAGCACAAGCAGCGGGAAGGGACAGAGGGAGAGGGAGAAGCAGGCTCCCAACTGAGCAGGAAGCCCGATGTGGGGCTCAGTCCCACGACCCTGGGATCATGACCTGAGCCAAAGGCAGATGCTTAACTGACTGAGCCACCCGGGTGCCGCAAGAGCTCCTTATATATTTTGGATTCTAGTCTCTTATCAGATGCATGATTTGCAAATATTTCCTCCCATTCTTTGGGTTGTCTTTTCACTTTCTGTTACAATTTTTAATTCACTGAAGCAGCGTGCCATTTCTGTAGCCCACCTCCAGGGGCCAGGGGAAATAAATAAGTACAGAGTGTAGGTGTCCTGCTGGTGTTCCTGTGTCTAGGTGCGGGGACACAGAGGCAAGATTAAAATATCGTAAGAGAGGGCAGGCCAGTTATCTAGATCCAGCAGTATTTCTTTTAGTGTTTTTTAAAGGGGCCTTGTGAAATGGTTTAATGAAAGTATTGTAGCTCTTTTCTGGAGGTAGCGCCAATCACAAAAAATGTCATTCATGTCATTTGTGATGATAGCTCTCAGGATTGTGGTTATAATTCTCGTAGCATTGGACCTGTGTGTGCTGTAAGCATTTGTATAAACTGCCTGCTCTGACTTATTTAAATGCTCAAGGGCAGTTTGACGTCTGCCTATAGTATTCTACCTATAGCACATGTCTAAATGCTTTTTCTTTTGTTCTCTCCTTTGCAGTTAAAAATTCAAGATGTCCATTTGCGCTTCGAAGATGGTATTAGCAATCCATCCCATCCTTTTGCATTTGGCATCTGTATTAAGAATGTGTCCGTGCAGAATGCTGTGAATGAGCCTGTGAGTATGAACTGTGTCTGTAACCTAGGAAGAAAGCACTGGTTCTCGGGAACTTGGGGCTCTGCCTTTGGTCATTTCATGTTCCATACAGGAGACCGCATTCTTTTTCACCATGTTCTTTAGTGGGAATGTATGTTTCTTGTCTGTGTCAACAGATTAATTTGCCAAAGTCGGGAAATGGCCAATTTTCTCTGACCTTTCGTTATTTCACTCATATGTTAAATGTTGGTGTTATCGCTTTCTTTTTATGCACGAAGAAACTGAGTCACAGAACGGGTTTCAGCTTTGCTTTTCTTCTCATGCTATGTGTACTCCTGGGGGAAGCTCGTTCTGTTTCATAGAATCAGCCATGCCCTGGGAATGTTTGTTGATGTCTCTATGTCTTGAACCTCTCTTCTGACCTTCTTGTTCGTGGTCTTTAACTGCCTGTGGGACACCTCTGGTGGTTTAGGCTTCTTATAAGCGAAATTATCCCATTATGTTCCACCGGCCCTGAAACCAACTTTTCCCCTTTATTCTCTAACATGTTACTGAATGTTAAAACAACAAAACTGACATCTTTTGAGCCCTTTTATATGCCAGGCGCTATTCTTAGCGCTTTACATGACTTACCTCATTGAATTCTCAGTACTTTTCACCACCACTGTTAGCCTCATATTACAGTCAGCTAAGCACACTAAGGTGCAGAGATGGAGTGGCAGAGCCAGGTCTCGAACCCACATGGACCAGCTGCAGAGTGGGGGTTGGCAAACTGTGGACCGTAGAGCAAAGCCCCCCCACTCCCTGTTTTTGTCCGTAAAGAATGACTGGATCACAGCCACACCCATCATTTACATATTATTCAAGGCTGCTTATGTGCTCTAGTGGGCAGAGTTGAGTCATTACAACAGAAACCGTATGGTCCACGAAGCCTGTGAGTACATATGAGTACTCTCTGGCCTTTGGCAGAAAGTTTGCCCCCCTTGCTACGGAGCATGTGTTCTTAGACAGTGTGCTGAGCTCCCCAAGCCTGTGCTCAACCTTTTGCTTCTTATTCTTTAACTTCAGTATCCATCTGCTCACAGCATCCTGCCAGTTTTCCTTGCAAAATGTCTCAAATGTGTCTCTTCCTGTCATCTTCACTGTGACTGCCTTGCTTCAGGGTCCTGTAAGTTTTGGCCTGGGCTTATAAAACATCCTGTTTCATGACTTCTTGCTTCCATCCCAGGCCCTTGATTCTTTGTAACCCAGTGCTTCCTAGTCTTTTCCACATCACGGCGCACATAGGAAAAAAGATATCATTTGGACAGGATGCTGGGGCAAATGCATGCGGCTGCTGGGGGCTGGAGGTGGTGAGCCAGATATTTCTAAATGTAACTTGAACCTATAAACTTGCCTATTTCCTGATACACTCATGACTCTTTTTCTCTAGCACACCAAGGAGGGAAGCTCCACTCTGCACTGTTGCCAGAGTCCTGTTTCTCAAACACATCCCTGACCCTGGTGGCATGCCTATAGCACAACCCTCAGCGGCTCCAGGGCTCTTAAAGTATGAAGTCCAAACTCCTTGGTGCAGCATAAACTTCCTTTCCTAGCGTATTCGTTTCCTAGGGCTGCCTTAACAACAAATCACCACAAGTGAAATGGTTTAAGACAACAGAAATTTATCCTCTTTAGTTTTGGAGGCCTGAAGTCCAGAATCAAGGGGTTTGCAGGGCCGGTTTTTCCGGAGGCTCTGAGGGAGAATCCGTGCCTCCTTGCTTCTGGTGTTTGCCTTTGAGTTCCTTGGCTTGTGGATGCATCCCTTCCATCTCTGCCTCCATCTTCCCATGGTCTTCTCCCCTGTGTGTCTGCCTTCTCTTCTTAGAAGGACCCCAGTCATTAGATTAGGGCCCACCCTCATCCAGTATGACCTCGTTTTAATTTGATTACATCTGTAAGGACCCTATTTCCAATAACGTCCCCTTCACAAGTTCTAGGAGGACATGGATTTTTGGGGGGAGGGAAACTGCTTAACCCAGGATACCTAGTAGCATTCCAAGCTACTTTTGTCAGCACTTAACTCCCCACTCCAAATGTGTGTACCAGTCCTGCCCTCACACCATGAGTACAGTGCTCCCATGACACAGATGTAGTCACCATCCTCTGGAGACACCAGGCCTTCTGTATGGTGGGCCCAACACTTCGACCTGTGTCCCCATCCTTCCCTCCTACCCTGCCCTGGGCCGGAACCGTATACATCTTTTGATGCTCATCCATGCGGTGACATTTTCTCTTTTGTTTGCTCATAGCATCATAGGTATTCTTCTTCTGCTTCCCTCCGCTTAGTTAAAATTGTTGCATGTTTGTATCCCCAGTTAGCTGGATTTTGAACACTGTAAGAACAAAACTGTTTTGATTCGCTTTTGTATCCCCAGCACCTTGCAAAGTGCTGATGCGTGCCTCCTCAGAAATGGTTTGTTGAATGAATGAATAAGTTTGTGAGTACAGAGAGCATGTTTTTTTTCTTCCCTGTTTTACCTCAGGTACAGAAATTAATGCGGAAAAAGCAACTAGATGTGGCAGAGTTTAGCGTCTATTGGGATGTCGATTGCACTTTGTTGGGGGATTTACCCCAGGTGGAGTTACAGGTATGATTCTGGCAGAAGGCTTTATGGTAACACAGTACAATAGTAAAGAGTTTGGGGCCACCGCCACGTAGGTTTCTGTTCTCTGTGGCTCTGGTTGCCATTCCCATGCCCGTCTTCCTCCAAGGGCATCCATTCTCAAGTGGGTTTGCTTGAGGTACTTGATATGCATGTAATTCTGAACAATATATAGTGTTTTGTGTATGTTTCATGTTTGTATTGCATTCTAGGTTTCTTTGTTTTCTTTTTTTCACTTAAAACTGTGTTTTTAAGATTGCTGGATGTTGCTGTTTATATTCCTGGTTCATTGCTTTTGACTCCTGCATAGTATTCCATGGTATACACCTAACATATTATAGTTACGTATTCTTTAAGCCATCGCAAAATTGCTGTCCAGATTTTAAATGAATAAAGCACCAGCTCTGACTCTTAAAGAAGAGCTTTCTTATTCTATGTATATTGAAACTTCACCTTTGGTGGTATTCCTTTAGGAAGTACTTAGAAAGGCATTAAAATCATGGGGCATAAAGTATTACTGTTTGTGAAGAATAAAAAATTCTGAGTTTAATCTCTTGGTAAAGAAATTGTAGGTGGTTTAAGTAGAATGCAGAAAAAGGACTTTTCGCCCTCACCTAAGATTTTCTTTGGCTTGCATGCTGTTGTACAGGTTTTGTTTTGCCAATTCAATTAAATAAATACCGTACATCATACAGAAGAACTGTATGCAGTTATAAAAAATGAGAACAAAGATCTTTATGATGAATATGGAATAGCCTCTAAGATTAATTAATTAATTTATTTGAAGACTTTATTTATTTATTTGACAGAGAGAGACAAAGCGAGAGAGGGAACACAAGCAGGGGGAGTGGGAGAGGGAGAAGCAGGCTCCTTGCTGAGCAGGGAGCCTGATACGGGTCTCAATCCCAGGACCCTGGGATCACGACCTGAGCCGAAGGCAGACGCTTAACGACTGAGCCACCCAGGTGCCCCTAGTCTTTAAGATTTAGTATTAAGTTTAAAGAACTGAGGTAAGAGCGTATGTACCACTTATGTGAGACTGGTTAAAAAACCAGAAGATCATGGATCTGTCTGAACATATGCAGAAAGCCTCTGGCACTCTCCAGAAGAAACTGGTATTACTGGTTGCCTCTGGGGAGAATAATTGGCTGGCTGGACGATGGGAGTCGGAAGGAGGTATTTCACCTGTTTTTGCCTTTCAGTTTTGAACCATGTGAATGTTTTACCTAATAAGAAATATAGATAAAAGTTTTAAAAATGCTAGAAATTTTGTCCTGTTTGGGATTCTGAGGTAATAGGTGGTAAATTAGGTAACATACCAGCATGTGACTTGATCCTGAAAACATTTGCCATAATGACAGACGTTCTTATGACACTCAGGAGGCCATGGACAAGAGCATGGAGAGCCGCGATCATCACTACATCCTGGAGCCTGTGTGCGCATCCGCTCTTTTGAAGAGAAACTGCTCCAAAGAGCCTCTGAGGTCTCGGCACACTCCCCGGATCGAGTGCGATATTCATCTGGAGACCATCCCCTTGAAACTCTCTCAGGTACTCTTTTTCTACCCAGTGGCTTATACTCCCTCTGTGGGACCAGTAACTGGGTAAAGGAAGCACAGTGATAGAAGGGTCTCAATACTCTTCACAGCACCCCAGCGGGAAAGAAAGTGCCCGTGAGACCAACACTGTGGTGGGTGTAGCACCCACTGTGTGTTATACGGTTGGACTGTGTTGCTGTCCGGTTAGTTTTGATTTGGTTTTGAAGCGCTGAGCAGAGGCCAGGACATACAGTAAATATGAATACTTCACCGTCCGTGGTCAGAGAGAAGTGCCACATGGTGCTGAAACGTGGTCTCCAGTGTGCATTGGATTTCCATTCAGTGGCTTGACCAACACGAACTGTCCTCTGTAGAGATGGGTGTTAACTGAGTAAAAGAAACATGTCAGCATTAACCCAGTTTTTCTCTCTTAACCTCTGCTGAAAAGCTGCAGTACCGGCAAATCATGGAATTCCTCAAGGAGCTGGAACGAAAGGAGAGGCAGGTGAAGTTCCGAAGATGGAAGCCCAAAGTGGCCGTGTCTGAGAAGTAAGGGCTTGCAAGTGACCTGTACCTCTGAGATGCATTGTAGAGTGTGACTGTCCTTGGCCGTGGATCAGAAATGGGCCTCACTGTCCCTGGCAGTGTATTTAGCTGGAGCTAAAATACAGTTGACTTTTCTGACCTTTAAAATGTCATTTCTGTGGTTGACCTGCGTTGACGTTCTTACTGTATATTTCGTTGGTGTGGATTTACTCTCAGCTGGAGCGCAGTGGAGTTAAGGTCCTCTCGGTCTCACTTAGCAAGTCGACCACTGTTGCTCCGGTGGGATCTGACTGTGTAGGAAGTACTTTGTAGTGCTCTCTGAACTTGCTTTCCTATGTCTGTGGTCCCATGCTGTTTGGGCAGCACTTATGTAGTACACCTTATAACTTCTGTAGCAAAAAGGAATCTTTTCCTGTTGCAGTGATAGACTTGACCGATCCAATATATTAAAAATTTTAAAGATCCTGTGTATTTCCATGGCTTTTCTGAAGTATGCCATTTAAAATCTTTAGTATCCAAATCCTTGCCAGTTATCTTAAGATAGTCTTTACCTTGTAGTCACCAGTTGATTATCTGTCAGTGGACAGGACTGATGTTATGGGTAATTCACACCAATCGAGGAATATATTATTAATGATGCCTAAGTTGAGAATCTATTATTGAAGTTCTTTGTGTAAGAAGTAATTAACATTGTTATGAAACATCTCAGCTGCCGAGAATGGTGGTATTTTGCTCTGAATGCTAACCTGAATGAGATCAGAGAGGAGAGGAAGCGTTGTACTTGGGACTTCTTGTTACACCGGGCTCGCGATGCTGTGTCTTACACCGACAAATACTTCAGCAAGCTGAAAGGAGGCTTGCTTCATGCAGACGACAGGGTGAGGGGACTGTTATCTTCATTGTTTCTTGGCTTCCAGTGGGTACGTGGGGAGGCAGATCGGTTCCCTCCCAGTACTTGTAGGGGTTTTTGAAGGTGTCCAGTTTCTCTGGAGCTCTAAGACCTGTTTTGTTTTAACCCAAACAGGAGGAGATGCGTCGGATTGAGGAGGAACAGAGCTTTGAGGAATTGAAGATTTTGCGTGAACTGGTTCATGAACGATTTCACAAACAAGAAGAACTGGCGGAGGTAAGAAATCCTCTGTGAGAAGATGTGCTCAGACTCACCACGCTCAGAGTGGCTCAGTTTTGATGTGCTGTGCTTCTCGGGGGGACAGAGAAGAATCAGTGGCAACATCACAGCTTGTTTCTGTCTCTGGAGACTCATATTTGTTCATTTCTGGTTGACACAGAGCCTACGAGAGCCTCAGTTGGATTCTCCAGGAGACTCTCCTGGGGATCCAGAGGCCAGTGGAGGCAGTGGGATGCTCCAGTACCTTCAGTCCTGGTTTCCTGGCTGGGGTGGCTGGTATGGGCAGCAGAGCCCTGAGGGGAGACCAGTCGAGGGGCTGTCAGCAGAGCAGCATGAACAGTGGACTCCCGAGGAGATCCTAGGTAAGGTGGGCGAGGGCCTTCACTTTCCTGCCCTTGGCTGTCCTGAAGGGAGACACTTGGCTCATAAAAACTCGTCTGTTATTTGTGCAACAGCCCATGGTATTTTATTTTACAAATAAAAGAAGTAGACATTTGTAAAACAGTTTGTCTCGCGTTCATAGATTCAGATGGAGGAAGTTTTTGAGAGATACTTCATTTGCAGCTTCATTGCTGAATTTGAATACTGAGCACAGTTTCAGAGCTGAGAGGCAGCGATCGTAAGAGAACTGAGCAAGTCAGAAGGTTTAAACTCTGAAGCTTGAAGATCAATCCAAAGCCACTCTTTACACCCACACTGTTCAGCATGGTAGCCATAGTCACAGATGGCTATCTATTTATATTTTTTAAAAAAATATTTAATTGAAGCAAACATATATAACATGCACACACCATACTTATATAGATCAGTGACTTCCAGAGTCACATACTTCCTGTATAACCTGCACACTGGTAGAGAAATAGAACAAATCAGCACCCCAGAGGGCTTTGTGTGTTTCTTGCGGTCACTGTCCTGCACATTATAATCTTTTTCCTGACTTGTAACACCATAGATTTGTTTACTCATTTTCAAGCGGATGGCTATTGAAATTCAGATTAATTAAAATTAAAAGAAAAACATTCTTTTTTTCCCCTCAGTGACACTAGGTACGTTGGCCATGGAGCTCAAAGTCACCTGTGGTTGGTGGCTTCTGAGCCTGCGGTGCAGATGTAGAGCATTTCACGGTGCTGGGCAGCGCTGTTTATGCTGTACTCTGTCCTGAATCTTCACTTCTTCCCTCACTGGAGAATGAGCTGATGAGATCTTTAAAAATCTTTAAAATTTATTTATTCATGAGAGAGAGACAGAGGCAGAGGGAGAGGGATGTGGGACTTGATCCCAGGACCCCGGGATCACGACCCGAGCCAAAGGCAGACACTCAACCGACTGAGCTGACCAGATGCCCCTGATAAGATCTCTTATAAAACAGTGGGATCATTTTACATTAGGAATGAAGCAGTCGCCCATGACTTTGGAGTTCTTCCTGGGGAAAACTATTAAATAATGTCATCATCACTGTGATCTCTGTGCCTGGTGGTGCTTTTTGAATTTTCCCGTGCATTCCTCTAACATCTTTCCTTCCTCATGCTCAGGCACTGAGGAGTTTTTTGACCCCACCGCCGACGCATCCTGTCTGAGCGCGTACACGAAGCGGGACCTGGTGTTTGCCCGACTGAATGTGCAGCTGCAGCGGGGAACCGTGACGCTGCTGCACCAGGAGCCGGGAGGCCTGCGGATGGAGGAGCGCGCCTTCATGCAGCTCGAGTTCTCAGGTGCTGCCCCGCAGAACCCCCGGCTGTTGCCACTCTTCCCTGGTGCCCGTGTTTGCTCGAGTCTCCTTATTTGTGGTCCTTACGTTCTAGCAAGTTGCTGTGAGCACAGGATGGTTGAATGCTGAGTCGCTGCTGGGGCAAGGTGGGGGGTGTTGGCGGGGAGATACAGTGTTAGGTGCCTGCGAGCCTCTGATCATAACATTCACCAGCAGATTGGTACAGAACCCTGTGTTAATGTGTGTCTGTGTGTAAAGACAGCTTATTTCATGTATATCGTGGATTCATTAATACTGAACTTGGCCGCGGCACTGTAACTAGGGCCTGAGTGAAGCTTATCTGCTGGAAGGCCTGGCACTGCAGTGTGGAGGCCGTTTTAAGCCGTGAAATTACCAACAAAAAGCACAGAAACGCCAACAACTTGGCACTCAGTAGAGCACGAGAGGGGCATGTGTGTGCAGTATGAGCCACACTAAACCAAGAGGGCAGAGCAGTGTTACCTGGTTCACCCTTAGCTGCGAGCATGCACATTAGGTGGTGTGTTTCTGCTCTGCACATGTCCTCAGAAGCACGCGAGGATGGATTTCGGGGTTGTAAATAAGTTTTAGTGAGTAGAAGAATTCACAAACATAGAACCCACGAATAATGAGGATTGACCATGTCTGACATGTGTTTGTGACTTGGAATTAAAGGTGTATAAGTAACTATGCACATGCTGGTGTTTTTACATCTCACGTATACTTTTATTTTGGTGTATAAAATAGGCATTTATCTCAGTAATTTAAAGGTAAACAACCAAAAAAAAAAAAAAGCCAGTTTGTTTGACTTTATAATTGTGAGAGCTGAGATATCATAAACTTAGTGTGAGCCAGCAGATTGCTTGAACTCAATGGTAACATGCTCTGTTTAGAATTCATTCTGCGAGGAAACTTCTAATATTCTGTATGTCGTTATATAGAGAGATTTATATGGACACAACAATATGTAGGTAGGATTTTTAGTTCTACTTTCAACGAAAAAGACTTCATGATATTTAATCGTCCTCTGTAAAACATTATATTTCATACTTTTTAAGATACTTCAGGTTGTCATGGCATACTGTCAAGTCTTACGTTGATGTTTTTGTAGATGTGAAGCTACTAGCAGAATCTCTTCCTCGAAGAAATTCCTCCTTGCTCTCAGTGCGGTTGGGTGGACTGTTTCTTCGAGACCTGGCCACAGAAGGCACCATGTTTCCCCTTCTGGTGTTCCCAAATTCAGTACGTACAGCGGTGGGATGGACGCTCCGTCCCGGGTGGGGTGAACTGTGATCTGTCTTGGGCAAGTGACAGGTAATGTTACCGTTCATTCTGACATTTGGTCATCTTGAGACAGATGGGCTGATTAAAAACAAACTGGAAGTCAGTAACGGTTTTTAATTTGTCAGAGAGTGAATGTCGGAGGGATTTCCGGCAGTGCCTTCTTCCTCTCCTTTGCCATGGCTGCCGTGGGGTAGTTTGCTCTGTTTTGGAAGAAAATGCCATCAGCACCACTATTTTCTGCATTTCAAGGTCAATGTTCGCATCTCCTCTGTCTGGAATTCATTTTCATGCATTCTTACCCTAAGTCACTGATGGAAAGTCTCATCTTTTCTGGAGTTCCAAGAGAACCACTTCAAGTTATCTATATATATGTAATCTTTTATATTCAACAGACTTTACTAATTAGATCTTTGATCTCATTAAGTTGGCAGAGATATGATCAGAATAGTTGAGCATTTAGCCACTTGCTCTGTCTGTGATTTTTTTAGAGTGTGGATTGAGGAGAGGCTGGGAGTGCAGCGTGAGAGTCTAAAGGGCCGTACGTACTTCCTACTCATTAAGGAATCATTCATTAAACGCGCTGACCGCAGAGTAGCATACAGTCCATTTTAGCTTCGAAAAGGGCACAGATGAGAGAGGTCAGTCTGCAAGTCCTCTAATCCGATGTCGGATGAGTTTCGATTTGGTTGTGCTAAGCGAGAGTGATGCTGAAGGGCAGAACTTGAGGAAGTGTGTGCATGGCGAACTGTCCTCTCTCACCTGACATTTATGCATTTTGTGTATGTTTTAATAGCAAAAAGAAGTTGGCAGAGTCTCACAGTCTTTTGGTCTCCAAACAACATCTGCAGACAGAAGTGACCATAATCCTGGTAATTTGTCATATGTTCTTAAAACTAATCTTTAGAAATAAGATGATTGCAGATCAGTAGTCTTAGAGGGAGTGTGTCCTGTTTTGGCTCAGCAGTTTGTTGTGTGGATCTGTGTTTGTCTCGGAGTCCGTGTTCTCTGTTAACCTGTGTGTGACCTGTGTCAGCCTGTAGGGCTTCCGGGGCCTGGGTTTCCATAATGGGAGTGAATACAACAACCCAGTCTTGAAGATTCCTGTTGAAAATTAGAGGCAGTCCTCATTAGGGTCTCTGTTTTATAAAATTTTCATAAATGAGAACTAATTGGAAAATAATTTAGAAAATGTCTTTTTTCCAGAATTCCTTACAGCTTATGAAGAATAAGGCGATTGTTTTTGCTGTGTTCCATTTTCTTTCTCTGGTTCTTCCCTTTAGCTGCGGACCCAGATGACCCGGTTTTTGAGATGCTGTATGAGAGAAATCCAGTGCACAGCCATTTTGAGAGGCGGCTGAATGTCAGCACGAGGCCCTTGAACATCATATATAATCCCCAGGCTATTAAAAAAGTAGCCGACTTTTTCTACAAGGGAAAGGTTCATACCTCAGGTTAACTTTTTTGTTTGTTTGATCTTATGTTACTTTCTATAGATACCTTTCTTGTCATTTTTAGTGCTTTGGACAAGGGTTATTATACACCTAAGTGACCTGCTAGTGTCTGGAATCATAAAGGCTTGGAGGGCATGTGGATAGGGTTGTCCTTAGTTAGGGAAACAAAGTAGATGTCCTTGGAAAGTTACTTTTTCAAAAAGGAACCATATCCCTAAATATTTTCTTTGTCTTTGCTTCCATTTAGCATATTTTTAAAAATTCTTCCCATTCTATTAGGATGGTGGTTTCCTTGGCTACCCAGGATATTTTAGGCCAGTGAGTTTAGGAGGAACGTTCAAGAACTTTCCTCTAAAAAAAGAACTTCCCTCTAAATGGCAGGGTCAGTGGTGTGTTTCACTTGTTTGGTGCAGCGTGAAATACTGTAGAACTCATCCTTGCGCTGCTCTATGTCATCATTGCGTTATTCCTGCCTCCCTTTGTGTCCAGGAGAGATTTGAGATAGGAGGAGCGGAAAAAGCACTTTCATTGACAGGGAAGTTGATAAAACAATAGTTCTTTCCTAACGTATCCCCTCTCTCCCTCCTTATAACAATGGAGCTATTTTATTTTTATTTTTATTTTTTATTTTATTTACTTTTATTTTTTTAAAGATTTTATTTATTTGACAAAGAGAGAGATAGTGAGAGAGCGAACACAAGCAGGGGGAGTGGGAGAGGCTTTCCGCTGAGTAGGGAGCCTGATGTGGGGCTCGATCCCAGGATCCTGGGATCGTGACCTGAGCCGCAGGCAGACGCTTAACGACTGAGCCACCCAGGCACCCAACAATGGAGCTATTTTAGTTTTTGGTCCAGTTTTTGAGTCTTCATGTCAACAACAGCCATAAATGCTGTGGCTTTATTGCTCTGTCCCTGATAGAATCTAGAAGGCATTTCCTTCCAAATTCCACTTTCTCTTTTAACGTAGTGGTATGCTTTCAAGATTTACAATAGTCTGGGATCATTTGGAAAATGGTTCAAGAAAATTCTAGTAACTTAGGTGCCTTTCCCCCATGGCAGGGCCCCATCATTGCTTCTGGTTACCGTACACAGTGCCGGCGCAGGTGGGAGTAGGAACGGTTGTTGTGCAGATGGTTTTTTAGCTTCGGTGGAAATGTGTGGTGAGAATAGATGTTGCAGTGGTCTTTTCCACCCGGCTGTTTGAAAATACTCACTTCTCCCATGCGTCTCTAATCTTGCAGGTTTTGGTTATCAGTCTGAACTTGAGCTGAGAGTGGCAGAAGCTGCCCGAAGACAGTATAACAAACTGAAGATGCAGACCAAGGCGGAAATCCGACAAACGCTCGATCGTTTGCTAGTGGGTGATTTCATTGTAAGTGGGGCAGGGGGCAGGCATTCCCTCTGTCAGGTTCTTCACCTCCTCTAGTTAAGCATGCTTATTTCAACTACAAACGTGAAGTTCACTGAAAATATGAAATCCTTCTTAGCTAGCAAAAAACAAAATCTCATGGCTTTTACGGTCAGGGTGTCAAGAATAAAAACGAGTGGCTGGGACTAGACCATGTTTCTTCCCTGTGTCTGTCTTGGAACACTCTTAAGACTCGTCCATTTTCTAGACCTGATAATTTACAAATGTTTCACTTAAGAGCACCCCCCTTCACTTATGATTATTGGAAGAAAAACGCCTGGAATGGTGCCCCAGTTTTGATTCCCAGGTGTGATAGTCCCTTTGTGATGCTAAGTGGCCAGCTGATGCGAGGATGCCATAGACCAGGAGAAACACCTTAGCAGTTGGGCAAAACTGTCTCTAGCATGGTGGCACGGAGGTGCACTGCTCAGATGCAGCAGTAGGTGGAGAGGGAGAGCCTGGCTCCCTTCAGAGAGCAGAGCCCCTGTAAGCGTAAGGGACAGCAGCAATGTTCCAAGTAAAACGGTACTGACTGTGGTATGGGATGAAGAATTAGTCCTGTTTTTTGTTTCTTGTGTGTGTGTGTGTGTGTGTGTGTGTGTGTGTTTCAACACAAAGGCAGCAGTTAGTATCCTCTTATCTTAGAGATGTTTCTTTTTGATACCATTTACATAGATTAGCTTTTTACTACATCCATGTATGTGAGGCTAATTTTAGTTTCAGGGAAGAACAGTGAACACACTCATGACTTGGTATTTTTTTTTATATATCAAATGTCAAAGCTTATGTTTTCCACTAAGATACTTGGACATGAAAGTTCATGGTTGCCAATGTCTGTGAAGAAGTAAAAATATTTGAGTTTCTCTGTTTGTTGGAATTCCATAATTTCTACAATACTGTGAGACAGTAAGCCCTATAAATTTAGAAGCATGATCTTTCTCAAACCATGGATCATCACAATCAAAGAGCAGACAACCCCAGTCCAGTAATTTGCTAATTTTTTTTTCCTCCCACTTTAAACATTTGCCTGTGGTAATGTCTCAAATCCTTAAGCATTGGGATCTACTTTTGTTTTAAACTTTTTGCTCTAATACTATAGACTTTTAAGTTATCCTGTAACGCCTGGGTGTGGCTTTCAGAAAGGCTTGAGCCCAACCGGTAAAGCTGTTTAGCTTTCACAGTTGTGGTTTTGTTATTTATGGTTTATTTTACTTCTACAGGAGGAGAGTAAAAGGTGGACCGTGCGACTAGATATTTCTGCCCCTCAGGTGATCTTTCCTGACGATTTCAAATTCAAGAATCCTGTGTTAGTTGTTGTGGATCTGGGGAGAATGCTGTTGACAAATACCCAAGGTACCGTGTGAATGCGAAGTGGTGAAGACATACCCTGCAGGGGTTGATCTGTCTATGCTTAACCAAGTAAAGCTTAAAAAAGGCTTTTTAGGGGCACCTGGATGGCTCAGTCGGTTAAGCGTCCGACTCTTGATTTCAGCTCAGCTCATGATCTCAGGGTGGTGAGATAGAGCCCCAAGTTGGGCTCCGCGCAGAGTGTGGAGCTGCTTGAGATTCTCTCTCAATCTCTGTCTCAAAAAAGAGGGCTTTTTATGACCGTTTAACCCCAAAGTTCACTTGTTACTTCTTTTATGATAGCTGTATTGGGATACGTTTTTAAAATGGACAGTTTAATTGTTATTGGGTTATTGACAGAATCATGCAATTTACTGTTACCTAATCCCAGAACGTTTTCATCATCCTGTGAAGACATTCCAGACCCTTCAGCTGTCACTCTCCATTACCTCTTCTCCTATGCCCTGCCAACCATTAATCTTTCTATCTCTGTGGATTTGACTATTCTGAACATTTCATATGAATGCAGTCACACAATTGTGGTTTTTTATGTCTGACTTTTTTCACTTAGCGTTAATGTTTTCGAGATTTATCTATGTTGTAGCTTGTTGTGCTTCATTCCTACTTGTGGTTGAATAATATTCCTTTGTGTGAATATACCACATTTTGTTTATGCATTCATCAATTGGTGGACATTTGGGTTGTTTCTGCTTTTTGGCCACTACGAATAATGCTGCTGTGAACATTCGTGTACAGGCTTTTGTGTAGACATATTTTCAGTCTCTTGTGTATACTTCAGTGTGGAATTGCTAGGTCATACGGTGACTTCATTTTGAGGAACTGCCAGATTGTTTTCCAAAAGGGTGGCACCATTTTACTCTCTTACCAGCAATGTATGAGGGTTTTAAATTTCTCTAAATCCTTGCCAACACTTGCTGTTATCTGTCTTTTGGATTATAGCCATTTTTTTTTTTTAAATGAGTGTGAAGTGGTATCTAATTGTGGTTTTTATTTGTATTTCTCATGCAACATTTTGGATTTTAAGAAACACTATTTCTCAGAACTTCATTTCAGAAATAGAGGTTTAATTTATTTAGGGATATTAGGGACATAGATAAAAAGAGACTCCTGGAAGGTTATTTCATTACTGTTACTAGATCCAAAAAATATTTATTGTTTACCTTGAGATGGGCAGGAAGAAAGAGGATTCATGGGGTAAGAGATTGAGGAAGCTTCTCAAATAATCTCAACCTTATCTTTACTGAGAAGAGCCATCCGAAAGAGAAGAGGTAGAGGATTCGAACAGGAGTGGGAAAGTTTGGTGCTACGGGGAATGTTAAAAGGGAATTAGATCTGAAGAAAAGGATCTCACAATCACGGAAAGCACCTGCTTGAACTTGTAAACCATAAACATGGAACAGAGACGTGGGTGACAGAACCCAGTGGTGTGATTTTGTAGTTGACTCAGCACTGAGTGGTAAAAGACTGGACTTGTGGAAGTCTGTAGAAGAGAAGGGTTGAATTGTGAAGTCAGGCTCGAATGTGACGCTGAGCACTTACTGCTTGCAAGCACTGCTCTGGGCACTCGGGGTGTTGTTGAGTAAGGCAGGTGAGACCTGGGTTCCTTTGCAACATTCTAGTGGGGGAACAAAAGGAACATAGAGACAAATGCAGGGAAAGGCAAACAGACAGCTGATGATGGAGAGTGGTGCAGGAATGGCTGGTGAGAGCAGCTTGTGACGGGGTAGGGAAGCGGGTCATTCGCTGGTTTCTGCTCCCTGACCTGTGTTCTGTTGTCAGCGGGCCTCCATCTTTTCTCTTTTGTGTTTTGATTTCAAAATTACTAGGTAAGTTTACATCGAATAAATGGTAAAATCAGAATATCATGCTTAGAGTTTTCATCCCTGTGTTTTTTTAAATTGGGGTTGGTTGATTCTCTCTTGTTCCTTAATTATTACATTAAAGGAAAGAGTAAGAAAGGAGCAGACGTATACTTTGAATCTTCTCTTTTTTTATCTGCAGATGACTCCAAGAGGAGAAGTGGGGATGGGCTAGCATCTGAAGAGAACCAGTTCAGTGATGATGAATATAAGACGCCTCTTGCCACACCTCCGAACACCCCCCCTCCTGAGACAAGCAGCGGCAATGGAGGGAAAACACCTCCATTTTCTGGGGTTGGATTCAGTGCAGAGCAGATTCAGGCCCATCTAATGAGCACGAAGATGTATGAGAGGTACTCCTTGTCATTTATGGACCTCCAGATCATGGTTGGACGAGTGAAGGACAATTGGAAGCACGTCCAGGATATTGATGTGGGACCAACCCACGTGGTTGAGAAATTCAATGTTCACCTACAGTTAGAACGTCGGTTGATTTATACTTCAGATCCCAAGTACCCCGGAGCTGTGCTCTCAGGCAACCTACCAGACTTGAAAATCCACATCAATGAAGATAAAATATCTGCTCTCAAGAATTGCTTTGCTCTCCTGACCACCCCAGAAATGAAGACTTCGGACACTCAGTTAAAAGAGAAGATTTTTCCCCAAGGCGGGCAGCGGGGAAGTTTGCAAGATTCAGTAATGAATTTAACCCAGAGCTTTGTGATGTTGGAGCAGCATACCCGGGAGGTTCTGGTGGAGTCACAGCTCCTCCTGGCCGAATTTAAGGTGAACTGCATGCAGCTTGGTGTTGAGAGCAATGGCCGGTACATTTCCGTGCTCAAGGTGTTTGGGACCAATGCTCACTTTGTGAAGAGGCCTTACGATGTTGAGGTCTCCCTGACTGTTCACGGATTGCTCCTGGTGGACACGATGCAGACGTACGGTGCTGATTTTGACCTTTTGATGGCTTCACATAAGAACTTGAGCTTTGATATCCCAACAGGAAGCCTCCGGGATAGCAGGGCCCAGTCTCCTGTCTCTGGATCCAATGCGGCCCACCTGACTAATGCTGCCACACTGAATGACCCATCGACTGCGGGTGTTTCACTTGACAAAATTCTCACCAAAGAACAGGAGTCCCTCATCAAATTGGAATATCAGTTTGTGAGTTCAGAGTGCCCGTCGATGAATTTGGACAGCACTCTTCAGGTGATTTCATTACAGGTGAATAATCTGGATATTATCCTAAATCCAGAGACAATTGTGGAGCTGATTGGTTTTCTTCAAAAATCTTTTCCCAAGGAAAAAGATGATTTGAGTCCTCAGCCTTTAATGACTGATTTTGAAAGAAGCTTTAGGGAGGAAGGAACTTATCAAGCCACATATGAACAGAACACCGAGGTTGCCGTGGAAATCCACAGGCTTAACTTACTGCTCCTTCGGACAGTGGGGATGGCAAATGGCGAGAAATATGGCAGAAAAATTGCGACTGCAAGTATTGGTGGCACCAAAGTTAACGTCTCCATGGGTAGCGCATTTGACATGAATGGTTCTCTCGGCTGTTTGCAGCTTATGGATTTGACACAAGATAATGTTAAGAACCAGTATGTTGTCAGCATTGGGAATTCCATAGGCTATGAAAATATCGTCAGCGACATTGGCTACTTTGAATCTGTGTTTGTTAGAATGGAAGAGGCGGCCCTCAGCGAAGCTTTGAGTTTCACCTTTGTTGAGAAGTCTAAACAGGAGTGTTTTCTCAACCTCAAGATGGCTTCCTTGCATTATAACCACTCTGCTAAATTTTTGAAGGAGTTGACGTTGTCCATGGATGAGCTGGAAGAAAATTTTCGAAGTATGCTGAAAAGCGCAGCTACCAAAGTCACTACGGTACTAGCTACCAAGACGGCCGAGTACAGTGAGATGGTGTCACTCTTTGAAACGCCAAGGAAGACTCGGGAATCCTTTATCTTAGAAGAGAATGAAATGTATGGGTTTGGCCTCTCTGGGTCTCATTCTGACACCGTAAAGCTAATCTTGAACATAAACATTGAATCCCCTGTTGTGTCTATCCCTCGGAAGCCCGGGAGTCCTGAGTTGTTGGTGGGACACTTGGGACAAATATTCATCCAGAATTTTGTGTCAGGAGATGATGAGTCCAGAAGTGACCGTCTGCGGGTAGAAATTAAAGACATTAAGTTATATTCTTTGAATTGTACCCAGTTGGCAGGCAGAGAGGGTCCTGGGTCCGAAGTAAGCCGGGCATTTTGTTCTCCTTCTGGGTCTGCCAGTGCCAACAGTCAGGAGGAAGCTCATTTCACCCGACATGATTTCTTTGAATCTTTGCATAGAGGTCAAGGTGAGGAGTGTAAATCTTTTGTCTCATTTTGTCAAAATATTCCAAACCCAGCGTATGTGGTACTTTGCTTAAAACAACAACAAAACCCTTTTCTTTTAGAATTATCCCCAGTGAATATTTAAGAAATCAAAATAGAATTTTAATACCATGCTTCATATCAGGTTGGTATGTTTTCAGTTTTTCCCATTGGATACCAGATTTGACAAAACAAGATTTTTTTTTTTTTTTAAGTGGCCCCCTTTAACATTGGATGAGTGCCCATTTACAGGGATGCTTCAAAGGGTGGAGTCTGTTAGAGTATTATTTAATTTGGTCAAATACATCTGATTTTTTCAGTTGTAAGCTGTAGATTTTTGTTAGTTAAATATTGTAGTCCAGGTTAGCTGGAGGGGTTGACAAAAGTGGAATATGAAATTTAGTCTGTGGATGTTATATTTTCCTTTCAGTATTCTACCATCTTCTGTAATGGATTGGTCCAGGGTCTTAGGAATAAAATGCCTGTATTTGTGTCCTCAATCTGATCTGCTAAAACCAAACAGTTCAATCTATTAGTCTTGGCATCCACAGACATCTGGTGGGCCCTAAAGCCTGGCTTTACTTATTGGTGAAGAAATTCATGCCTTTGAGAATTTCTCCATCTGTGGTTCTCAGATGTTAATTCACCAGTTTACTTACATCCTTACCTAAAGATTGCTTTTTCTGCTTGGGATAAAAGATGTTCACTCAGAACCTGATAATTGTTCTCGACTTTGATGTAGGTCCAGTAAGAGGGATCAATCTGTAATTGAAAGCTGGGTAGGGAAGGAGCAGTTCAGTTTGGAAAATGCTGGCTTGGGAGGCTAATAAGAAGCTTAGAGACCTGGCCTGGATTGATGTTTGCAACATCGTATTTTGAAGCCACCAAATGGAGCATGTCATGAAAAATGTTGTTTCATTTTGTGTATAAATTTATATTGTACCTCTGTTTGCTATGAGGTTTGATCTTGGTCTTGCTATGAGTTTGCACTCAGTCGTAGACCCCAGGTGCCAGGCTGTTCTGCCCTTTGGGTCTAAGGGTAATGCATGGGCTCTATTTTATATACCCTACACTTCAGCAACAATTCAGTAAATATTAGTATTTCCAATCAGTCATTTTCTCTCTGTCATGGCAGCTTTTCACATCCTGAACAACACTACTATTCAGTTTAAACTGGAGAAGATTCCTATAGAGAGAGAATCTGAGTTGACTTTCTCCCTCAGTCCAGATGACTTGGGAACTTCTAGCATCATGAAGATCGAAGGGAAATTTGTCAACCCAGTTCAGGTAAACACCTGTTGATTTTCATGTCTGGGCAGTTGAAGTCCTATATTTACTTTATATTTATTATCATATTAATATGTTCATATCTTGTATATTTGTATATATAAAATGTTAGAAAGAAAATACGTAAATTCAAAGAGACATTGTGACTGTGTCTATTACTGTTGGTAACTTGTTCTGTGAATGTGGAGCCTTTTCATCGTGTCCTTTCATCGCTGGGGAATCAGTCTTATTGGCCCTCTTCATGTGGAGGAACTGTGAATTCTATAGAGAGAGGAGGCAGATCTTTAATTCCGTTGGCATTCAAAAACAAGCAGAGTTATTGCTTAAAAAGTCAGAGCCTGTCTTTCCCAGGAAGATCTAGTTCTTGTCATATGTGGCTCAGCCTGTAAAACAATCTGATTATTTGAGCTGTTGACAGACCCTCTCAAGGGAGACTTAGTCTTGCCCTCTTTGAAATGAAATGGGCCAGGATAGGGATTTCGTGTGTGTGTGGTGCGTGCGCGCGCGCACACGCGTGCACATGCTTGTGGGTAGTGAGTATGCCTGTGTGTGTGGTGGGTACATGTGTATACAGCTGTCATCCTATTTCCTTCAAAAGTGTTGTTTTTCCTGCTTTCACGGGGACGAGTGCAAAGAGCATATCATTATAAAACAGCAGGGACAGGCGGGATCTTAGGACAGTGGATCCTAGCCTGGGGCAGTAACTGGTCACTAGTCTGTATCTGGCAGCTGCTCTGGGGTAACTCAGGAGTGCTCTTCACAGAACATGTGTATCTTTTGGCATCAGTGATTCCTGAATATGGGTCCCTGGGTGAGAGAACTTTCCTCAAAGCTTTCCCATCTTGGCTACACTTTTGCATTACCAGTAGTGGCTACTAGGGTGACTTTTTCACCTTAAATCTAGCATATGGCATGAATTCCTTTGGATTATGTTGACTTATATTCTTATGGTTACCATTCACTTACTGTGGTTTTTGATGAAACTCTTCTAAAAGTTATAATTAATTTAATAATTTTAAAATACTTTATTTTTTTAATTTTAATTTGTATTTTTTTAAAAGATTTTATATACTTATTTGACAGAGACAGAGACAGCGAGAGAGGGAACACAAGCAGGGTGAGTGGGAGAGGGAGAAGCAGGCTTCCCGCCGAGCAGGGAGCCTGATGTGGGGCTCGATCCCAGGACCCTGGGATCATGACCTGAGCTGAAGGCAGACGCTTAATGACTGAGCCACCCCGGCACCCCTTGTGTGAAAAAATTTTTAATAAGTTATAATTAAAAACAAAGTAGTGGGAGAGGAAACATAAGTGATCTTGGCTTATTATTATTATCATTACAAAGCACTTTCTGTTTGTTTAGCTGAACTGAACAAAGGTTATTACGCCAGCAGGCGATGATCAGTGAGTTGTAGAACCAGGAGTCTTGTTTCTCAGTCCTGTGGTATCACCACATTGGGCTTTTGGCAGTATTCCCATCCATTTCTGCAGTTGTTTTTGTGGGGTTAGAAAGAGTGATTTTACTGATTCAGGCCTACAGTCAACAGTACTTGCTGAACACTGATTGTTAAAGATTATTTTGTGGGGTACTGGGGATTGTGTAAAGATTATTTTGTGGGGTGCAGGTTGCTAGTCTTCTTTCATCCGATTAGTTAAGATAACTAAGTGAGGTCATGTACGTGAAGTCCCTAGCCGAGTGTCTGGCCCCTAGTAGCTACTCTAGAGTGTGGCTTTGGTCCTCTGTCCCTGCTCACTCAGAACATTGTTGGCATTCACTGAGGACAGAAAAGAAACAGAAGGGATAGTCCCTGCTGTCAACTAATTTATTACATCTTGGGAAAACCCATAAGCATCAACTCTGGAAGTTTGTGGGCAGTGCATCTGAGTGCAATTCATCATAGTGGTGGAATAACTGAATTCTTCTCTTTGACTACAGGTGGTGTTAGCAAAGCATGTGTATGAGCAGGTTTTACAAACGCTGGACAATCTCGTGTATAGTGAAGATCTGAATAAGTTTCCAGTCAGTGCTGTCTCCTCACCTTGCCCTAATTCTCCTCTGCCTTCCCTCAGTACCAGTGGAGAACCTTCCACTGAAAGGAAGGAGAATGGATTGTTCAGCCACTCCGGGCTTTCTAACTCTTCTCAAAAGTCCTTGTCTCTGAAGGAAGTGAGATCTTTTACCCAGATTCAAGCCAACTTTTGTATTTCAGAGCTTCAAGTCCAGTTAAGTGGAGATCTGACTTTGGGGGCCCAGGGTCTTGTGAGCTTAAAGTTTCAGGATTTTGAGGTGGAATTCAGTAAAGACCATCCTCAGACTTTATCTATTCAGATTGCCCTGCGCTCTCTGCTGATGGAAGACTTACTGGAGAAAAATCCGGATTCCAAATACAAGAACCTGATGGTGTCTCGGGGAGCCCCTAAGCCATCTAGTTTAGCACAAAAAGAATATCTTTCTCAGTCTTGTCCTTCGGTATCCAATGTGGAGTATCCTGACATGCCTCGGTCTCTCCCTTCCCACGTGGAAGAAGCTCCTAATGTCTTCCAGCTGTATCAAAGACCCACCTCGGCGTCCCGGAAGAAGCAAAAGGAAGTCCAAGACCAGGACTGTCCCTTGACCCCACCCCCTTCTCCAACAGTAGATGAGCCCAAGGCACTTGCTGGAAAGAGTAAATTTGATGATTCCTTGGTACATATCAATGTCTTCTTGGTGGATAAGAAACATCCAGAATTCTCTTCCAGTTATCACCGAGTTAACCGGAACATTGATGTTGATTTTAACTGCTTGGATGTGCTGATCACGCTGCAAACCTGGGTCGTGATCCTAGATTTTTTTGGAATTGGCTCCACTGCAGACAACCACGCAATGAAGGTACTGCCTGAGGATGTTCTACAAAACGTCAAGTCAGAATCAGATGCTCTCCCGGAGTCTGAACTTCAGGATCCAGTTAACACCAAGCTGGACCTCAAGGTATCACTCCCCTTTGGCTCCTTGAAGTTCTATGAATGAATTTTGCTTTGTTTATTTAAATGCACTCATTGTTCATTTACCCTAGGAAATAGATCCTGTTGACAGGGGAGCTATATATGGTCTTTTGGATGTCTGTTAATATTTTAGAAAAGGTTTTAGCATAAATCCCATCTGGAGGCTGGGAGAATAAATGGTTTAAGTAACCTTTTGTCTTTCCTTTGGGTTGTGCAGTTCAGTGGAATGCTCTGTTGTCTTGGAGTCTCAGGTTGCTGGTCTTCTGACATCCAGTTAGTTAAGATAACTAAGTGAGGTCATGTACGTGAAGCCCCTAGCCGAGTGTCTGGCCCCTAGTAGCTACTCTAGAATGTGGCTTTGGTCCTCTGTCCCTGCTCACTCAGAACATTGTTGGCTTTCACTGAGGCAACAGGACAAGCACTGAGAAAGAAGTCTCACGTCAGACTGCCTGGGTTTGAGTCCTGGCACTTTTGCCATAACCTCTGGCTGTGTGGCCTTGGGCACGGTTTTTAATTCTTCTCCCCCAGTTTTCTCATCGACAAACTGGGGGTGTTGAGTGGTGCCTCCATCATTGGGATGTTGCAAGGATTCAGGGAGATAACTACTTGAGCAGGGCCCTTTGCACAGTGCATGGCATGAAGTGAGCATTCAGCGAACGAGAACTTGTATAGTTTTGCTATTATGTGGATTACCAGACTTATAACTTGTCCTTGGTACTCCTACTGTGGATGTTTAAAAACACTTAAAAAAGGTAGCGTTCGATTTTAAGGTTATTCTGTTCTGTGTGCTAGCATGGTAAGTTGTGTAAGCAGCCAAGTTCCATTGATCATTTGGGGGCACGTCCTCGGAGCTGGCACCATCCAGAGCCCGGGGCCCCCTGCAGTGACTGATGCCATCTCTGCCTGGAAGGTGAAGTTCTTCATCTCCTTGTCATAGCGAATGTGGACTGGCGCTTGCTGCTGGGGAGCCATCAGGGAGGAGAATCATGTTCAATCCAGCCGCTATCTTCTTTCCTTAGCTGGCGGGAGGCTGCATTCCTCTAGAAATAGAAGAGCTTTTGGGGCAGAGTTGGGCCCGAACCAGTGTCACCTCTCCGGCTCAGTGTCTGTGGATGAATGCTATCGCAGCACTGTTTAGCCAGATGAATGGCAACAGGAGAGGCTTCAGCCATTGTTTTGGACTTGATTTGTTTGTAGCCGTTAACTTTCATCTTGCTGTGCCTGTAATGAATGGCCTCAGGAACCCTTCAGTGTTGGGTGTGGAAGTGCTCCAAGGGGCTTTGCACAGATAGAGGTAGCTGGCTTCACAAGAGAACAACACTGGATAATGCCCCTTGGCAATGGGCTGTTTCAGAATTTTTGAAAACATTTTTATTGTGAAAATTTTAAAACATAACACAAATAGTTTAATGACCTTCCATTGACTTTATTCCTTTGAGATTCATCACATTGACTTTATTCCTTTCCTTTTTTTGCTGAAGTATTTTTTTTTTTTAAGATTTTATTTATTTATTTATTTGACAGAGAGAGAGACAGCGAGAGAGGGAACACAAGCAGGGGGAGTGGGAGAGGGAGAAGCAGGCTTCCCACTGAGCATGGAGCCCAATTTGGGACTCGATCCCAGGACCTCGGGATCACGAACTGAGCTGAAGGCAGATGCCCAGCGACTGAGCCACCCAGGTGCACCTTTGCTGAAGTATTTTAAAGCAAATTCCAGATAAATCATTTTACTTCTTCATGCTTCTGTATTCGTTTCTAAAAAATGTGGACATGTTCTTACCTAACCACATCGCACTAAATTAATGAGGATTTCTTGGTATTCTATAACACTCACCAGTCCATGATCAGATCTTTCTGATTATCTCAGTAGCCCTTTGACTGGTGGATTATAGAGAAATGAATAGTTAAGAAACTTCATGTCTTCCCTGTGATCTCTGCAATTCATTGGAATACTTTGCTTTGTCTACAAAAGGGGGAGAATTAAATAAAATGACATGTGACTCTTTTGAATGGGAGTTCAGATGAGGTTCACATGTTACATTTGCTGCCCTATCTCCTAAATCTCTGTTAATTGAAGAAGACCAGTCTTTATTCTCCCCATGGCATTGGCTTATAGAAACTGGGTTGGTGTCCTGTGGAGTATCCCACATTCTGGATTTGTCTTTTGGTTTCTATTTGGGGCCACTTGACTTCTTTGATCTTCTCATTTTAGAAATGGAAGTTAGCTCTAGAGGCTTCCTCAGATTCAGGTTCAACTTTTTGTTAACACTTCATAGGTTGCGCTGGGTGCTTCCTGTTGCGTCATGTTCGGGGGTATGCAGCATCTGGTTGTCCCACTTTTAGTGACACTAGGATTCGTGCTAAGAGTGGGTCAGGTGGTGACAGCTGGATTCCTCTAATCAAAGCATTTTTAGCCCCACTATATTTCTTTTTGGGTGAGTAAGTGACTGGAGGCTTTCTGTTTCCCTCTTTCATGATAATCTCGTTTCCTTGAGACCTGTGTGTCTGTGTCAGCAAGCTTTCTGTGGACTCCAAGGCCACCGCACCTAGAATAATCCCCTCCTTTTTTCTCTGCCTTCCTCTACAAATGTTCCTCTTTCTTCCTGTTTCTTTCTTTCTTTCTTTCTTCCCCCATCTTTTTTTCCTCCTTATGATTCATCCAACTTTAACTGAGCACCTGCTTAGTGGCGGGCCCTGAAGATGCAGGGGTGAGTCTGGCACTTGGATGCAGTGAATGTGAATTGAGGTTCCATCCTTTCCTCTCTTCCTTCTCCCCAACCGATCTCTTATCCGCAGTGATGACGCTAAGGTACCTGTCTCAATACATCCTAGATATAGAAGTCCTTTTAATATTTGAAACGACAGTGTTACAATGCAGGATTTGTTACAAGGAATGTCGTTCCTAAGAGAGGATTTTGGCATTTTTCTATTTCTGCTTGTTCCTCGAAAAGAAAATCTTTGACTGTGGTTCTTAGGCAAAGTCCCAGTTGGTCAGCAGAGCCTTCTACTAAGTAATGTCTAGTCATTAAACAGGATTCTAAATCATATTTATCATTTTGCTTGGACAGATTTCTTAGGGTAGGACTTAATGAATCTCTGTGAGTGATTACATTCAAATTACAGAATAGTGTAAAATGAAAAACAAATGCAAAAATGAGAAACATTGTTTTATAACGTAACATGTTTCACTGATGAAGTATGGACAAGGCGAGCACAGAGAAACCACAGAGGACCTGGGTTTTAGGTTGTCTGGTCGAGCCCCTTTTTCATCAGCTCTCTCCTCAGATTGACTGATAAAGAGAGCTAAAATGACATTGGCATCCACAGAAGCGTTACCTTCATATTTCCTGAGCCTTTCCGTATCTTCCTCGATTTGGTTCTGCTGTTTGCCTGCCACATGCCTTTTCTCCCCCAGTAAGATCTCACTTGCTTTATCTCCCACGTTCTTAGGTTCATTCGCTCTCTCTCGTGCTGAATAAGACCACCAGTGAGCTTGCTAAAGCGAGTGTATCCAAATTAGTGGCACACCTGGAAATGATTGGTAAGTGGGGAGAAATCAAACTTGCAAAATCTGGTAAGAATTTGAACCTCCTGCTCACAAATCTGATTGTCTTCACATGCAAAGTAAGGTGAGGGATCAGTGGCTTAGATTGTGGTTCTTGGTCTGGCTATGATTTGTGGTGGTGGTTCCCAAATACTGGCTTATGGATCAGAGTCATGTGGACAGTTTGTTAAAAATGCATGTTTCTGCCCACCCCATCCCCAAAATATGATTCATTAGGTTGGGGTGGGGCCCTGGCATCTATTTTTAACAAACTCTGGGTAGGGTGACTACATAATTTTTTGTCCAAATTGGGACATTTTGAGAGTGAAAGGGGACATTATTAATAATTATACCTGGGAAACCAGGGTATATGTTCACTCTCTTGCCATAATAGGGGAGCCCTCGGTAAGGGGTGTGATTTTAGGTGGGAGGATGTAGCAAGACTGGCATTCTTTCTACTAGGTTTCTGCAGGTTGAAATTGTTAGTTGAACACAAGTGATCAGCTACATCAGTTCTAAATAGTAGAAGTTTATAAAGTATGAATAAAGCACTATTCTTTCCTTAAGGAATAGATAATGAAATAATGGATGATCACAGCTCACATGTTGACTCTGTAGTATAAACGAGAATGTCTTTAGGGGAAGGAATGATCTGAAATTGAGATTTCATGCCTGATGTAAACTAAATTAATTTATAAAAGCTCAGAAGAGATAGGTCTTTAAAATTGGGAGAAGTTTGGGTATTTTTGTTAGAGGACATTAAGGGTCAAATATAAGTATGTTTTCAATTCATTGAGAGCTGAACTAGCATGGTAAATATAACACCTATGTCATTGCTTCATAGTGCTAAATTATGATGATAAAACTTGTTTTATGGAAGCAATAGTTCGCAGTATCGTTTTTTAATATCCACACCATGTAAAGAATGATTCATCATAGGTTCACATCCCAGGTACACATGTTTTAACATTCTTCTTTGTTCTTTTCCACCTTCAAGGGGTTTCAGTCTTGTAATATCAGAGTAGGTTTAAATCTGTCTCCAGTGTCTCTCTCATTAATTGCACTTTTTTATTAAATCACACTAACACCCACTTAGTGTTGCCTGAATACCTGACATATCTCTGACACTTCTTCCTTTATTCTTTTATCCATAGTACAATTAATAGACCCTTTGCTATTTCACTAATTCTAATTAGTGGTCTTAATCTCCGAAAGGATTTCATTTTGTCTGCATTTAGAAATGTTTTATGCTTTAATTTGTATATGCATTTAATTTAATTTCTTTCCCCTTCTAAAGGTTAAAGTATGATATTGCTGTATTGTTTCAAGCCCCTTTGGACTTCTGCATTGAGACTGTTTGAAACAATGTGGAAAATATTTTTGGTGGGTGGATTGGAATATGAAAATTTGCCTTTTGACATTTAATTTGATTAAATAGTGAAAAGTCTGAGGCATGTATATATCGGTTTTTGTGCCAGACATATTTAAGGTGTAGGACGAAAAAAGATACATAAGAATGTGTTCTAATTTTAACATCCCTAGACGGAGACCTGGCCTTGCAGGGAAGCATTGGGAGCCTGTCCCTGAGTGACCTCACAGCCCATGGGGAGCTCTACAGAGAGCGGCTCACTACGAGTGGGGAAGAAGCGCTCATCTTCCAGACTTTTAAGTAAAAATATCAGTTTTTCTCATTTGACATTCGTCATGTTTGCTTGCTACTTTAAATTCTTGTTGGCTAAACAATAAAAGTTTAAAAAAATTTCCCCTTCTTAGGTAAAATTGATATGACCTAGTTGCAGGGAATCCTGATTTATAGTAAAACTGATCTGTGTTGAAGCAGGCTACTCAGTCTTCATAAACAGATGGTGTGTGATTGAAATAATTTTTTTTTAAGTAATCCCTCCACCCAACATGGGGCTTGAACTCACAACCCTGACATAAGAGTTCCAAGCTCCACTGACTGAGCCAGCCAGATGCCCCGAAATAAATATCAAAAAGCCTAGGCTCTCATGCCGGCTTCACGCTGACTTGTTATGTGAACTTAGGTGAGTCACTTAATCTCCATGAATCAGTTTTTCTATCTAAATATCGAAGGGACAAAGATCAGTTTCCATCTAGCTCTCAATGTTCTGGAATGATTTCAGCCTGAAAAAGTTGTTGAAGATGTGAATGTTAAATTATATTACACATTTTTTTCTATAGAAAGACAATCTATATTAAATCTTTTCAGTTTTAGAATTTAGAAGACATTTTTAGACTATGTAGTTTTTTTTTTTAAGATTTTATTTATTTGAGAGAGAGAGAGAGACAGATAGTGACAGAGATAGCAAGAGAGAGCATGAGCGGGGAGGAGAGGGAAAAGCAGGCTCCTGCCAAGCAGGGAGCCTGACATGGGGCTTGATCCCAGCACCCTGGGATCATGACCTGAACCAAAGGCAGCAGCTTAACCGACTGAGCCACCCAGGCGCCCCCTAGACCTATGTAGTTTTTAAAGAATGGTTTCTTCAGAAGGCTGAAAGTTTAAAATGGTAGGTTTTCAACATTTTGGGGAGCTGTTAGAAAATAGAGATATCCAGCTCTGCCCCCAAATATTCTGTTCTAAGGGAGTGCTCATTTTTTTTTTTTTTTTTTAACATTTGCTAAAGTGTTTCTAATGTTTAACTAGAGTTGAGAAAAACTGTCCCCAAAGATGTCTGAGAACTTTTTTTCATTTTTCAGGGGAAGTATATCATACTTCACTGAGAATATAGATTGATGTGTTTATATTATTACCTACCACAGTGGTGTAATTCTATGATAAATGAGATAATTAAAAGTCATAACTATCAGCTTGGCACAAAATAGGCGCTTAAGCAAATGTGAATTTCTTTCCCCTGTGACTATGTCCCGTATAATTTATTATGATGATGTCATGTCTTTTAAATTGAAAACCATTCATAAAAGTTTTCTAATTTGTCTTGGAATGTAGATGCTAAACCTCTTTGGCCTACATTTCACTGAAGTAAAAAGAAGACATCTTTCTGCCTCCAGGAGACCGTTTTCCCCAGAAACCTTGATTGTGTTGCCTACTGGTCTTTACCCGTTGTTTCATGGTCTTATTTTTGTTATCTTTTGAGTCCACATTGTTACAGTCTTTGAGCAGGAAGAATCACTTTTCCCTAAAGGCAGGGAAAGAGGCCCCGGTGAAAGGTGTGAGCCACAGGTGGCTTCTGAGTGAGTTCTGGAATCAAGAGTGAGTCTAGTGCCAGGGCTGCCCACCTGTTCATAGCTGTGGCCATCACCCCAGACTTTGATTTCACATCCTCAGCGAGTTGTTGCAGCTTAGAAAAGGAGTGATTATTGGAGTTTGCTTTGTCAAACCTGATTACGGATTGGCATTTCAATAGTTGAAGCTGTTTTCTAGGGGAAACCCCTAAATGAGCTTGTTTTCTTCCAATATTGACTTGTATCTGGCTGCCAAGTCACCCTTCTGCGCTTCTTCCCAGATACGGCCGGCCTGACCCTCTGCTCCGGAGAGAACACGACATCCGAGTGAGTCTGCAGATGGCCTCCGTGCAGTATGTGCACACACAGCGCTTTCAGGCCGAGGTGGTGGCCTTCGTGCAGCACTTCACCCAGCTGCAGGATGTCTTAGGGCGCCAGCGAGCGGCGATCGAGGGGCAGACGGTAGGAAGGCCCATTTCCCCGGTTTGACTGATCAATAGAACTTTAAGCCTCTAGAGAGAAGTCTGGAAAATTTCACTGCAAAAAGGAAAGGTCTGTAGGTAATTTTATGCTGACTAGTGTCCTCCGGGTAGCTGATTATCTACAGAAGTCTTGTAATTGGAGAGCTTACGTTCCCTCTGTCATGTTTTAATGACCTGTAGGGTTTAGCTTTAGCTTCCTCTAAAGAAGATAAACGAAATTTATGGCCAACACTTAAGACTTCTGGTCCCTTTTAGTACTCTAGTGGAGATACTTCTCTTGGAAAGTGTTTCCAAGGAACATATCAATTATGTAAAGAGAGTTTTTTCCAAATAGATTAGTGGTTCCCAACTTCTTCATTCATGGTTTTCTTAGTGTTTTGGAAGTATTTCCATGGCATGTCCTCAGCCAAAAGACACACCTAATGGTCTTTACATTTAAAAAATAGTAAAGTCTAAACAAGTACGTACACATGTCCTAATGACTCAGTAGCTGTTTAAAAAAATAATACATAAGTGAAAGACTAATATTTTTATTTCATTTGTAAATAAATTACTTGCTAGCAGGGATGCAAGCGCCCCCTCGGCACCGTACAGCTTCTCAGACTTGGGACAAGCTAGACACGGCAGCTCTCATTCATTGTCTTACGGCCCTTGCTTTTTATCACAGCTACTGCCAAAGACCCAGTTTCGCGAAGATGTGACATCATTGAAAGGAATGTAGCATGATCTAACGTTGAATGTGAACTACCTCAGTCTAGTATGTGCAGTGTCTAACAAATGATGTGTTTGCCTCAAAAATTTGAAATGTCCTGGCAGCACGCACGTGTGTGGCAGCGTCTTGTGGTGTCTTGGCACAGAGTTTGGGAACCACAGAAAACGTTTACAATGCAGTCCTTTGTAAAACTTATTTATTTTTAAGCTTCATTAGGTAAAAGATTATAATTAAATAAAGACTGACCGTCTTTATAGTGACAACATTTAAAAAGTCTAACTTTATTTAAATTTTTTGAATGTTTCATATTGATTTAATATAGAATCAAAGTAAAAGGACATTTGGAGAAAAGTCTCCTTCTCAATTACTTTTCCTCAACCACCCAGTTTCTTTCCCTGGAAATAATCAATGTTACCAGTTTCCTGTATATCTTTGAGAGAATATATTTTTTTAAAAATATAAAAGCACAGGGGCGCCTAGGTGGCTCAGTCGGTTAAGCCTCCAACTTTTGATCTCAGCTCAGGTCTCAGGGTTGTGAGTCCAAGCCCCATGTTGGGCTCCACACTGGGTGTGGAGCCTACTTAGTTTAAAAAAAATATATTTATCTATATACATATAGATATATATCTCTATATAAAAGTACAGTCAAATTATAGGGAATTTGGGAAAAAAGGATCAGTCTTATCAGTGTCCTAGTACCCCAGGTATATTTTAATTTGTTTTCATTGTTTTTTAAATTTCTCCCTATATGGGCGCCTGGGTGGCTCAGTTGGTTAAGCGACTGCCTTGGGCTCAGGTCATGATCCTGGAGTCCTGGGATCGAGTCCCACATCGGGCTCCTTGCTCGGCGGGGAGTCTGCTTCTCCCTCTGACCCTCTTCCCTCTCGTGCTCTCTATCTCTCATTCTCTCTCAAATAAATAAATAAAATCTTTAAAAAAAAAAAAATTTCTCCCTATGCATGTTTCCATGGTTGTAATGATAGAATATGTAACCTTTTTTCTTTTTAGAAACTTTTAAAACAAATTTATTATTTGACACATATAAAAGAATATCGGTAGCATGTCAGTTTCAAAGTATGATAATAAAATGAACATTCAGGAAATAAATAAGAATTAAAACATTGCTAATGCTGCTGCACGTGTTCCTTCCCCATCTTATTTCCTGTCAACTCCTTAGGTAACTGTTCTCCTGATTTTTGGGTCTTATGGTCCCTTAAAAAAAAGTTCCCATATAATATCTTATTTCATTTGTTTTGATCTTTATAAAAATGCCATTAAGCTGTGTTTAATGTTCTGTTCCTTGCTTTTTTTTTTTCATTTTCATTTAGTTAGATACATTCAGGTTGTTACACATGATGGCCTTTCATTTAATTTCACTGTTGTAGTTCATTGCGTGTAGCACAGATTTATCCATTTTCCTGTTGAACATTTGGTTGTTTACGTGTTTTGCTCTTGTGTACTATGTCTCTCTTAGTGCACACGTGTAAGATTTTCTCCGAGCAGGATTTCTGGGCCATGGGGTATGCATATGTTTATCTTTACAAGATAGTGCCAGATTGTTTTCCCGAAACCATTATACATTCCCATTGGCAATGTATAAAAATTCCTTTTAATTCATATTTGTATGAATTCATATCCTTTAATTCATATCCAACACTCGTTAACCTTTTTATTTTGAGCCAATAATGATGTAAAATGGCATTATTCCACTTACGGTCTACTTATGCCTTTTATTTTTACTTCTTATTTTTAAAATAATTTTTAAAATTTTAATTCCACCTACCTATGCTTTTTTAAAAAAAAACATTTAAATCGAGGAATAGCATACAGTACATACAGTAACGTAAAGTGTGTTAATTTTATGCATACACTTTTGAAAGCCATCATGTTAACCTTTTTTCATAATCTGTTTCCATTTCGCTTTGCATTTTTCATAGTGATCCTATTTAATAATTGTATAATCCATCAAGTCAGTTTACTTAACCATTTCCTTGTTTTTTAACATTTAAATTGCTTCTAGTTTTTCATTCTTATGACTAATGCTTCTGTGAATAGCATTGTGTACCTAGTTTTTTTTTGTTTTCTTTTCCATTTTTTGTATTATTTTTATGGTATTAAATCCTGTAAATGACTGTTTGGTCATAGTGATGAACAGTTTTGTGACTCTCAATTTGATACTTTTAATAAATGTTGTCTATTAGAATTATGTACCCTTAAAATGATTATTTGCACCTGTGTGGTTTAAGCAGCAGTGTTACTGTGAGGAGTCACTAGGGGTAGGAAGTGAGACAGTGTTCTTTAGTGTGCAATTGGGTTTAATTTCCTGGGTTAAGCAGAAATTAAACAGGTAAGTCTTCAAAGTTTTTGCTATATCAAGTTAGGTAAGACAGGTAGACGGTAAAGGAGTGATCTTCTGTTTTGAACAGTGCTAAGTGTGTGAGCTCCAAAGAAAAGCTGATCTTCTCAAGATCTTTGATCCTAGCTGTTTGAATTATATATGTTTAAGATTTTGCTTTACTTAGATTTATGGGGAGAGCTAAAGACCTACTTTTATTTGCTGGTAAAATTGAGGCTATTTTGAAATTTAAATACCTTTCTCCTGGTGACAGGTGGTATCCTCTATCTTTGACTTGTAGCCAGATTTTTATTCCTGTATTTTCTGGTGTCTGTAAATAATGATCGAATAGGACTTGATGTTTCTTTTTAATCTTATTGTTTGAAATTGTAAGAGTATCATGTACCTCGACTGGGCCAAGTATGAATTTATTTTTTATCCCAGAAGTGTAATAATGGTTTTCCTGCATCTTCTGATTTACATGTTCTTTTATTTGTTAAACTTCTTTATTCACTGAACAACTGGGAGTTCAGATTTTTGGTACAGCCAAGCTGTGGTATTGCAGTTTCAAAATCTTGGTACAAGAATCTAGAGTCTGGGTGTTGCCAGTATAAGTTGTTCCACCAGCAGTGAGTTATTTTTCTTGCTGTTCTTCTTTTGACTCAGTTATTGGGAGGAAAATGGAGATACAAAAATAAGTATGCTGTACATTTGCTTAATAATATATTAATGATGCTTTGGAGCTTTCACAATATTACCTCCTTTGATCCTTATGACAACCATGTTTGTTCATTTCTGTGAATTATTTAGTGACTGTTCATTGACAAATGATCTGCCATACAGTTTGCCAGGTGCTAGGAACGTAATGGAAAACAAGAAAGACGAGGTCATTGCCTTAATGGAGCTCATGTTTTAGTGAGATGATATAACCCAGGAAAAAAAAATAATTAGTTATGATTATAGCCAGTGAGGGAGTGGTGGGCCAGGTGCGTTATTGCCATTTTATCAGCGAGGAAATGGTAATTCTTAGCTCTGCTTGTCTGGAACTCTGGCTAACTCATGATTCAGCTTTTCTCTTAATGGGGAAACATGTAATATGTAACTATTAAGGTGTGTTAGAAAAGTAAGAGTTATGCAGTATTAGTGTATTACTTTTGAATCTGCCCCTTGATGCATTGAACTTTATAAAATAGAATTGTACGCTACTGGATGATTGCTTCTACGTGCTGAGGTGAGTGGTGTCATTTCATCCTTAAAACAGCTCTTGAAGGTAGGGCCTATGATTCCTCCCAGTTTACAGGTAAGGAAAGTGAGACCCAGAGACCTAACAAGTTACCCAGGCTCGCCAAGCTTCTAAGTGGCCAGGATGGGGATTCCACTCAGGTAGTCAGGCTTCAGAGCTCCCATTCTGAGTGCCTACACTAACCTGCCAAAATGGTGACAGTCTTTATCTCTGGAGGTGAGGTTATGCATGATATCAGATTTCTTCTATTTGTTTGTCTTTCCCTTCTAAGTTTTCTACAGTGAATATGAGTTAATTTGTAAATCTAGAATTTACTCAAAGAACAAAGCAAACAGGCAGTAGTTGTGGGTAGACAATACCAACAAATCATCCACTACAGTTAGAAAGTGAAAACGCTATTTATTGTGTTGTAAATTCTCCTACTTATATGCTTAACACCAAAGAAAGAAGAGCTTTTTTATATTATAAAGGCTATATATTTTTTTAAGTAATAAATGTTTTTTATAGGTAACACAAAAATCAATAAAAATATGAATAAGTAGAAAATTAAGACTGTCGTGTTCTCACTTTTATAATCTGTATTTTTAACTGATCAATATATGAGAAACATTTCATTATATTAGTGTATTATACTTTTTGTCGCCTTTGTTGTGGTATAATTTGCTTACAGTAAAATTAAGCAATTTTAAGAGTACAATTCAATGAGTTTTAACAATTATGTAGTGTTATAACCCCAGTCACATCCAGATTTTTAGAACATTTCTGTTATCCACAAAGTTTCCTAGCTTCCCTAGGCAAACAGTCTCCTAATCCCTGAGTCCTGGCAGCCATTGGTCTGTTTTCCTTCAGAATAGTTTTGCCTTTTTTTTTTCTTTTTTAGAATTTTCTATAAATGAAATCATACATCATAGTTGTGTCTGGCTTTTTTCACTTAGCATTATGCTCTTGAGATCCATCCATATTGTTGCAAGTAGCAGCAGTGTGATTTCTTTTTATTGCCAAGTAGTATTCTATTCGTTGAATGTAATACAATTTGTTTATCTATTCACCCATTTAATGTACATTTGGGTAGTTTCAAGTTTTTGGCTATTATGAATAAAACTGGGAACATTTGTGTTGAAATCTTTGTGTGAACGTACATTTTCATTTCTCTTAAGTAAATACCTAAGAGAGGAATTGCTGCATCATGTGGTAACTGTGTGGTTAACTTTATAAGGAACTGTCTTCAGAATTGTTCTGGCTAGGGGCACCTGCCAAGAGCATGCGACTCTTGATCTCTGCATTGTGAGTTTGGGCTCCACAGTGGGCATGGGGGCCTCCTTTAAAAAAAAAAAAAACAAAACAAAAATCATTAAAAAAAAGTTTAAAAAATTGTTTTTGCTATTCTAGATTCTTTGGTTTTTCATGTGGATTTTGGAATCAGCATGTCAGTTTCTATAATAAAGCCTGCTGAAATTTTGATTGGGATCGTGTTGAATCTGTAGGTCAACTTTTGGAGAATTGACATCTTTGTACTGTTGAGTCTTTTGTTTGAGTGTGGCATATTTCTCCATGTATTTTTTATTTTTTTTAAAGATTTTATTTATTAGAGAGAATGAGAGAGAGCATGAGAGCAGGGAGGGTCAGAAGGAGAAGCAGACTCCCCGCCAAGCAGGGAGCCCGATGTGGGACTCAATCCCGAGACTCCAGGATCATGACCTGAGCCGAAGGCAGTCGCTTAACCAACTGAGCCACCCAGGCACCCCTCTCCATTTATTTAGGTCTTCAGTTTCTCTCAGCAGTGTCTGTAGTTTTGAGTGTACTGGTCTTACGCATCTTTTATTAAACTGGTCCCTAGACCTTTTATATTTTTGATGCTGTTGTGATATTTTAAAAATTTCAATTTCCAAATCTCTGTAGACTGTACATAGAGATACAATTGAGTTTTATACACTGACCTTGCACCCTGCAACTTTGCTAGATAGACTTACCAGTTCCAGTTACTTTGTGGAGATTCTGTAGGATTTTTTACATAGATGATCGTGTTGTCTGTGAATAGAGTTTTACTTTTTCCTTTTCAATCTGTATGCCTTTCATCTCTTTTTCTTCTGTTGCTACACTGTCTAGGACTTCCAGTGCAATGTTGAATAGAAGGGGTGAGAGCAGGCATCCTCACCTTGTTTCCAGTCGTGAGGGAAAAGCATTCAGTTATTCTCGGGGTTGGCAAACTATGGCCTGTGAGAATATACACGTACATACACACATACATAAAGTTTTATTGGAATACAGTCACTTATCTACTGTCTGTGGATTTTTTTACAGTTTTCTTGATTTGATATGGATTTTTGTATCTGTGTTCCTGAGGGATATTAGTTTGTAGTTTTCTTTTCTGGAATAGAAGATAGTGCCTTTTCTGGTTTTGGTAATGGGGCAATGCTGTCCTTGTGGAATGAATTGGAAGTGTTTTCTTTTTCTAATTTCAGAAGAGTTTGTGTAGAATTGATATTATTTCTTTCTTTGTATATTCTGGATACAACCCCTTTGATATATGTGTTGTGAATATTTTCTCCCTGTCTATGGCTTTTTTCCCATTTTCCTGACACTGTTCTTTGAAAAGCAGAAGTTTTTCATTTTGATGAAGTCTAATTTTTTTCTTTTATGTTTAGTACTGTTTCTGTTTTGTCAAAGGAGTCTTTGTCGACCACTAGGTGGCGAAAATTTTCTCCTATGTACTCTATTAGAAGTTTTATAATTTTAGATATCTTCTATTTTGAGTAAATTATTTTTAAATATTTTTATTTTTTAAAGTAATCTCTACACCCATCGTGGGGCTTGAACTCACAACCCTGAGGTCGAGTTGCATGCTCTACTGCACGCCATCCAGGTGCTCCTTGAGTTAATTTTTGTGTATTTTGTGAAGTGAGGGTTGAGTGTTTTTTTTTTCCCATGTACATATCTAGACTCTTCATTTCCCATTGTATTATCTTGGCACATCTGTTGAGAAACAATCGACCGTATAGGCACGTATGTATTTCTTTCTGTTCTGTTCCATTGATTTATATTTAAATGTATGCCAATACCATCTTGTCTTAACTACTGCCACTTTATAGTGTGTCTTGAAATTGGGTAGTATAAGTCCTCCAACTTTGTTCTTTTTCAAAACTTCAGGACCTCTGCTTTTCCATACAAATTTTAGAATCAGCTTGTCTTTCTACAATAAAATCTCTGCTGGGATTTTGATTGGGATTGCACTGAATCTATATAGCTGGAGAATCAACATCTTAATAATATTGAGTCTTTGGATCCTCACGTATGATATATCTCTCCATTTAATTAGGTCTTCAGTTTCGGTACTGTGTTACAGTTTTGGGTATACTGGTCTTACACATCTTTTGTTAAACTGATCCCTAGGTATTTGAAATTTTGATGCTATTATAAAATCAATTTTTAAAAAAATTTCAATGTCCAATTATTTATTGAAAGTGGGACAAATAGAATTAACTTTCGTATATCAACATGTTAACCTTTTATCCTTCAATCTTGCTGAACTTATTCTAGTTCCTTTCGATTCTTTGGGATTTTCTACATAGGTGATTATGTTGTTTGGAATAAGAGAGTTATATTTTTTCCTTTCCAACCTGTAGGTCTTTTTGCACAGACTAGGACTTCAGCATGTTGAATAGAAGTGGTGAGAGGTGTTACCCTTGCCTGGTTCCTTATCTTAGGGGGAAAACCTTCTGAAAATGTGATGTTAACCGAAGATAGTTTGTGCTTGTGTTTTTTAAGGAATCTCTCCAGTTCATCTAAATTGTCAGTTTGTTGGCATGAAGTTGTTCATAAGTTCCCTTATCTTTTTAATATTTGTAGGTTCTGGGGGTGCCCGAATGACTCAGTTGGTTAAGCACCTGCCTTTGGCTCAGGTCATGATCCCCAGGTCCGGGGATTGAGGCCCCCCCCAGTTGGGCTCCCTGCTCAGCAGGGAGCCTGCTTCTCCCTTTCCCTCTGCCCCTCCCACTCACTCATGCTCTCTCCCTCTCCCCCCACCCCCACTCAAATGAATAAATAAAATCTTTAAAAAATTCTTTTTGTAAGTTGTGTAGCAATGTCCCGCACTCCTTCCTGATAGTGGCAGTTTTTGTTTTCTTCCTGTTTTCTTGATTCCTATAGCTAGAGGTTTGTCGGTTTATCAGTCTTTTCAAATAATTAACTTATTGAAGCCTGTGTTATGGCCCAGGCGTATTCTCAATGAGTATGCCATGTATACTTGGAAAGAATGTATATTCTGTGGTTGTTGGGTATTGTGTTGTATAAATACTTAATTGATTTTTAAGAATTATTTATCTGTTTTCTAAATAACTGATTTTTGCTTTATACTATTTTTTCCTCTTCTACTTACTTAGATTCATTTTGCTTTTCCTTTTTCTAGCTTCTTATACTTTGATCACTGATTTTAATCTTTATTCTTTAAGCATTTAATACTATACTACACGTTTTTCATTAAGTACTGTCTTAAGTGTGTCCCACAAATTTGAATATGCTACATTTTCTTTATCAGTTAGGTCAAAAGATTTTTCTGTTTCCTTTGTGATTTTTTTCTTTGACCCTTGGGTTATTAAGTGTGTAGTCTACTTTCCAAATATTTGGGGGTTTTCCATTATCTTGTTATCGATTTCTAGTGTAAGTACATGGTGCTATTAGAATATACTCTGTGTGATTTTAGTTGTTTTAGAATTATGAATTCATGGAACTTTTGGGAACCAGGAGCTATTTGATTGTAAAATTAGGGCATTGATTGAGCCTCTGAGTTAATTTTTCTTACTGTTTCAGGTGAGAGATCAAGCCCAGCGCTGTTCACGGGTTCTCCTGGATATTGAGGCGGGTGCTCCTGTTCTCCTTATCCCTGAAAGTTCCAGATCAAATAATCTGATTGTAGCAAATTTGGGGAAGTTGAAGGTCAAGAACAAGTTTCTCTTTGCTGGTTTTCCTGGGACCTTTTCCTTACAAGATAAGGTGAGCAATCGATATCCATTCCCTTTTCAGTCCAACTGTTTGAGCGCCAGTTGAAGATTTCATATGTTGCCACAAGGTGACTTGTAACTGCTGTTACTTTTGTGGTGTATGCAGCTGGAACAATTTTTTTTGACATTTCAATTAGCCTTTTCATAGAGGTAGTGTAAATTACAACCTTTACCAGTTGTATGCAAACAACCAACAGAACGAACCTTCTGTCTGTATAATGCTTTTCTCACAGGCTGACCTTATAAATGATCAACTTTTTACATGACCTATTTTTTTTTTCAGAAGATGGGATTTGGCCCATGGTTTATCTGAAGCCGTTCATATCTTCATAATAAAACTTTATACAGTATGTGGCTTCACAGTTTAAAACTACTTTAGCACTTACTTATTTCTTATGACAATGTTTAGAGGTAACTGGGCTGAAGATTATTGCTTTCACTTGCATTCATGTAGTAAATCACAGACTTGGCGCTGGAGCTGGTCTCACGAGCCCCTCCCACCCATTTCTGTAGTCCAGGAGACTAACGCTGTTGGAACTTGGGACCAGGTCTTGTTGTTCTGGGTGTATGTTTTAACAGAGCCTTGCTGGTTTCCACGGCAGCTTTGCAGTATATTTGCTTATTGAGAACAAATTCATTTTAACTTGTTAGAAAAGCACTTACTGAAATTCCCAGCTAGTTATGCCCATCTTTAGTCTAATAGCTAGTAACATAGGGAGGGAGCCTTTGAAGGAAGAGGTATGGAAGATTTCATTATGAGCTCTTACGACTGGCAACAATAGCAGTAAATAGCCAACATTTGTTGGATGCTTCATATATATTAGCCAGTGCTTAAGTTCTTTACATATTTGTCCATTTTTTTTTCTCCTTAGCAACCTAAGGGGGTATCTGGTTTTGTTAACCCCATTTTTCGAGCTAAAGATATTGAGACTTAGATAGGGTAGGTCATTTCTTTTGGATAATACAACTAGTCCCAAGTACAGCATGGGCCTCAGACTTGGTGTGTCTGCCTTCCATACACTCTTACCTGTGGTACGCCTTCACCTCCCACTATTACGGTTAGGCCTGTGTGGGGAGAGTAACTGGGGAAGGCTGTCCCTGTGATGTGCCTTACAGGCCCTGGCCTGCATCGCTGTAACTCTTTTGAATTTTCTAAAGGGTGTGGCTGAGTTCATGAAAATAATTTCGAGGGAAGAACTCCAAAGATGATCACAGAAAAGATATAAATTTGAGCAGTTACTGTTTGCCTCTCTAGGTGTAGAAAGAAAAGAAAATGGAAAAGTGTGAGTAGGGTGCTAGGTCTTACCAGGACTTTGCCAAGGACCTCAGCTTGGTTCAGAGAGTAACAGGAGACTTATGTTGGTAATGCCTAAACTCAAATAATTTTGTTTTCAAATTACTGTCTCCATAGTTTTCTTCATTTGTTTTACTTCTCACTCATCCATTTATTCACTCTTACTAAGCTACACATCCTGAGCTGAAAATACTTGATTCAGCGAGTGGGAGCGGGTAGAGTAAGAAGGGTGCAGACAGACAGCAAGAACACGGCAGCCATGTTTGTGTGTCCTAACCTTGCCGGAGCGAGGGTGTTTGGACGAGGGGTTGAGGGGTGGGTTGTCCATGTATCACCCCACTTGTAGTCACTCAGAGAAATCAGATGCAGTGATCAGAGCAGAGGGTGACGCCAGAGCAGCAGTGCTCAGCGTTGGAGGGCAGAGCGCCACCATGTTTACCGCATAGCTTTGTAGATGGGCCTTCAGGCAGAGCTGAGGATTGAGAACTCGCTTGTTGACCTCACTGTAGGAAGACCTCCTGTGGGAATGATAGGCCTTCCCTGCCTTGATAGGGAGATATAGTCTTCCACTTAGGTATGGTTTTTAAGAGAGTAAAAATAAAATCAGTCTCTACTGGTCTTTCACAGCAGGCCTAGTAGAGTACTAGTAACCTGGGTCTTAATGAAGAAAGTCTGTTTTCACAGTTGAGAGAGAAGCATTTTACTGTTCACTGACCGGAGTCTTAAAGAACATAAAAGAAAGATCCATTTGTGAAAAGAAAGATTGGTACCTGCTTCTAAAAGTTCTCGCTTCTAAAATTTTCTTAGTGTGAGGTATTTATAGTTAATATGACTAGATTTTTTAAAAAAGATTTTATTTATTTGAGAGAAAGAGCAGAGAGAGAGCACATGAGCTGGGGGGGAGGGTGGCAGAAGGAGACAGAGAAGCAGATTCCCCGCTGAGCTGGGAGCGCAACGTGTGGGACTCGATCCCAGGACCCCAGGATCATAACTTGATCCGAAGGCAGACGCTTAACCGACTGAGCCACCCAGGTGCCCCAACATGACTAGATATTAAACAAATGTATCAGAACTTGGTGTTTGCACATGAGGGCTGTCCTCACTGTCACCTGGGGACACTCTGTTCCAACATCTTGTTCCAGCTCTCCTGCTGTCACTGCCCAAGGGAGAGTGGAATCCCTTCTTTGGAGCGGTCTTTTGAGCCAACAGTAAGTTCTTCAGGATATCTGTGTTTGTGGTAAATCTTTGTTTTGAGGACTAAATTTTTTAGGAAGAAATCAGCTAGAACCAGAATAGGTGATCAGGTTGAATAATACCATTTTTGTTTCTCTACCCTTCCTAAAAAGGTAAAGGACTGGTGGTGTTCTGTATCGGTTATATCTGCATATGGGCTCGTGAGCTAACTCAGATGTTAGCTTCTAAGAATTGACAAAATATTGGAAGAAATTTTTGCACATGAGTTTCTGTTTTGTTAACTAAGCCAAATAACAGCATATAGTTTGCGACATTTTAATGAAAGACTTTTCCTATATTTGTTTTTGAGGATTTGATTTTAAGTGGCAGTGCATACACGGATCGCTTTTTCTTCAAGGTATAATATACTTTTTGCCTCCTGGTTATTCTGAAAAACCTTATGGGATTCAGCAGTCAATTCACATTCATATACTTTAAAAAGAAAACTTTGAAAAACTAACTCTTTACCACATTACTTGGGAAAGCCTGCTTATCACCTTTTTGTCCCTTTGATGAGTCACTTCCCTCCTGTGTAGAGAAGGCCTTCTTAAGGACCATAAAGGAAACTTCTTTTGTTTTTTTGGCTTTAGGCAGTAATATCTTGATGATCTGACTTCCTTAAATCCTAGAAAAACTTTTATCTTGTTACATGCAAGTGATTGTTCTGTAGAATTCCATAAGGGCTGCTTGGAGTGTGTCGCTTGGTGAAGTCTTTGTGATCAGATAAACCTATCTGTGGAGCTCACGTCTCCACAGGCATAGTCAAGCTCAGTTGGTCTAGATGAAGTGAAGAATTACTTTCTTCACCAAAAATCACTTTGCATTTACATTTTCCCTTTAATGTATTTGCATGTGTGAGGTTTGTCTAGTGTGCATTCCAGTGGTTAAAGAACAGGAAATAATCCTGAAATCAAAGCTCATGGAGGGGTTATTTGCCTTTGAGTTCCCCGACTCCAGTGTGTTTGGGATTGTTTTACACAAATCCATGTCTTAATGAGTGCAGGCTTGGATTTTTTACATATGCGTTTCCTTTCATTCTTCTCAACCACAACTCGAGCTTAAACCATAATTTCTGTGTCAGCCTTTCAAAAGCTTTGAGTTAATCTCCTCAAGCCATTGATTTATTTAAACCAACTACAGAGAGGATGTAGAGATGAATCAAGTCAAAGAGCAACAACTACTCTCTAGAGTTTAAATAAACTAAGCAAGGGGGAAGGCTTTTAATGTCGAAATATTTAAATAAGAGCATTTACCTAGCAATTTGCCTTCCAAAAAATGTGGAAAGTAAGAACTGTTTTCTGGTGTGTTTTGTTTTTTTTTTTCCACCGTTACTTGTAAATCACTGTACTCAAGATAACTGGGAAGGAGAACAGTGTTACCATCTCCTTTTCAAATGCTGAGATGAGTAAACACATAGGGCAATATGGGCAGGAAACCCGTTCTTCCCCTTCCCCCAACATCCCTGTGAAAGTGGGTCGATGGTGGTGAAGCCCTGCAGATAGGTAGCACGGAGGCTTGGGTCAAGTTTAAAAGTCAGTTATGGAATCATTCGGGTGAAGAAGATTTCCCCTGTTAGCAATGAACTGAAAGTACTAAGTATGTAAGAAAAGCGTGTATTGTTTTCAGTAGAATTACAGAATTTATGTTACTCCGTATTTGCCCTGAATTTTTATGCCCTTGAACAGAAACATAATAGGAATGGCCAGCCTCCTGTGTTTTCCATTTTGTTTTCATTTGCACAGTTACTTAAAGAGATAAGACATGTAAGCCCAAAGGAGTGACCTCTAGGAAGTGCAGACGCAACCATGGCTTCATTCCATTGGAACCATATTGCTGTAGATACATTTTCTTAGAATAATAAGCCCCTCCCCTTCAGCAAAGCAACAACACACATCATAGGGCCGAGAGGTCTGCTTTCACTGTGTTTGACCTAGACTAAACCACCAACAGTTAGCGTCTTAAGCCAACAAATAATTATATTCCTGCAAGATTGCTGTAGTTTTCAACAGGTGTTGAATTATAAGTAACATCTCTGCAAATAATTACATGTGACAGGAAATGTCATGACCCTGTTACCCTTTTGTTTATGGGATTTGGGGGGCTTGGGAAGTGCCAAGTGTCACAGAGTCTTTGAAGAGCCCAGAAACTAGAGTAGGACTTTCAGGACTGAGAGTAAAGATGCAGTCACTCCTGTTCCTGCCTTCTAGTTTTATTTTATTTCTTCCCAGGAATCTGTGCCTTCAGCATCCCCAACGGGTACCCCCAAACACAGTATGAGGAAAATGACGAGCACGGAGGACCCGAAGGGATTGTATTCCGAGGGGCTGTTCATGATGCCTCCTGCTGGAATGAGTCTAGGCGTCCTGAGGAGTGAGTCTGTGCCGAGTACCTCGACCAAGCAGCAAGGGCAACAAGCCGCGCCCTCCACCAGCCAGGTTTCTGGTAGTCCAGGTAAAAGAGGAGAAAGAAGCTGCATGAGTGGGGAGTTCATGAGACTGTGGCAGGTGCCTCAGGGGGATGCATCAGAGTGGTAGTGGGTCTTTAGTGATAATCTGATTTTGATGTTGCTTTGGAAAGCTTAAGAATCTTAGGATGTAGATTTTAGCAGTGACTTCTAAAGTACAGGTAAATTAGCAAGACACAGTGTGAATAAAGGGATTTAGATGGTCTCTTAGGACTTTTTCCTTTAGGTCAAGGTAGTTGCCACAAGATGATGATAGTATAACTAGAATGATTCCTGCATCCTTAGACACATCTTTGCAAGTCACTGTCAAGACACTGTTTTCTACTTAATTATTATTCTATTTAATTCTAAAAAAAAAAAACTCTTAAAAGATATTAGTGTGAATTAGGTAACAACAGAGATACTGTAAGTAACAATTTTGCAAAGACAGGAACCATCCAGTTATTGGTGTTCTTCTCTAGAATTTAAGAATTAGTCATTCCAGATGAGAGCCTGATCTTGGCCTTTTGGGTTTTTTTAAAAATTAAATTATATTGAATTAAATTTTTTGTTTTAATTCTTGTATGTTAACATAGAGTGTTATATTAGTTTCAGGTGTACAATACAGTGATTCAACACTTCTTAATCACCCTGTGCTCATCATGACGAGTTCTCTCTTCATCCCCATCACCCATTTCACCCATCCCCCTACCACCTCCCTTCTGATAACCATCAGTTCTCTGTAGTTAAGAGTCTGGTTCTTGGCTTGTCTCTCTCTCTCTCCCTCCCTACCCCCTTTTTTCCTTTGCTTCTTTGTTTTGTTTCTTAAATTCCACAGAGGAATGAGATCATATGGTATTTGTCTTTCTCTGATTGACTTATTTCACTTAGCATAATACTCTCTAGCTCCATCCATGTTGTTGCAAATGACAAGATTTCATTCTTTTTTATGGCTGAGTAATGTTCTGTTGTGTGTGTGTGTGTGTGTGTGTGTGTATACCACCTCTTTTTTTTTTTTTTTAAAGATTTTATTTATTTATTTTTGTATGCGCGAGAGAGAGAGTGCGCACAAGCAGGGGGAGTGGCAGAGGGAAGGGAGAAACAGATTCCCCGCTGAGCAGGGAGCCCGACACGGGGCTCGATCCTAGGACCCTGGGTTCATGACCTGAGCTGTAGGCAGACGCTTAACTGACTGAGCCACCCAGGAGCCCTATATACCACTTCTTTATCCATTCATCACTTGATGGATACTTGGACTGCTACCATAATTTGGCTATTGCAAATACTCTATAAACATCGCATGTATCCCTTTGAATTAGTGTTTTTGTATTTGGGAGTAAATACCCAGTAGCGGGATTACTGGATCGTGGAGTAGTTCTATTTTTAATTTTTTGAGGAACCTCCATACTGGTTCCCGAGTGGCTGCACCAGTTTGCATTCCCACTGGCAGTGCAAGAGGGTTCCCCTTTCTCCGAATCCTCGCCAACACCTATTGTTTCCTGTGTTGTTGATTTTAACCATTCTGACATGCATGAGGTGATAGCTCATTGTAGTTTTGATTTGCATTTCCCTGATGATGAGTGATGTTGAGCATCTTTTCATGTGTCTGTTGGCCATCTGGATATCTTCTTTGGGGAAGTATCTGTTCATGTCTTCTGCCCATCCTTAAGTTGGATTATTTGGGTTTTGTTGAGTTGTATAAGTTCTTATACTAACCGTTTATCAGGTATGTCATTTGCAATATATTCTCCCATTCAGTAGGTTGCCTTTTAGTTTTGTTGTTTCCTTTGCTGTGCAGAAGCTTTTTATGTTGATGTAGTCTGGCCTTTTTGTTTTGTTTTTAAATTTGTTTTTATTTTTTAATCTTTTTTTATTTAATTTATTTAAGCAGGCTCCATGCCCAGTGCGGAGCCCGACTTGGGGCTTGATCTTATGACCCTGAGATCGCGACCTGAGCTGAAATCAAGAGTCGGACGCTTAACCGACTGAGCCACCCAGGCGCCCCTATTTTTATTTTTTAATTTAAGTTATCTCTACACCCATCATGGGGCTTGAACTCAGGACCCCAAGATCAAGAGTTGCACGCTCCTCCCACTGAGCCAACCAGGCACCCCTGGCCTTTTGGTTTTTAAATGTATTCTGGGTAGGTGATGGGTAGGATAAGTTAGAGAGGGAAACAGAATGTGATTCGCCACAAAAATCTGTCCAGTGTGATCAGGCTTTGAGAGATGTGGGACACTCACTGAGAAGGCTGTTGCATGTCTTTTGTCCTATGCAAGGACTAATGGTACTAGGTACTACTCCCTGTCGTCCCTTGTGGTACTAGAGGTGACATGAAAGTGGCTTATGGTTGGATTGATGATTAAATGAGATTATCCTAATCATCATCACAGTGCTGGTTGTTGAACACTTATTGTGTGCCGTATATCATGGCATGTTGTTCCATAAATCATTGCATTTCACCCCATAGCACCCCTGTAGAGTTTTATTTTTACCCTCATTTTACACCCGAAGAGACAAAGACTTAGAGAGATGAAGTAGCTTAACTTGCCCTGGGTTGTGCAGATAGTAAGTGGCAGAGTTGGACTATGAACTTAGGCAGTTTGACCCCAGAGTCCAAATCCTTAACCTAAGTGATACCGTCTACCAGTCTCTATACGTAATGTGCATGGAGCATGGAGGGGGTGCGCACGTGGTGCCACCTGACACTGGCTGCTTTCTGCCATTGCTGTGAAAACAGTGATGAGTAGGAGGAAGGCCAGCCTTCTGCGTAGGTGGATGCCTATGAGAAATGATTTGGGATGTTATAGAGATTGATGGAAAAATCTCTCTCCAGAAAGTATTTCTCTTTCCAATTCGCTGTTTGTTTCTGGAATTTCTTTGTTTGTGATTAAGATGGGATTAAAGCAGTGGTTTTCAAATTCCTCTGTGTGTCCTTAGGGTTCCATGATGACCCTAGGGAATCTCTGAAACCCTTTACCCCCTCCCCTGCCCTCTTCTACCAGATCAGTTCCACTTTTGTCTCTTTCACGTATTTATCAAAATAGTAAACGATAACCACTGTATGTATGTATGTATGTATGTATGTATGTATGTATTTATTTAGTGTGTGTGTGTTTTAATGTGCACTTGTTTGATCATTAATGAGGGTGGATATATTTTCATATACATACTGGGATGAATTTCTTTTTGTAGTAAATTGCGTATCACATTCCTTGCCAATTTTCCTACTCGTGTATTCTTTTCTTACAGATTTTCAAATCTTTATAAAGTGGGGCTATTTCCCTAATATCTGTCAAATATATTCCAGTTTTTTTCCAATTTCTCCTTTGCCTTTTTTGTTCATGATGTCTTGTAGAACTCTTTAATTTCCTTATAGCTAGATCCATTGTTACTTTATTTTGTGTGTTCCGCTTCTGATAACACACTCAGAAACACCTTCCCCATGTTTTATCATCCCATGGGACAAATACCCTTAATTATTTTTTAAAATAACTCAGAATTATTTTGTTAAGTTCCCCCCCCCCGCCACATACCTCAAAATTCCCTTTTGGGATTTTGATTGGGATTATATTAAATAAATAGATTAATTTGGTGGAGAATTTATAAATTTACAATTTTATATTAGAATATAAGCTTCATGAGGGAAAAGATTGTTGTATGTTCTGTTCACTGCTGTATCCTAGAATAGTGTCCTGGACTTAGAAAAGTAACTGGCGCAGAGTAGGTATTTTAAAAATATTTGCACAAATGACTTTTCAATCTGAAGAACTGACATGTGTAGTATGGGCTGAACGCTGATGTTATAATTTGGCTCTGCCCCTCTGCGTAGGGGATGAGAGAGGCGCCAAGTAGGCCCCTAAATGTGGACGCAGTGAGATGTTCTAGAAAAGATGGAATGGGGCAGGAGGAAAGAACAGAGAGGACCCAGCTGAGATCGAGAGGGGAGGGTGATGCCGTAGGTAAAGCTGTTCAGATAGCAAAGGGCTTGGCAATTTTGGGGAGACAAAGGCCAGTGAGCCTGAGGCTTCAGGAGCAGGGGGCAGAATGGCTTGAGAGGAAGTTGGAAAAGTAGGCAGTGGCCTTATGCAAGGTTTTATAAGGATTTAGGGGGAGTTTTACAGAAACAACTTTGGATTAAGCATAATCATTAAAGTGTAGGAGGAAGAGAATGTTACGGTCTCATTTATTTTTTTAAGGATTACTCAGGTATTTTGCGGGCAGAATGGTTTTGTGAGGGCCAGAGGGAATGGTGTAGGTGTATGGGAGGGGAGTTTCTGGGGGGCCAGGCAGAATGATGGTGGTTTGGATGAGATCAGTGGTAGTGGAAATGATTACATATTTGTTTGAGAAAAGAATTTCGGTGCTGGAAAACTTTGTAAGCCTTTGGGTTGCGGCCCCCCAAATGAGAGCCCTGTAGGATATCCTTGGGAGGGATGGCTGTCCAATCGTGTCGGTCATAAATCCTTCAGGTTCAGCTCATGTCTCAGGACAGCAACATGCGTGTGACGTGGAAGGGGAGCAGACAGGAAGTGTCTAGCACAGGGAGCGTGACATAGGGAGGCCGTGGTGCCAGAGTAGAGACTTTGGACACTCAGGTTTTTGAAGTGGACGGTTCTGAACATTTTCCAAAGACAGGAAGAACTTTGTTTAGCTTTTTAGTTTTGTTCAGGGCCGGTCCTTTCTGGGTCTTAGTTTCTTCATTCTCTCTCTTTCCTTGGGTCCATGTAGAAGACCACGTCTGCCTGCTGGACTGCATTGTCGTGGACCTACAAGACATGGACATCTTTGCTGCCGAGAGACACCCACGAGAGTATTCTAAGGCCTCAGACGACAGCAGTGGAGATCTGGTATTCCCTTCCTATTTCGTGCGGCAGACAGGAGGGAGTCTCCTCACTGAGCCCTGTCGGCTGAAATTGCAGGTGGAAAGGAATTTGGACAAGTGAGTGGTTTACATCTGGATAATAGTCTATCATAGGTAGAATCTTAATCACTTGGAATTCAGTGCCATGAAGGTAAGTCTGGAAGAGAATAGGTGATGTTCACTTATTTCTTCTGTGTGGCAAATGTTTGTTGAGTCCCAGCTGGGTACTAGATGTGAGTCCTACTGTGATGGGAAGGAAAACCTATCTTTATGGAGCTTATGTTGTGTGGATATAGGGCTATAAGAAGGCAAATTAGAAGGTGATTCTAATTTAGAGTTTGACTCAGTGTTATAAACTGTGTTACGGGATTGCCCCTGGGGCCTTGGAAACAAAGACGAAGGGGCATGAATGTAGCATGGCCTTTTGGTGGACGTAGGGAGGTGGTGATGGCAGGGAGAGTATTTTGGAAGAGGTGACATTTGGGTTATATGTTCCAAGCACAATAGATTCTGGACCTGGTGTTGCTACTTACCCTGGAGCTCCATTTAATCAGAATAACTGTTGAGATGCAGTTCTGCCCATTTTGCTCCATTAAGCAATCTGAAAGTACTCCATAAAGGCTAATGAGCTGACTCTAATTTACCTTTTCATTGGCCTCAAACACAGGGTGCTCATTTCTGCAGATTAGAGCATTGCTTCAGTTGTCATTACTTCCGTGGTATCGTCTGGGAAACGTCTTGAATATAAATGTTCCCAGACCTGACATGAGACCTGCAGAACCTGAGTCTCAGGGCCGAGCCTCAGTACATGTGAGCAAGGTCCCTTGGCGGTGCTCACGCTGGCCTGGCCCATGCGCACAGCTGGGAGCTGCTGCGCCCCAGGTACAATTGCCCCTCCGTTTGGGGCATTCATTTTGGAGAAACAGCAACGCTTGCATTTCAACTACAGGCAAAGATGGGGCGTGGCTGTCAAGTAATGGAAGATGTTCTCGTTTGCTGCATTTTGACAAGCAGTTTGTTACTTGTGGGGCGTGCGATTTTAATCCGTCTTTGGCCACTCCCTTCGTGGTTCTTGGGTTTGGGCGAGCCATTTAATGCCATTTTTTGTTTCTCTCTGGATTAACGACACCGTGTAGCTGCTCTCTCTGGGATTTTTGCATTTCATTCTTACTTGTTATTTGAGTGCTTCCTGGCTGGCACTCAGTTACACTTGGCATGGGCTCTCTGGTTTTACTGGCCTAGCAGTCTTAGGAGGAGCTTCATTATTTAGAAATGGAACACTTTGTTTTCTTTTCAAGTAATGCTTTCCCCCCCAAAAATGTGCTTTGTTACTCTGATTATGTAAACTTGACTCTCTTCGCTTCCATCAGTGTTTATTTGCAGGTGATTATACTGTTAGCCTCGATAAGGTGGTGGTAACTCAATACGAGATACCCTCTCAGCTGCTTGCACCACAGGTACAGGAAGCTGAGAGGGCGCCGGGTAGTCCTTTCCAGCTTTTTGTGTGGCTTGCATCACTGTTCTTTCTTTACTTGATCATATATAGGTTTTTCTCTGCAAAGTAATTTTTTACATTCCTCTACTTTCAAACCCCGTCCTCTACTTTACATACGCAGAGCATGCTGTCTGCAGGATCCATGGTGCCCACTTCTCCCCGGGAGGGTAGGGGAAAAGAGCTCTTCAGTGTGGGGACGAGGTATGCTAACCCCTGACCCGGGCGTCTCAACCTTACTCCTGCCCATCTCAGCAGAGACAAGTAACGGATTCAGACTTTATCCTGATGTCCCATCTAGGTTCAGAATGAAACTCTGGTGTTTGCCTGTAGTTATCATGAAATTTGGAGTTAAATGAAGAGACTGCCATTTCTTTATTGCCTCCCCAACTGTAATGTTTAAGCTCTTCCTGAATCTCATGAGATTTTTCCTTATTAATAGATTACTTAGCTAACTCAGATTTGGGGACTTTATAAATGCCTATTTTAAGAGAGAAGGGGCTTTTTGTAGCTGAAGCAGGACACTCAGTTGTGCTCATGTGCTTCCTTTGGAGCCACATGAAATTTTTATTATTGGAATTTGGAAATGAACTGACGGATAATGTAGGCGGGTACATTTTAGCTCTTTCTTACGTTTGGGTGTGAGCTTTGTCAGTGTTAAGTTACTGATTGTTTGCCAAAGTGACTTTTTTTTCTTTCCTCAGAGAAATAAGTCATACTGTGCCAGACATATCTATCCACGGCAACCTCTCCTCAGTCCACTGCTCCCTGGATTTGTACAAATACAAGCTGATCCGCGGTTTATTGGAGAACAACCTCGGAGAGCCCATAGAGGAATTTATGCGGCCTTACGATTTACAAGACCCAAGAATTCACGTGAGTGAGACCTCGTGCTGTCCCATAACTTAACTCTTGCAGTCCTAGCTGATGGCCACTTCGTGCGTGGGTCCCTCCAGCTCACCTGCAGAGAGAAATGGAACAAGCAGATTATTGTCTTGACATATTAACCCCCTTTTCAGATTGGCATTTTCCTCTTGCAGACTGTTCTCAGTGGAGAAGTGTACACGTGCATGTGCTTCCTCATCGATATGGTGAATGTAAGTCTGGAGCTGAAAGATCCAAAAGGAAAAGAAAGTACCGGGTCCTTAGCCAGGTATGACTCTCATGGTACTGGTTTATGCCTAGTGACCGACATGGCTGTAACAGTATTGCAAACAGTACACATGTTTCACTTTAGTGAAATTCGCTTTAGCCTAGAGCAGAGGTTGCAGAATGGTGGTTCACGACTGGAGGTGGTCTGCACAGTGCTTTTTGGTTGGTCTACATGGTGCTTGTTCAAAGTTTAAATTCATTGCTTTATCAGTAAAGACAGGTTATTAGGATGTTTCAGTGACCTCCACACCTGATGCTGAAACCGATGCATTGGAAAGAGCTGTGGAAATTATGCAAAACTTTCCCAAGAATCTACTGGCATTGGTTTTGTTTTTTTTTTTTTTTTATGGTGGTACAGTTTAAAAAAATCGTATAGTTGACACACAACGTTATGTTAGTTTCACATGTACAACATAGTGATTCAGCTTCTCTGTACATTTTGCTGCGCTCACCACGAGTGCAGCCACCATCTGTCACCATAGGACATTATTACAGTACTGTGACTGTATTCCTCATGTTGTACTCTTGATCCCCGTGACTTACTCATTCTGTAACTGGAAGCCTGTACCTCCTGCCCTCCTTTGCCCATTCCCCTCCGCACCCTGAGTCTGCGGGTGTTTTAGAAGTATTGAACTCCAGAACCACAGTTGTGGAAGCTCCTAATGCTGCTAATGGTACCAATGGTATCTGCAGTGCGGTATATCCGTACACGTGCTGGGAGAGACAGAAGGGCCACCGCAGTTGTACCGTAGTTGCCTGGGGTGGAGTAAGGGGTACGGCTTCAGTGGAAAAAGTTGTATCATAATACATTCCTAACATAATCTTGCTGCCGTGCTGTGTCATCAGCAGCTTAAAAAATAATAATAAATAAAAACTGCCGGGGTGGGGGCAAAAGGAGGTGACAGACATGCAGACACAGCAGTGATTGAGAAAAATGAAGACGTTTTTCTCCTGATGCTGTGTATCCCTGGTGGCCCTCAGGCTGTGGGCCTCAGACAGGCCCTCAGACCTGTGGCCGTGGTCACTGTGGCTGACAGGGCAGCCAGCATCTCGATGTGCCAGTGACAAAGACGAGAGTCCTGGAGTGGTCTTGAATGGCACTTAAAGGTGTCGCACACCTCACAGAGTTAGAGCATGGTCCCACAAAGTGCAGAGGGGTCCGAAGTACAGGCTGGGGGTTGTCTGAGTAGGGGAGACCCAGTGCTAATCGGGGAGCGGCCCTGCTCACTGCCTTCTCGGCCAACATTTAAAAATTGGGGGACTTAACATCAAAAGTTTGGATTTCAGCCTCTTTTAAGAGTCAAAGCTTTTTTGACAATACTGGGCCTATGTGTTCACTGAGGAGCAACTCGGGCTGCCTTTAGATACGGCGTGTTTTGCTTGGTGACTGACTTCGTGTATCACTTGCACGGTCTGGGTGGACCAAGAATTTGTGATTACTGGTGTGGAACCTTGAAGACTGCATTGTGTTTTCACACCTGATAACCTTTTCATTTTGATCTCTTGACAATCGTGAGGTTTGGCAGATATGACTTCTATTTTCCAGATGGAATTTTTAATCTAGTGTAAGATCATATGGCTGGAAAAGTGGTTCAATATTTGAAAATAGGACTTCAAAGTCTAGAAATTTCCCTACTGAAACACTCCTTTCTTTTTCTTCTTTGTCTTTCCCTCGAGAATCCATCCTGACCTATAACTAACTCAGTTGAATCAATGGTGTAATGAAGCTTGTGTCCCAGATTGTCTTTTAAGCCAGCATTTTTTTTCCCCCTGGTGACTAGCTGTGCCCTTAGTTTTTTACAAAATGGAATAATTCTGTACAGAATGTCATGATGGTACTGAATAAATTATGAATTGCACGTTGCAGCTTTTTCTGTTGTTAAAAAAAAAAAAGGCAGTATCAAATGCGCTTCCTCTTGGTGGATCAGTTGCATTATTTCTCTATATGAAGAGTGTTATTTGTTCTGGTCGCTTCCAGGAAGCTATAGTTGTTAAATAAAAATTTGGCAGACTCTGGAGAGAGAATCCTGCAGGCAGGCTAGGAGTTGACAGATGAAGGTCTAAAGGGACCCTTCACATCCCTCAGGGATTGTTACACATATAGAGCCTTCTCAGACTTGAGATGAGAAAGGAGAATGCTAATGCACCCAGAGTATAGTAGATAACGTTATTCCTCATGGAATTCCTGTGGACAAGATCATCTTCCTGGAAATGAAAAGTAAGAGGGCACAATGACACTAAATCCTTCTTGAGGAGTCTGTTAACAAAATCAGGTGAAAGTTATTCTCCTTCATAAAACTCAGGTGTACTTATGATTTTGTTCTATTGTCTTGAACTTAATTTTGTGAAATGGAGGAGTTTAATATCTTGTCTGCTTTCTCCCTTTTAGATTCGACTTCAAGAAATGTAAACTGCTCTATGAAAGCTTTTCCAACCAAACCAAGTCCGTTAACTTGGTTTCCCATTCCATGATGGCTTTTGACACCCGCTATGCCGGGCAGAAGGCCTGTCCTGGCATGACAAACGTATTCAGCTGTATTTTTCAGCCTTCCAGGAACAGCAGCACTACCCAAGGATCCATTCAGATGGAGCTGCATTACAGGTAATGGATCCAGACCCTGACTCTGCATTTCTTTATCAAGAAACTTCCTTTTGTGGCCAGTGGGCCAAGGCTCTGTCAGCTGTAGAACATCACAGGACTGAGGAGTCACTGAAAAGATAAATAGAAAATGGCTCACCAGTGCTGCTCACAGTGTATTAAGTTAGGATTCCTAACACCTTGCAGTTGCATTTATTGGCCAAAAGATGTCTCTGTTGCCTTAAAAAAAGTTTAGAATTAGACCAGAGTCTTAAACTCAACCTCCCTGTAGACTGTTCTAATATGTAAAGTGAATTGAGGCAGGAAGAAAGGACTCTTGTTTAAGGGGAAAGAAGACGTTTGTTCTGTAGAATTTATAGGAAGGAAGTTTTGACTTGTATTATAGATTTATCTACACACATCTTGCTAATCCACTTCTCCATTTAAAAGCGTGTTAGCCTCTTTGGACTAGATTATGTTTTTCTTCCTGGTATTATGCTAGGAAGTGGTGTGTGTGTAATGAGTGTATGTTTTGGAATTGTACAGATCTGGGCTCAAAACCTTGATCTGCCACCTTCTAGCTATGTGTCCTAGGACAAGTTCAGCCACTTTGACCTACAATTTTCTCCTCTATAAGATAGAAGAGGATGACTGTACCCACCTCACACGGTGGAGACAGTAATTAAATAAGTAATTCTGATCTGTTGCTTGGCACAGATGGTAGCTCTTATTATTATTACTGATGTAGCTGGTGTTATTTATGATATACTACTGTAAGGTTTTAGGGCTAAGTGAGGATATGCCTGAAAACTGTGAAAAATTAGATTTGATCTAAAATCCTCCAATGCAAATCCAAAAGGAGACCTTTGGAAGCAATGTCAGTTCTGTTGTGTTAGTGCTTAATGTTACCAGATATGCTGTAAATACAAACTAGTAAGTAAGAAGGCTGGGAAAAACTTCATGGGAAAAAAAGACCAACATTATTCTTGTGTTCATATACTTGAATGTACTTGATATTTCAGTGTGCTGCACAGTGACTTCTCAGGGTTGAGATTTCTTTTAGCGAGAGGTTGTGGTCCCTCTCCATATGCCTTTAGGAAGTCTAGCAAAGTAGACAGACCTTTTCCTGAACTTTTTGGATGTTCAGAAATGAGAGTGCTCATTGCCTCTTCCTGAGCCCTTCTAGGAGCCAGGCATTCTCCCTGCTTTTATACTTAAATCCTCCTGGCAAGTCTGCAAAGCGGGTGACTTCTGCCCAATTTTATAGCTACAGCAATAGAAGCTAGAAGGGCATTGAGTACCTCTCTAAGGTCACACAGTGGATGAGTGAAGTGGTCAGGACTCGCACCAGGGCCTTTGATTTCAGCACCCATGTCCCTTCGGATAGTCCTCAGGTGTGGCCACTGCGTGTCTAGTGATCTGGCTGACTGCAGTCGGATGCTAGGCTGGCTGTGATTTGCGGTTCTTTTGTTTGAAGATGTTTATCTGAGCAGGAGGCTTCCATATATTTGGTCCTTCTGCAGAAACAATTTCTTTTTGGGTTTGCTATATTATTATTGATCTAGCTTCCTAATCTATCAGCTAGTTGTCTCACCAATCCCATTTTTAATATACAAGGAGCCTTGAAATATTACTCTGTTTATATACTGGAGGTGTATAATTTCTTGGAACCAAATGGTAAAGTCTTACCTTAGCTCTTGTGAACAGAAGTACCATTGTGAGTGAGAGGGGGTTAACATGTTCTCTTGATTGGAACTTTTGAACGCTTTCTGTGTCTCAAGAAGAATTGCTCTTCTGTTGGGATTTTGTGTGTCATATATAAATCACTTCACAGTGTTTAAAGGCTTGAAATATTTTCCAGAAAAGGGTATCAGACATACTTTGACTTTTCAGTTAGTGCATAACTCTGACGATCTATGTTCAAAATGGGGTGGAAAAATTTTACTGAGGGCAACATTTTTTCTCTTAATACAAAAGAGTAAAGTGTTTCTGTGAAAAATGCTGTGTCTGTATGAGGGAGACATGCATCACTGTGCCCTTTCTCTAGAGGCAGTGAGCCAGGTTTAGGAGAAACAAGAGTCTAGAGAAGCCAGACTTAAAAACATCTCAGAATCAGTTTTTGCTGAATAGGAGCCCCTTTTGGGGGAGGTAACCAGGTACGGGTAGTAGCTGGAGCCCCAGAGTCACTTTTGGGCTCACAGAACAAAGTTCAACCCAGAAAACCATATAAAAGTGTCCTGAGCCCACTTTCCTTCTGTCCTACCCATTTCTGCCCACTCATATTCTGGTGGGGCCACACCAGGGTTTGAGACTAGGCTTGGGGTCCCCCTTGGGTTTTTACCTCAAATAGAGAATTTGGGGTAATAGGGCCTACAAAACCAGTATTGTCTCTCTTCCTCCCCCAACTCCACTTCCGGGGTGCATGGGGTTATGCCCACGTATAAATGTCATCTTATTTGTCCTCCTTCTCAAGCCAAAGATCTGCGCTCTCAGGTCAGGTCCAGCTGGAGAATTAGTACTAGTATGTACACTTGATGTTTGTAAAGAAGTGATCACCAAAACATCAGAGAAAGGGTGCGTCACTGATCTTGAAATAGCCTGTAGGGAAGGCACCTAACATTTACCAAAGACACACCTGTTATCTTTTACAGTGTTCATATTTCTCGTTTTGTAAGTGAGGAAATAGGCTCAGAGAAGGTAGGCGACTTATCCAAGGTAACACAACTTGTAAGTGACTGGATTTGAGCCTATGCTCTTTCTACTGCTCCAGGATTTCTCAGCTTTGGCACTGTTGATGTTTTAGGTTAGATACTTCCTTGTTGGGGGGCTGTCCTGTCTTTTGCGGGATGTTTGGTAGGATCCTTGGCCTCTGCTCACTAGATGCCCATAGCAAACTATGCCCCCAACCCATGTTGTGACAAACACAGATGTCTCCAGACATTGCCAGAAGTCTCCTGGGGGACAAAAATCACTCCTGGTTGAGAACTGCTGTATGACACTATACTGCTTTCTTACAGCATAAAAATATGATTAGTTTTTGAAAACGTACACTGAATATCTTACTAAACCAGTGTTTAGAGTTCATTGATACCCAGAGTGGTCAATTTAAAAAATACTGGAAAACACCTGCCCATGCAGAGTAGTATACTTGCAAGTTAATAAAATACATTTCTCTTTCCCTGTTTTTTTTTTTTTTTTTTTAATCTTTTTCCTTGCAGATCTACAAAGGATTCGTCCTGTTTTACGGTAGTTCTCAACAATCTGCGTGTGTTCCTCATATTTGACTGGCTGCTGCTAGTCCATGATTTTCTTCACACTCCCAGCGATATTAAGAAACAGACTAATGTTACTACTTCTCGCCACCGTAACTCTAGCAGCGAATCTGCTGTAGTTCCCAAAACTGTGAAAAGTGGAGTAGTTACCAAGCGGTCTTCTCTTCCTGTGTCTACTGAAAGGCACCTGGAGGTCAAGGTCAATGTAACAGGTGAGCATATGTAGGTGTGAGTCACTGATTCTCAGTATGCATGTTAGGCTCAATATGTATCTTCTAGGATGATTTTTCTATCACCTCTGTATTTTGATGTGAGCACTTACACATTTGCATACAGACCAAGAGACCAACAAGTGTCGAAATTCTTGACCTCCATTTTCTGGTGTGAACTGCTGGCTCCCACCCAGGCTGCAGGGTTCTGGGCCCTCTGCTCCGCCTGTCCGTGGCACGCCCAGCTTGAGTACTGCCTGGCCAGTGGTCTTTTCCCCAAGTGTTAAATCTGGCTTCAATTTTCTGTTTGATCTTCAGCGCTCCAACAGATGTTCCTTACTGAGTTTAGGCAAATCTGATGTGTGAAAATCTGTTTAAAGATAAATAAGTGAGGGGATCGTTATTTTCTTTACAAAAAGAATATGTTCCTTTACAAACAGATATACTGTGGTTTTTGTTAACTAGCAAACTCCTCTGGTAGATCTGTATGTATTTGTGTTTGTGATGTAGCCCAACAACTGCTCAGTGGTTTGGAAGAAACTGGCCAGCACAGTGCGCTTTAAATGGATTGAGTTTCAAAAGTTCAGTCTAACCATGGGTTTTGATGAAAATGAAAAGTAAATCTGCCATGTACAAATGAGTAGAAAACTGTCTGCATTTAGTAATTTCTAAAAAATCTACGTTAAATTAGTATATGTTCTCTGCAAACACTTGAACAGCTGTGTAGAGGATGTGCTTTCCACTGCCCGACCAGCATTGGGACGTGTATCTACTTCTAGGATTTTAAAACAGGTTATTGCTTGGAGAAGGGATGATTTCCTGGGCTTCTGAAATATCTCATAGTCCTCCCAGGAGACTTAGCTTAAAAATACATTCTAAAGATTTTTTTTTTTTTTTAATTTATTCATTTGAGAGAGAGCAAGCCAGAGCACAGGCGGGGGTGGGGGTGCAGGAGGGGCAAAGGGCAAGGGAGAAGCAGACTCACTGCTGAGCAGGGAGCCTGACATGGGACTCGATCCCAGGGCCCTGAGATCATGACCTGAGCCACCCAGGCGCCCCTTAGAAATACATTCTAAAGAGAGAAGAGAAACTGCGCCCCCATCTTCCCTGCCTGTGCTGTGCCCTTGACTCAGCCGGGCCTGGCCAGATACAGAGGATTTGTTCAGGGTGGCAGTGAGAGTGTCGACAGCCATCCCGGAGAGCAAGTCTTGTTGGCTAATGTGTTGTGTGTTGTTCCCCCCGCCCCCCGGTATAAATGCGTTGCCTAGTTTGCAATAGCGTGGTGCTTTCCAGCTTCCCAGCTTTGGCTTGGTTGACAATACTGTCCTTTCCAGGCACGGAGTTTGTGGTGGTTGAAGATGTGTCCTGCTTCGATACCAATGCCATTATTCTCAAAGGCACCACAGTGCTTACCTATAAGCCACGATTTGTCGATCGCCCCTTTTCAGGGAGTTTGTTTGGCATCGAGGTAAGAAGTCTATGTGTCGATAAAAACACTCAATGTTTGGCTTAAGAGAGAAGCATTTGGAAGAGAATTTTACCTCCTCAGCTTTCATTATGGGAAATAATTGATGGAGTCGGTGAACTCTGGCCCCCCCTCTTTGTTTTGTCCTCAAATCTGCCAGGTTATCCTTATATGTGAAATCAGTCCTCCAGCGTCAGGCTGTAAATATGCCGAGAGACTGGACCTCTTGCTCTTACATCATCCCTCGAGAAGTTTGGTGAGACTCTTCTAGTCCCTAGTACTCTGTCAGGCCCCTGCCCTGCCCTCAGCGTCTATGGGTCTAGTCCTGGGCAAATTAGTCAAGGTAGGGAAGTGGTCCTCACTTCCCCACGTCCCTGTCCCCACGTTGAGCTGTCTCTGTGAAGACCTAGGGCTTTGTGGTCTTGGCAACTTGTTTATAAAAGGTGTGAAGGATTTTATGTATAGTCCTTTTAGGAATATCTAATCTGTAAAAGGATATCTCTAAAAAAAAAAAAAGGTAGTAGGAAGGGAAAAATGAAGGGGGGAAATCGGAGGGGGAGATGAACCACGAGAGACTGTGGACTCTGAGAAACAAACTGAGGGTTCTAGAGGGGAGGGGGGTGGGGGCATGGGCTAGCCTGGTAATGGGTGTTAAAGAGGGCACGTTCTGCATGGAGCACTGGGTGTTACACGCAAACAGTGAATCATGGAACACTACATCAAAAACTAATGATGTAATGTATGGTGATTAACATAATAAAATAAAATTTAAAAAAAGGATATCTTTAGAGAGGCATGCATAACCTAACGGAGTGAGTCTCTAATAGTGCTGCTTGAGGCTCTAATTTAATCTCATGAAGGAGATACTTTGCATTGGAGTGGTCTTTGTAGGCTGAAAATTACAGTATGCAATATTAAGTATAAACTGCTCTGTGTCTTTTAAAGTCAGAGGTTGTGGAGAGGGAAGGAGAAATGAGGCAGATTATTATTTCTCTCTAGTGTTCTTAATCCACTGATCTCCGCTAACGTTCCTCTTGTTACAATATTAGAATATTTGGTCCAGATTACTCATCATTTCCTTTCCCTTTATGATTGAACTCTTCATGCCCTATCCTTTCCAGTGGTATTTCAGAGGTTGAATGAACAAAACTTATTTTCACTGTCAGCAGCATATGGGCACTTTTTTTTTCCCTCTCATCAGATATAGCTGAATAAAAACTGTAGAGATTTCACTTCTTGATTACTTGTTTCGCTCATGTAAAGAAACCTCAGTTTGAGAGGAAGGATTTACATGCTGGTGTGATGTGAGTTGATCATGAAATTGTAGTTCGTCTGCTTTCCAAGCCTCTCCAGTAGCAGCTTTGAATGGAAAATGTTGGTGATTGATTAATGAACTGTTAGGTACAATTGAGTTTTGTGTAGCAGAAGGCCCTGAAGAAAAAAGGAAAATGAAACTTTTTTTGTTCTAAAGTCTTAGAAAAACTATATGGCAAAATATTTGAGATTCCTGGAAATTCCTTTCAGTCTTGTTCCTCAGGCAGCACAATTGGATCTAAATTTTAAGACCACCCCCCCACCCCAGTACATCATTGGGGGAGAATTTATAAAGGAAGCCAAGTGAGTTGATTTTGAATATAGTAAAGGAGCTTGGTTTCACATGTTTTCCAACAGCACTAGAAAATGCCCCCCAACCCCCCAAAAGGGGAAGAAACAAGGGAGACCAACATGAATGCTTTCTTCTGTACTGTTCTTTTTTTTCTTTCCTTTTTTTCAAATTTTTAAATTCTAATTAGTTAACATACAGTGTGATATTGGTTTCTGGAGTAGAATTCAGTGGTTCATAACTTACATACAACACCCAGTGCTCATCGTATCAAGTACCCTCCTTAATGCCCATCCCCCATCTGTCCCCTCCCCCCACACCTCCCTCCAGCAACCCTCAGTTTGTTCTCTGTCGTTAAGAGTCTCTTATGGTTTGTTTCTCGCTCTCTTTTCCCCCCTCCCATATGTTCCTCTGTTTTGTTTTTAAAAATCCACATATGAGTCAGATCATATGGTATTTGTTTTTCTCTGACTTACTTCACTTAGCATAGTATATTCTAGCTCCATCCATGTCATTGCAAATCACCAGATTTCATTCTTTTTGATGGCTGAGTAATAGTCCACTATATACAGACACACACCCACACACACCCACACACCCACATCTTTATCCATTCAGCAGTCAGTGGACACTTGGGCTGTTTCCATAGTTTGGCTATTGTTGTTGTTATTATTGTTTTAAGATTTATTTATTTTAGAGAAAAAGTGAGTAGGGGGAGGGGCAGAGGGAGAGGGAGAGAATCCTCAAGCAGACTCCATGCTGAGCATGGAGCCTGACTCGGGGCTTGATCCCAGGACCCAGAGACCATGACCTGAGCCAAAATCAAGAGTCGGCTGCCCAGCTGACTCAGCCACCCAGGTGCCCTTGGCTATTGTTGATAATGCTGCTGTGAACATGTACCCCTTTGAATCTATGTTTTTATATCCTTTGGGCAAATACTTAGTAGTACAATTTCTGGATCATAGGGTAATTCTATTTTTAACTTTTTGAGGAACCTCCATACTTTCCCCAGAGTAGCTGCACCGGTTTGCATTCCTACCAACAGTGCAGCAGAGTTCCCCTTTCTCTGCATCCTCACCAACACCTTTTGTTTGTTGTGTTGTTAATTTTAGCCATTCTGACAGGTGTGAGGTGGCATCTCATTGTGGTTTTTGATTTGTATTTCCCCCATGATGAGTGATGTTGAGCATATTTTCATGTGTCTGTTGGCCACCTGGATGTCTTCTTTGGAAAAATGTCCTCATATCTTCTGCCCATTTCTTAACTGGATTATTTGTTTTTTTGGGTGTTGAGTTTGATAAGTTCTTTATAGATTTTGGTCTTCTGTACTTGAAGTACAAAGATAATTTGGTCCTAGAATGGGAGTCTTCTCTCCCTTCTCTCTCTCCATAAATATGTTTATTATTAAACTTTTTATTATAGAACATTTCAAACATATACAAGTAAACAGATTAATATAATGAGCCCCTATATACCTATCACGTAGCTTCAATAATTAATGTATTTATTTTCAATTATGAAAGTAATAATTATATTACATCAAATTGGGGGAGGGGTGGAGAAAATTGCCAATCCCTTTGTCCGGAATCTCTGTTGACATTTTGATGTGTTTCTTTCCTTAAAGTCATGGTATAGTATTATTTTGATTGGGCTGCTTGTTCACAGTCCATATTGTAACATTCCATGTGGTCTTTTTAATTGTCACTTTTAAATGATTGCAAAAGATTCCATTGAGTAGGTATGATATAACCTGGGTTGCTCTGAATTTTTTTTATTAACTATTAAATAATGGTTCAGTGATTTTTTTTTCCTGTGTTTTGCATTATTTCCATAGGTTAGTTCCTAGAAAGAAGTAGGTATATTGAATCAAGGGATGTGAGATTTTTAGGCCTTTTGCCATGTGTCAGTGATCTGCCTTTTATAAGGGGGGGGGGCCACTGCCCACGCTCTTGGCCGTGGGCAAGAATGCCGGCCCCGCTCTTGACGGTATTTATTTCACCACTCGCTATGGGTCTTTTGAGAACATGGGGCTGATTGCTACTGAGATAGTGTTTTTTTTTTTTCTGCTGATGTTTAGACTCTTCTAAATCAGACATTAATTCTTCTATACTGCATTTCATTCTTTAGGTGTTTTCGTGCCGACTAGGGAATGAGCACGGTACAGCTCTTTCAATTGTTGATCCAGTTCAAATTCAGGTGGAGCTGGTGGGGAATTCTTCTTACCAGAATAGTTCAGGATTGATGGATGCATTCAATAGTGAAGATTTCCCACCGATCTTAGAGGTAATGATGACAAATCTATAGACACATCGATATGCTCTCAAACACTGCCCTGTGCCTGAACATGACATATTTGCTCTGCTGAACTCAGTATTTTCATCACTTCGGCAAATACAAAAGAAATATGACATTGTCTCTGTCCTCAGTCTTGTGGAGAATAAAAGACCCATTCACTGTCTGGTATCATCTTGAAGTTCTGTGAAAGTTGACAGAAAGCAGAACGCAGCAGAGGGAGGAATCTGGATTGTGGGTGGAAGCAAAGGTAGGGCGAGTCTGAGCAGAGGGACGGGATGTCAGTAGGCAGAGGAGGAGAGCAGGCCACGTTAGGAAGAAGCTAAGTCAGGGGCAAAGGGGCCCAGCCGACACAAAGCAGAGGGAGGTCTCACCAGGACAAAGACGTGCATACGGGAGCACACAGGATGCAAGGTGAAGCTGGGGAAGGAAGGTGAAAGGATTTGGCGTTTTATTCCTTTGGCTGAGGACGAACAATTAATCCACTGGAACCATGGTTTTTTTATCTTTAAAGACAGAATAAGTAGTCAAGTACCACCCCGGGACATTCCAGCAGTTAGCCCATTTCTAGGTGGTCCTGTGCTGGTGTCTGTATTGCTTACTGCCGGCCTCTGTGTTGCTGATGTCGGAGGGAGGCCGGATATGGGGAGGTACTAGTGTGGCACTGGACTCATTTAAGGTGATGTTTGGAGAGAGAAGAGGTAATTTTTTGTTGAGTGGTCAGTTGGGTTCAGAGATTTAAAAAAAAAAATTAAATCGATAAAGCAAAATGGGTTCACAGAATGCTGCTAATAGGTGATCCAGAGCCATTTTCTGATTCTCTGCTTTGATGATTAATCTCCTTGTAAGGAAATCATCCGACTGAAATATTCATTGGTGTAGTAAATCTCCTAGCTTTTTATTTTTTATTTGGTGCAGTTCTGTAAACATTCAACCTCGTAGCAGAGATGTCTTATCTCATGGTCCTTGGTGCTTAATTTCAGGATCTTTCCAGTCTTCAAAATGAAAAATTAATATAGTGTCTGCGGGACTTCTAGACCTTGAGTTGGGAACTATACATACACGTGAGAGGTGTGGGCATAAAAGCAAATGCAACTTGAAAAAACTGCTGCCTTTTCAATTTTGTTAGATTCAGTTACAAGCCCTGGATATCAGACTCTCCTACAATGATGTTCAGCTGTTTCTTGCCATTGCAAAATCCATACCAGAGCAAGCTAATGCTGCAGCACCGGACCCAGTGGCCTTGGAGACCAGCTCCATTAGCAGTTACCTTTCCGGCGCATCTCGGGCTGGAGAGGAGATCAGAGAAGGGACAAGACATAGCCTAGATCCTGTCTTGGGTAGGTGTTGAACTGTGAAACCCACTCAGTCTGCCTAATAGCTCCCCTTCTGGTTCACTGTTAAGATTGTCTTTTGCACAATTAAATTGTTCAGAGTATAAGTGTATGCCATTAAGTGTAATTATACGTATGATGCTCTAATTTTAAAAATTTCAAGAACAAATACAACACCCCAAACCGACTGCTCTAGCTTACACTGGTTTTTCTTTTACCATTTCTTCCAGAGTTCTGTGGATAATGCTAAGGTTTAGTTTTAAACATTGAGTTTTCCTCCATTGTTATGTGGATAATACTAAATTTCAGTTTTAAACTTTTATAAACACAGTCACTATAGGGAAAAGACTCTTAAAAATTTCAGGGTGCACTTTGGTAAGTCTCCAGACCGGAGCCCATTTTTGCCTAGAGAAATGGAATGTTTTAGCCACAAGCTTCGGAATTTCTTTTTTTTTTTTTTTCCCTTTAATGAGTGGACTCATTTATGTAAAATTATTTATAAAAATCATGTACTTTTTTTTCTAGAGTTACAGCTGGCTAGACTGCAGGAGCTTGGATTCAGCATGGATGATTGTCGCAAAGCCCTTTTGGTGTGCCAAGGTAATTCGCTCAAGGGTTTCCATACCTGTTGTTCATCTTGATAATATGCTTGCTTCCCATTTCCCCCACTGCTCCCACAAGGGGACTTAGAGAGCCAGACTGTATTTTGAAGCCCCTCTGTGGTTTTCTGTGGGCTGACCGTGATCTTGGACTGGGCATAATGAGGAGCAGCAGTACTTCATAGTGGATAAGAACATGGGCTCTGGAGCCATTGCTTCTGGTCTTTACTGTGCTGCTTTTTGATTACTTATTAGTGACTTAGGTAAGTCACTTAGGCTCTCTGTACTAGTGCTTCCTTATCTGGGAAAGAGGATAAGAAGACTTCCCTTGGAGGTTTCATATAAATAGGCACCGTCTACAAAGCACTTTGGGAAAGTGTCTGGCACATGGCAGGTGCTCTGATGCTGTGAGCCAGTGTTGCTGGTGGCCCTGGTAATGGTGGTGATGCTGGTAGGCATGACCGCTGCGCTCCCGTGTGCCTCATCCTGTGTTTTCTTGTGGAATCTTCATAGCCCTTCGAGGTGGGCCTCGTTAACCCTGCTTCAGGTAAGGAAACTGGCTCAGATAGGTTAAGTAAACTGGTCTGCGGTCACCAGTTAGTGAGGGGCTAAGATGGACTGAAAGCCAAGTCTGCCTGTGTTCTTTCTACCACCCACCTTCCTCTTTGTTGCCCTTTTTCTTAAAACAGGGAGATAAAGCAAAAGCTGTATTTTTTTCTAGTCTGTACTTATGTGTACATCTACTTCTTTACATTCTGTATATATCTGTACATACGTATATACACATATACGTGTAATATCGTCTATGTTGGCAGAGTGTACTGCAAATACAATCGTATAGCCTCTTTTACAATACAGTTTTATTGAATTACAATTGCAAATTTATTACAGTCTACTAATATCAGCATCTTCCCATGTCATTAAAATTATTTATAAATATTGAATTTTTTTACATTGACCTAATGATACATTTTAATTTAACTGTTCTTTGTTTTTCATTCTTTAAATATACACAGTTCTGTAATAAATATTTTTTGGTATGAACTTCTGTCTGTATCTTTTAGTATTTCCTTGGTGGAGAGACTTAGAGTAGTATAAGCGTGTAGATATATTTTTCAGGTTTTTTACTCAACTTGACAAATCTTTTTCTAAAATGTACCAGGTTGAACTCCAACCAATTAGGTGTGAAAATGCTAGTCTTGCCACATGATTATTCACATTAACTATTACCTGTTTCCTTCTGAAAAAAAAATGCAAGCGGATCTAGTCATCTTGCATTCCTTAGCTTTGTTTTTACCGAGATGTCACTGTGTGTTAGTTTAATTAACTTAATACCCCTTAGTGTTTACATTTTCTATTCTTTTCTCTCTTTCTTTAACACAACAATTTCTTTTTAATTTCTAAGAGTGTTTTTGACTTTTGGTAACTTTTCTTTCTTTCTCTTTTTTTTAATGGTAACTTTTATTTCTTTAGTAGCTAAGGTGTCACTCCATCAGTCACAAAAATGATAACAGCAACTAATATCAGTAGAGCCTTTGATATGTGCCAGGCTCTGCTCGTAGGAGAACTTTCCATGTACTTGTCTGTTTCCTCCTTGCAGCAGCCCTGTGAGTGTGTGTTGTTGGGCACAGACACCAAGTAGCTTGCCCAAGATCCAGCATCCTCTAGGTGCTGGAATCAGAAACCAGGCCATCTTCTTCTAGAGCGTGTGCCCTTAACCACTTATCCCTGTGCCATGTACTGGCCTCTAGTAATTTATAGATATGGGGTTGCATTGATTTCCTTTCCTTTATAGCTTTAGCAATCTGGTAGTGTTCAGGGGGCTGTTATTTTAACAGTTGTATTTTACGTACATGCCCTTCTCATTGCTCTTTGTTCTTGAGGAATTCCTGATTGGTGGGGAAGACAGGGTATGTACAGAGTAAGACATTTGAGAACAGTCACAAAGTTGCACATCAGTACATGCAAGATTACATACTTCCCTACCGAGTGACATCTAGAATTTGGACCCTGTCTCTTCCTCTCCTCTCTTCTCCTCCGACAGATGTCCTAGTAGAGGAGGGATGGCTCCTGGAGGCATTTGAACCAGAAGGGTGGTGAACTTGAGTGGAAGGTGTGCAAGGGGGCTTCGTTCTGTTTGCCTAGAAGTAGAATTTCTATCATTATGCTAGTTTTTTTCTTCTTTTTTAAGTCTAAGAGTAAGTACATCTGGGAGCAGGGTTCTCTTGGGCTGTCCAGTAGGTCCCTGCTAAGTGGGGAGCATGACACATGTTTCCTCTGTGAGCTGCTTGAGTAGCTGTGCAAACTGGCTGAATTGATCGCCTTTCAATTTTCTTGAAGGCCAACTGAAAAAGGCAGCAAGTTGGTTGTTTAAGAATGCCGAACCTCTGAAGTCTCTTGCCCTGGCTTCAAGTGGCCGCGAGAGCCAGGGGCCTGTGGCGGCGCGGCTGATCTCTGGAGTGGAGGTGAAAGCTGAGAGCGTGTGCATCTGCTTCATCGATGACTGCATGGACTGTGATGTCCCTCTGGCTGAGCTCACCTTTTCCCGTGAGTGTTTTCCTGATGTTCAGACTCGTCTTGAAGATTTGCAGTGATAACTGAGTTATTTGGGGCCCGTCTTGTGTGTATGTTTGTGTGTGTGTGAGATAGTCATGCTCCCCACTTAGCAGTATGGGTAAAATTTAGATAATGGTTTTACATCTGTTTTTCATTATTTGTATTTTAAAGAAATGTGTATTTATTTGCCATATGTGGCCTTCAGCCTCTAGTTTGGGAATAATAGACATTGTCATTGATGAAATTTCTGTTATATTAACAGCTCTAGCTAAATAATTCCTGATGTCTCCATTTTGTTTATTTTTTTATGAATCTAAAGACTACAGGGAGTCCTGTTATTAGAGGCATTTAAAAGATAAGCTCAGAAAATGCTCTGCCCTATGTATGTCTGAAAAGAAAGCACGCAGAGTCTTACTAGAACATTCACCTCACAGTGTCCTCCGTAGGGCCCTGAGAGCTGTCCTTCAGTAGCAGGCGACGAGGGGATGAGGACCTCCTCCTCAGCAGTGTCATCGCAGGCAGTGTCAGATGGGGCTTCTGTGGAGAGTACGTGAAAAATCTCACCACTGGGTTTATATTCAATTTTCCGCTGTTTGGCCTTGCCAGCCTCTTTTTCCTTCAAGGAAGATTCCGTCCCGGGGATTGAGTTGGGCCTTCTGTGCATGAGAGAGGCTTCCTTTTCTGTGTGCTTCAAGGCCCCACAAGGGCCACGTTGAGAGTAACAGCTGGAATTTTGATTGTCTTCTGCAGGGAATAATTACTTCTTATTTTTCTATAGTAATCTTAAAATTTTGAGCTCATATTTGTCAGGACATAACTGCTCTTACCAATCTGCCTTCCAATTTTCAGATATTCAGGGCGAAATATGTTTTTTATGTTCCTGCAGACTTGAGATACACAGAGACACGTGGGTGCCAGGGCTGGGCTAGGACGGGAAGGAGGCAGAGGGAGGCCTTTGCCTCAGGCATGACAGTGAAAGGGGTGCCAAGAAACTCAGGAATTAAGACAAATAACATTTTAACACAGTGTTTTTAAAAAAATCAGAATTCATGCAGAAAGCCCACAATGAACAAAATATCAAGATTTTGCACATGCTTTCCTGTGAGATCATCAGTATCAACTATGTTTCACGTCCGTCTCTTTACTAAGACTTAATCCAAGAAAAAAAGTTCTAGTTATTCTTGCCCTGCCGCTGCTGTAAGGTGTGCTTTCTTTGCAGGTCTGACTTTTCTGCAGCAGGCAAGAGCTAGCCCTGAAGGGTATGCCCACTTCACCCTCTCTGGAGATTATTACAACCGTGCTCTGTCAGGTCAGTACATAGGCATATGTGATTATGGGGCTTAAAAACCACACTTCAGTATTTGCCTGGGCCTCTTTCTACATAAATTTTATATGAGGGAAATGGGGTGGGTGGGGCTGAGCAGGGAAAGGTGAAACACAAGTGACTGCCTGGGCACAAAAGACACAGATTTTTCTTTTCTCTAACATATATGTTGCAACTGAGTTATTTAAAAAGAAGTTTTCCTAGTTAATTTTTTTGATGCTGGAGGTTGGCTCATTTTAGAACATGGAATTGCTCAGGAGCAAAGGATCATTGGTCTGGCCCTGATAGAAGCTAGATTTCAAGGGAGATTTCTGACCATAAGCGTTTTACACTTTAAGCATCCTTCTTCCTCGCTGGACCTGTTTCATTAGAAGCATCCTGAGCCAGTGATAATGTATAATCTGCCGTACCCTACTCCCTCAAGCAAAACATTGTTGATCAGAGCAGGTGATTCTTCTGGAGACATAGAACCTGGATAATACTGCAAAGCTTTTTCAGGTTTCTTTCCATCCACTGGGAGGATCAAGGTAAGGGCCCATACACATGGACATTCAGGCGGTGTGGTAAACCAGGGCTGAGCAGTTTGAGTGTGAAGTTCTCTGCCTTAAGAGAGTTCTTAGTAGGTGTGGACAAAGTAGAGTTGCACAACCTAAGGCTTAGGCCTCAGAGCGACCACTCTCTCTCGTTTCATTGGAGAATGAAGCATCATTAATTGTGCCGCTGCTGCCGATGGTTCTAGAGTACGTGTCGCATTTACTTTTGTATGTGAGTTAGCATTTTCCTCTCCGTGTTCTGGATTCACTTTCTAAGAGTGGTAGCCCTCTGATTTCCTAACCGTTCAGCATGTTTATAACTTTAGAATACTGACCCAAGTCTTACAAGTTGAGAGAGACTCTTACAGGGCATATGGAAGCCATTTTTCTGAGAATCATATATTTTACCAGAGCAAATCTTGCTTAGTTTTAAAGTTATGTGAACACATTCAGGTCACTAAGTGCCAAATGGTGCGAGGAGACAAATGTACCTACTTGATGCTACATATTGGATTGGATTTCTATTGGTCAATCACCTGATCTGTGGCTGATGGAGTATAGTTAGAAAACTGTTAAAAATTAACTGTCTTGAAAAGTTGAGTCTTTAAAACCATAGGGAGGTACCATTTTTCTCATCCAGCAGACTGGCAAAAATTAAGTGTGACCCTGCTGTGAGCCACAGAACTCTAACTTGTAGCCACTAGAATTGGAAGTTGGTGCAACCACTTTGGAAAACAATCTGACGTGTAGCAAGGTTGAGTATAAGCATTACACTCCTTCTAGGTCTGTACCCCAGAGGTTGTCTGGCCCACGCGTGCTCGGAAACAAGTCCAAGACTGTGGTGGTGTTCCTCCTCATGGCCATAAAGCTGTGGCCTCAAGGGAATGTTTCGCAGAAGTAGAATGAGTACATAGATTGTGGTGTATCCATAAGTGGATTACAATTCACTGGGAGAATAAGTGTGCCGTAGCTACATGGCAGCGATGTGAGTGAATCTCAGAGGCACGCTGTTGGGCAAAAATAGAAACTTGCAGAAGAACGCGTATGGCTGGATTCCATTTATGTAGAGATCCCCAGTAGGACGGACTCACCAGCATGTTCTGAAGAAATGCATGTATGTGGTAAAACTATAAAGAAGAGCGAGGAAATGATTAAAGCTGCAAACTAATGTTTACTTGGGGTTGGGTGGGAGAGGGTTGGTGGGAAGGGGGCCTGACACGGGAGAGTGGCACTCAGGGGCTTCAAAGGGACTTTTAATTTTCTATTTCTTAAGCTGAATAGTGGCTGCGTGAGTGCTTGTAGTAATTTTATTCTTTAAACCACACATAGACATTGTTTTCATACCTTTTGTACATATGACATTTTAAGGTCAGAAATTTGAAAAACTTAAGTTAATGAATATCCAATTATGCTGTATCTATTTATTCAATCAGTGGATTCTTGATGTAAGCAGGAGAATCAAATTTAAGGGTTACTTCAGCCACTGATAGTACTTTTGCATCCTGAGTCTGAGACTCCTTTTTCTATCTTGAGGGGATCAAAAGCAGGTCCTGCCTGCTCTTTAAGAGAGAGGGCACATATACTCTGTGCCCTTCTTCCTCCCACCTCTGGAAGACCATGTGGGGCATGTGTCTGTCCTTCCATTCACATCCTCTAGACAGCACAGACACCTGTAGGGTGACCTGTAGCTGAAGATGGTGCTTTCATTGTGAAATCACATTGGGAATAGAAAGCTGTTAAGCTATAGTTTGTCCTTGCTGAGCATTTGTGAACAGTGTTCCCCTATAAACTCTTGATATCTGCTTAACAGATGTCTTATTTCCTGTGTTCTCTTAGGCTGGGAGCCATTTATTGAGCCATGGCCATGCTCTGTATCCTGGCAACAGCAGGCAGCTAGTCGTCTCCATCCTCCTCGACTGAAGCTGGAAGCCAAGGCCAAACCCCGTTTGGATATCAACATCACCTCTGTGCTAATTGGTGAGTGGAAAGTTGTCTCTAGAAGATCGGTACCTTTCTGTACATAAGTCCCTTGTCTAGAAGACTGTTAATCCTGGTTTAGCAAATACCTGGGCCACACTGGACATCACTTATTCATCGAGGCTGCTTTCCTGATAAACCCTAACCTAGCTTCATGGTTCTTTTCAGCCCATTGCTCCAGAGTTGGCATCCCTTATTAATGCTGTCAGTGATCAAACAAGAGCTCAGACTATTTGGGAAATATAACTCTCTCTCTATTTGGGATGAACTCTCTCCCTGATGATGCTTGGTCACAGGTTTTTCTTAAATGTCCAAGGAGTGAGTTTAGATTCACTTCTTTTGGGCTACTCACACACAGAATAATTCTTAAAAGGTATAGTTTTGACATTGTCTTTATAGTAGGATAAGTGGCCTGTACTGTGTCCCATCAGGTTATCATGTTGACCTGACTCTGAAAATCACTGGGTTGAAGGGTTGCCAAGCTAACAATGCGTGTTCTGAACGTTTCTTTGAAAACTTTGAAATGTATGTTCCCTGATTTGATGTAGCGAGTCAGAACCACCCTATTCCTGTATTTATGTCATCTAAGAGAAGAGTAATGTTATCATGCAATCATGTATTGCCTACCTTTGCTATGAAAACCCACACTCACTGTTTGAATTATTGATCTACATGATCTGATTTTTGATAATACTGTAGTTATCTGAGTGATAACAGTCCTATTGCACATCTGTGAACTTTCTTCAGTGCGTGTGATCGAGGCTCGTAGGATATCTATTGGCTTATTCCATGTCAGAATAAGATAAAAAGAATGTATAGTGAAATGAGACCTTAAGTTTATTGATCCCCAAATTATAAAACCACCGTTTTACATTATCAGATTTCATTCAGTAAATTTTCCCGGATAATTGATCTGACGACCCTTCTGTACTGTATTTTGATCCTATGTCATTTCTTCTATAATGTGTTCATCTGGAAATTTAGATAAAGTTTAGGATAGTGTTTTAGAAAGCTACAATAAACAAGAACTTACTTCCAGCAGAAGAATTTTATTGATATTTCTGATGAGCATCTGTCTATTTAAAAATGGCTTCCAAAAGGCATTCTTGTCTCTGGTAAAGCTGTTGTTTTTTTCACCTCTAATTCCTTATTCCTAATACTGTGCTGAAACCCAGAAATGTTACTGTGACCTCTTAGTATTTAAGTAAATCTTATATATAGCCAACTATTGTAAATGAAAACCAGAAACCAATAATTGCTGTTCTAAAAAATATCATACCTTAATTAGTGGAAAAGGTCTTTATCCAGGGGTGGTGCATCATAATTATTTTGTTAACCTGCCCTTCCCATTATATTTCTCCTCTCAAAACCGTAAATAAAATCACTCCTGGAGAATTGTCAGCTAGATTTCAGCTTCCCAAGATTGGTGTTTTTTTGTTTGTTTGTTTTTTAAACAGCTTCCTCACTGGTTTTTCTCAAAACGATGTCCCTTATTATGACATAGCATACGCTTCACAAACTAATTCTCTTTTCTAGACTGCTTTGCTATGTCCCTACCCCAGTATGTTGGGCCAGAGTCACACCAAGGTATTCAGTGTTTTCTAAAAGTACTGTGTACTTTCACGTCTTTAAAATCTTTGTAGAGGCACCTGGGTGGCTCAGTTGTTAAGCAACTGCCTTCGGCTCAGGCAGTTGCAACAGCCCTGCATTGGGCTCCCTGCTCTGCGGGAAGCCTGCTTCTCCCTCTCCCATTCCCCCTGCTTGTGTTCCCTCTCTCGCTGTGTCTCTCTGTCAAATAAATAAAATCTTTAAAAATAAAATAAATAATAAATAAAATAAAATCTTTGTATATGCTGTTCTCTTGGCCTGGGATGTCCCCACACCCCTAATCCCATTGGTAGGTAAACTCCTGATCTCTAACCTCTGCTCATTCCTCACGACCCAGAACAAAGGTCCCTACACCTCTGAAGATTCCTGTGGATCTTGGTGTGTACTGTGCCACTTCTGCCAAAGCAGAATAAATCTTCCCCTGTTCTGTGCCCCTGTAGAATTTTATTTATGTCCTTGTTTTAGCTCTTTCCACATTTTGGTTTTGTGGTGATGGTTGTTTGGCTAACATTGATTTCTTCCAGGGGAGCCTGAGTTCTCCAGCGGACAGACTTTCTGAGAACCTAGCATAGCGCCTAGCACACAGTTAGGCATTCAACAAATCTTGTTTTGCTGAATAGAAATTATTTGACTTGAACCCTCAACCTTTTCTATTTCCATACTTAATATCTTTGGGGAATTCTTTCTAGACCAGTATGTAAGTACTAAGGAATCGTGGATGGCAGATTATTGTAAACAGGAAAAGGAGATAGATTCAACCACATCAGAAGACTGGATGGGCTCTTCAGTGGATCCTCCGTGCTTTGGACAAAGTAAGATTTTTCTCTACACATGTCTGAGTAAATCACTGTTGACCAACACGGTCATGTTTCATTGAGAAATCCAAATAGAATCATCATTTTCTGTGAAAAAACCTACAGGAAATTCTGACTGTCTTCTATAGTTCTGTTTTAATCTTTGCAGGAGACATTTTTCTGGCACAAAATACTGAACTTTTAATATGGGCTTCAATTCCACCTTTGTGGGAGAGAAAAGATCTGTGATATGCAATTTTCTAAATTCTGGTAACATTGCATATGAGCTGGTGCGCCTGAAACACATCAAGATCAGCCACTGGTCAGTGTGTTTAACTTGGCAAAACTTTCCGGTTGATTTGGACTTTTGGACTGGATTTTAAAAACTATCTTTTCAGTTTTCCAAATCTAGAGGTACAGAGTTTGGATATATTCTTGAAGGGAGGGCAGGCAGGATCCCATATGGAAGAAATTGTTAAAAGGAGGGCTCCGTATTGTTCATAAAGTAGGAAAGAATTGAATACCCAGCCTTTTGAAGACTAAGCAGTCCGTTTGTTCTCTGTTAACGATGTTTTCTTTCCTTATTTAATGCCTCACCATGGAGCTCTGATTTCCTTAGAGCTGGGGAGATTGTGGCGGCCAACCGCGTGGTCCTTAGTTGTTCCATAAGCCATTGTCCTCCAAATTCAACTCAGCCCCAACTCTTTCAGTGTGGTTTCTTTGGGGAGTCCTGGCTGGACTTCACATAGCTCATGAATGCCTAAATATTCCATCTGGTCTGCAAACATGTCACGGGGAAGATGGATTTTCTTAGTTTGTGAAGTATTTGAACGGGTTTGTCTCTCCTCAGGGTGTAGAAGTGGACTCTCTGCCTTGTACTTCTGGAAGGAGGGACAAGGAAATGTCAGCTATATTTGCTCTCTGTATTCCCCAGTTGTTACTTCTGAGTCTCAAGGTCATTGCTTAGGAGCCAGGGCTGTTCAGATATCATCAGCTTTATTCTGGCTCCTGTAACCTTCCCAATTTGTGTGTAAAAAGAATGTAACAGTCTACCCAGAAGACTCTAAACAATCTTTGTAATATGTAATGTGTCCTAGAGAGTATGTTTCGGAAATTATTATTCATACAAGGGGATCTTAAATCCAGATGCAGTGTAAACACGAGGAAGGCCCAATTTCAGGAATCCGATGAAGGATTTTCTTTTGTCTCTACCCCTCTACCTTAAAAAAAAAAACAACAAAAAAAACACTTTCTCTTCTTTCTTTGTAGTTAATAAGCTGCCTTCTCTGTGTTAAACGCCGGTGTGAAATTAAAGCTGGATTTTTATTTACTGACAGATTTTTATGGTTACTTAGGCTTGCAAAAGTAAATCTTTTTAATTAGACAGTAAGTGAGTATACCTGAATTTCCAAACCTTTTTTCCTACTGGACATTCCTGGGTGGTACCACGTGTAGCAAATGGGATTGTATTCTTTTAACAGGTCTACTAAATTAATTGTGGGGAATTTGTCTTGAAAGTTTGTAGACTTGAACCTTGTTGAACAGATCACACCTTTCAGGTCCTCCTATTCATGAACATTTAGTTACATCCCCCCCATCCCCCCGCCCCCCAAATTTGTACATTTCATTCAGGCCAGCTTCAAAATGAGCCCTTGAAATAGAGATTCTTAAAATGAAATTCAGCCTAAGGGAGCTGCTGATTTCTCACCGTTTCTTTAGCAGGGGAAAGAAAACAGTGGCCTCGTTTTTTACATCATTGTTGGCTTTGTTCAGTAAGGGCTGCGATTCTGCAGGTTGACCCGGATGGCATGGCCTCTTATGCAGTTTGTTAGTTTGGTATTCAAAGGACATTTGATGGAGATATCAAATGTAAACATTCTAAAACCTTCCATGTTTAACTTATAGTATAAGTAATACTATGCGGTAACTCCTTGGTGGAGACTGTTTACACTTGGAATGCAGACTCACTCTTTCCCTTGAAATTTTGGGACCCTGGGGGATTAGCACGCCACCGGCACTGCCTTTTCCGAGTCGGAACAGAGCAGCTGCCACCTGGTCTCGGTAACTTTTCCACGCCGTTGAAGAGCGTACACGCTTTAAGTGAAAAAGCCTCACAAGACTTGTCATTCTGTTAAAGAGAATGTAGACAATGTTTTCTTTCCCCCGTTGAGGAAAACAGGAGCATGCTACTGTGACACATCCTCCACAGTAAAAGCTAGCATAAAAATGTCTCGCTCGCTTTGTCATGTACTTTCTTAGCTCCTAGCAGTCACTGACCAGAATGATCCTGAAACTGCATGTTGCTTGCTATTTTTGTAATGTACTCTCGTTGTGCTTGTGTTTTGGAGATGAGTCTTCTTATTCACTATGTTTATTCTTACCCTCTAACTTTGTCTCTCCTGTCTACCAGGCCTCCCTCTTGTCTACCTTAGAACTAGGAGCACAGCCAGTCTGACTAACCTAGAGCACCAGATCTATGCTAGAGGTACAGTACAGCCGGAAGCAAGGGCTTGTTTTCTTTCCTGTTTGAAAACTGCCTTGTACATCAATTTTCTGTGAATGGGATACCCCAGGTTTGAGTACTGAGAGCACTTCCAGCTGATGAATATGACGCCTTATATCAGGAGCAGGCCATGTGCCGCGTCTTCCATCCACCCTCACCCTTGGAGGGTGTGGAGCCAGCTCCACAGTGTATGGGGCAGAAATACCGAGCATTGGAGGGTTTCTCATTTTGAAAAGTGAGGAAATGGAGCAGAGCATCCTCCGTCAGGCAGTGCTGCAGGTCTTTGTTTATAGAATCCTCAGTGAACGCTTATTCTTATGGCAATGCAAGGGGCTCTGCAGAGTAGACGTTATCATGATCAGGAATCGAGTGAAGAAAAAATTTACCAGTAAATATTTGCTTAGAGACAAACCTTGATTTCTTCAGCTATAAATTGAAGTGCTTCAGAGACAGAAAATAAAATGTGCCCTATTTCTGTCTCTGACCCTTGAAGTAAATATGATAGGAAACACTGTAAACCTCCAGGAATGGGAATGCCACGATGTTCATTCCTTTAGTTGTTTGAGGAGTATGATTTAATTGGCATATGTCTGTACTTGGCTAACACCAGGTCCTGCCAGGGTCATGATATATTTTGTAAAAAAAGACCGTTTGAGCTTCCTCTATCAGGGGTTCAGACTAGGGGTGTTCATGCATGGGGGCAGGACAGGGGTTTTTCCTGCAAGGTTTTACCGAGATGGATGTGTAGGGGAGGGTTCACAAAGGAAGCCCATGATTGAATCTTCATTTATTAACGGATTTAGACGCTCAGCTTTTCTACATCTGTTATTTCATCTTTTGGGCTAAGCAGCCTGGGCACCTTAGCTGATGAGGGAGACAAAGTAATTTGCCTTCATGCACATGACCAGCTGATAGCAGGCCTGGGACTTTAATCTATTTCTTACGATTTACAAACCAGGTCCTTTCTGATAGACTGGACGCTTCTATAGCATGAAAACTTACACTGTTTATAAGGGCCACATTGCTCTGTGCAACAAGTCCAGCAGGCTAGAAATTTCCTCAGCCACGTGAAGCCCGAGTTGGACATGAGGAGCCTTAGGTTCTCTAAGCCTATGACAGAGTGAAGTCTGGTCACTCGAGGCAGATTTTCTGGGGCCACCAGGGAATACTGCTCTCTTGGATGGACTTGGGAATGTGGTTCTCTGGTGCTGTGCCAAAGACAAGTACACAGTTGATTTGGACCCTAGTGCAGGAGATGTCGGCTTTGGATTTGTGAGCACTCCATGTTATTTATTCTCAGCGAAGTGGGCTGCTGAAGTCTGTGCTGGTGTGTGTAATCAGCACAGGAAGCTTGGGGACTGAAGCCGTGTGCCTACCCTGACTGCTTCATTCCACAGCAACATGCTTGTGACTGTCTTTATATGGGTTCCTAGCACTTTCTTCTGTATTACGGTGTGATCAAAGCCATTTGCCACCTGTTCTTTTTAAATCTAATTTGCAAATGGAAACTTACAGTCTGGCTCACAGTGGGATATGAAAGCACATCTGGCTTCTTTCCCTCCTGGGTCCTTTATCTGCTGTAGTAAAGCAGCTCTCTCCTGCACTCCTGGAGAGGGAGGTGCCTTTCAAGGTGGCACAGTAAGTGCTGTTTACCCCGCAGACAGCTCTTAAATCTTTTACTCCCCCTCTGCTCTTGTCACCAGCCTCACAGCTACTCCTTAATTTTGTACTTGATGTCATTTTTTTTTTTTTAAAGCCAACCTTGGGAACTAAGTGAGGCCATTGGCATGAGAAATGGGTGTATTCTAGGTGGTTATCTAGGAGATATTCTAGGAGATTATCGTCGGAAGTATGTGGGGTGTTTCTAAAGACTAATCACAGAATTGTAGGGACACACTGCAGACCATTTGTTTATTTATCGGATTACTGTTTCTCAGACTCCATTCAGCCACTGTCCTTACCAAAATAGAACTTGCCTTAGCTTTTTTTTTTTTTAAAGATTTTATTTATTTATTTATTTGAAAGAGAGAGAGAGAGAGAGAGACAGCGAGAGAGGGAACACAAGCAGGGGGAGTGGGAGAGGGAGAAGCAGGCTTCCCGCCGAGCAGGGATCCCAATGTGGGGCTCAATCCCAGGACTCTGGGACCATGACCTGAGCCGAAGGCAGATGCCTAACGACTGAGCCACCCAGGCGCCCCTTTGCAGCGTTTTATAGTACAGACTTCTGAAAACTTTAGAAGACACAAAGGAGAAGAAAAAAAAGTGATTACTTTGTAAAAGGCAGTAGCGATTACTGACTTTATGACCCTGGCCCAGGCCCTATTCTAGTGGTGGGAGAAGGCAGGTTCTGCTGCTTGTTTTGCTGGAACCTTGTGGACCTGTAAGGGGCATTTAATTTTGCTCTAGTGTTCTCAGTGGGCAGGTGCGGTCACCTCGAGATGGCATTTTCCACAGCCGCAGACCACGTGCGTCCCGGTCTTTCTCAGGCTGTCTTTGTGCTTTAAAGCTGGGTGCGCAGGAAGAGTGGGCCATGTCCCCTTCTCTCGGTAGAGCCCGCTCGGCGTGAGCACGTGGCTGCTGCCTTGGTGGTTCCTGCCACCACCTCCCGCTTTGTCTCAGTGCCACCACGACCCACCGACCCACCGACCGGGAGAGGAGGCACAGGCCCTTGCTAAGGGGAGCCGAGCCTGTGCCCTCGGCATGCCCATGCCGGTCCAGGCCAGACCACACGGCAGGGCAGTGGTGCCCGCAGAAGGATCTCAGGGCAGCCGGGGCGCTGGAAAGCCATTTCTGGCCGCATGGACTCTCACTTCTCTCTGTTTACAGTCAGGTCTCTGGAACTTGGGTCCTTACAGTTTTGGATGGATCAGTGTTTCTTTCCAGTTTCCCTGCTTAGAAGCTATTTTGTGAAAAGAAACCATACTTTATGCTCCTTTTGTAGTCTCCTCAGTGCCTACCTAATAGCAGACGGTGGTGGTATCGATGTAAAAAAATGAGCTAAAAATTTCATTTAAAAAGTTTTGGGATAGTATATTTCTGATCTTCCGGGGGGGGGGGGAAGCTATTGGTTTAAAAGAATAGAAAAGAATGTTTTTTGTTAAAAGATGCGTAGTATGACTGAAGTGTAGCTTTTATAGAAAGGGAATCATCTTGGACAAAGTTGGAATAAGTATGTGTGCTGTATCTTGCTACAGTTTGGGTCACTCACTGAGAATATATTCCTTGGGACTCGTGGGGCTCCATTTCTCTGTCTTGATTCCAGCCCTTGCCTTCTCCTGAGTTAAGGCCCACGCAAGTCGTGGGAGGATTGGGGGCTGGGAATTGTCCCCCATCACAGCCAGTTGTTGGGGGGACCATCACCACATAGCAGGCAGCAGAGGACACGGAGATCCCGTGTGTCCCATCGACACACCAGTGGTGGCTCCACGTCTGTGGCTGCCACCGTCCACCGCTTTGCATGAGAGACAGGGGCACCGCGTGCAGGTCTGGGGAGGGTCTCTGCTTCCCAGATAGAGGCCTGCGCTAACAGCCTTCCTCTGTTTGCCCGTAGCAGAGGTGAAGACCCCCAAGCGCCGGCAGCCATTTGTCCCTTTTGCTCTGAGGAACCACACAGGCTGCACTTTGTGGTTTGCCACCCTGACCACCACGCCCACCAGGTAAGGCCCACAGAGTGTGCCCCCCTGAGCCGTTTCTGCCGCCAAAGGCTATGCAGTACCAGCCCAGCAGCGCAAGGTGGGCCCCTTCTGGAAGCTCTTAGGATTGTATTTGAATCGATAACTTGCTGACTTGCTGAAATTAGTGACGGAGTTGGAACCTGTAGCTGGAGAAGCAGGTCCCGAATCTGAAATATCCAAATTATGACCCCAACCCTGGTACACACTATGTTTAAGGTAAAAGTCAAGCAAATTAAGGATGCGAGTAGGAAGTGGGAAGGAAAAGCCATCTCGTCTTTTCTCCTCAGTCCCCACCCCCTTTTAAAAGAAGCTGAATGTGGTTATTAAACCAAATATCCTGTGTTTTTCTTCCAAGACGGCTTTGAAAACACCTCCCATATTCCCCTCTTCCAAACGGAAAACAGTTCACCCCAGATGGAAGTGGGTGGAGCTTGGAGAACAAGAGAGTTTGCCTGGGCCTAGTGAGGATGTTCTCTACCAGCTTCCTGCCCATGTAGACCTTGGCTCTCCCCTCCAAATACATGCTGATCTTTCCCTTTAGGGGGAATGAGGTGCATGAAGTAAATAACACAATTGGCCAATTCGAAGCCACTTTTCTCCTGCCGTCACTAAGTATGGTGGTGCTCCCAAGGAGATGTTTGTTTTTCAGAAGTGCTTTAGGTCTGTTACATTCCAGATGGTCACTTAAAGACTACTTTTGAAACTCATGACTGAGTTTACATGTCCCGCTACGTACTGGACTCTTGCTGGAGGTACATGGCGGTGCGGTGATCACTCTCGGCTGTTTCTAAAGGTTCACCAATGCTGCGATCGTCACAAAGATAGTGGCAGTTCCTGACCTTTTAGGTCACCCAGGGAGCCAGGCTCTCTGGGCTGCTTCTGTGGATCAAGCTCCAGGAGGGTTTCTGCCCCCAGCCCCGAGCTCCGGGTGAGAGGGAGTTGAGAGGGAAAGATGGACAAGCTGGTATTGTCTGATCTGTTTCCAGGGCCGCGCTGTCCCACAGTGGGAGTCCGGGGCTTGCTCCCGAAGGCAATGGCACATTTCTTGATGATGCTCACAATGTTAGTGAATGGCGGGAAGTCCTCACGGGGGAAGAGATTCCCTTTGAATTTGAAGCAAGAGGAAAGCTTAGACACAGGTAAAGTGTGGTTCTTTTCCTCTCCCCAATATATACTGTATAGATCTCTGTGTTAGGGACATAGAGATTGTCTAGAAGGATTGTCCCGAGTTTTTTTGCCTTTTCACTTGCCTTTATTAATGATTTTAATGTTTCATTTTTTTTAAAAGGTATTTTGAAAACCAATGTTTCCTTTCGCTATTTTGGAAATACACTTCTTTCCGTTAATTATCCCCTTAATGGACATGAGAGGTGACGGCCAGTGTGTTGCCCATGATTTGGTTGAGGCATAGGCGGGTGACAACACTCAAGTTCATCGTCTCCTCTCCGAGCCTGGTTTTCACGATGCAGTGGTGACAGGGTTTCTCGTGTGTTTTTACTTTTTTTTAATTGTAGCATGGTTGACACACAAGGTTACATTAGTTTCAGGTGTACAACATAGCGATTCGAGCACATTATCTGGTGCTTGCCACAAGTGTGACTTGTGACTACCATCTGTCACCATGTGGCATTATTAAAATGCCACCGCCTGTATTCCCTGGGCTGTACCTTTTCTCCTCATGACTTGTTTGTCCCATAACTGGAATGACAAGCTATTCTTAAAAGGTCATCAAAGCATGTTGATTTCGGTTTTAAGATACGTGTGTGCCACATAGCACTTTGAGCAAGCAGGTGGTTTTGGGAAGCAGGGCCAGGAATGATAAGAAATTCTGATCTAAGGAGGATAGCACTGACTCATCGAGGGAGACCGCTGGCCCGTGCGCTGTTGAAACAGCCAGCCAGCGGTGTGGAAAAAACATGAAAGAAGGTTCTGTCTGGCTACTGAGAGGTCATAAAATGTCCTTTTATTTACAAACACGTTTAAGGGGAAGGGCTATCCAGTGGATAGTGAATAGGTTAAGATTTTAGCATTTGAGCCTTGTATCCATTGTCAAGCGGAGCTGAAATTGAAGACCCCGGCTTCGGCCTTCTGTGCTCTGATGCTTTCATGGAGCTTGAAGTCTTTGTGTGCAAACGTGCGCCCGAGTGAAACAGTTCTTCCTTGTGCACAGCCTGTACCAGCACACATTATTCTCTCGGCGCCGGGGTTCCTTTCTTGTACCCCCCCCCGGCCCCGCCCCCATGACTGCACAGGAAAGATTGAGTTTATAAAATCACCGTGCCGGACACATGTACCTGGAAGCCACGGTAGAATTTCCAGGGATGAGTGGTGGGCGTGTTCCTGTTCCACAGAGTTCCTGGAGAAGCTAATTATAGAACGCTGACTGTATTTCTTCATCAGCTCTGCCTCCGTTGTGTCAGAAGGGGTTTGACCTCTTTGTCATTTCCGCTTTGGCGTACATGTCTGGTAACCCATTTCAAGTCCCACTGTTCTGCTTGAATTCATCAAAATAAATGCCTCCTCTGGCTTTTCCCTCTTTGGCACACTGTACCCCACTCCCTGCCTCCCTCCCCCTTTCCTGTTAGCTTCAAATCCAGTTCCCCATTTCAGGCTTCTGGCTTGAATTAGGCAAAATCTAAAATAGAATTAAATGTGCAATTTCCTCCTGTTCCTCCTGTTCTGCCCACTGCCTTCTGCTCCAATTTCAGCCGAGCACTTTAGCCCTGAAACTCTCAGGGCTCCATCTCTCATAACCTGTCTGTAGTCTTGTAGGACCAAAGCCAAACAACGAAATGTGGTTCTGAGAGAAGTAAGATATTCAACAAGGGAACCAAGGACAAAATGTCATTTTATGCATTTCCGAGAGTATGGTTTTATGATGAAATTGCTGGTACAACAGTTTTACTAGCCCACTGGAATAGTTCTAGCTGACGTCATGATTTTATAGAGGTGGGCGTGGGGGTGGGGATGGGGGAAGGACCTGGGCTTGTGCACAGGATTTGCAGTTTGTACAAAGGGAGGGTAAATGCCACTCTTGCTCAGGCTTTACAGATCTTGCCCGTTTGTTTTAAGTATAACACCCAGTTAAAATATTCTCCTGATTTTTCTTGCATTAGGTAATCACCAAAAGGCTTAGCCAACTGGGTTTTTATGTCGTTATATAGCAAATCAGATTTGACTCTTTGCTTCTACTTTCCTTCCCTTTTTAAGATCGTGCTTAATGTCCTTTCCCATGTTCTGCCTCATAGACACACCCATGACCTCCGGATTCATCAGCTGCAAGTGAGAGTAAATGGCTGGGAGCAAGTGAGCCCAGTGTCTGTGGATAAAGTTGGGACATTTTTCCGCTATGCGGCACCGGATAAGAACTCATCTTCCTCTACGGTGTGTGGTTGTCGAATGGGGGTTTAGTGGCACGATCGTGCCCCTTATGTCAGATAGTCAGATGCTTAAGCCTATAACCTCGCTCGAGTGAAATTTTCTTTTCTTTTTTTTTTTTTTAAAAGTGTACTCTTTTTTTTTTTTTTAAAGATTTTATTTATTTATTTGAGAGAGAATGAGAGATAGCACGAGAGGGAAGAGGGTCAGAGGGAGAAGCAGACTCCCTGCTGAGCAGGGAGCCCAATGTGGGACTCGATCCCAGGACTCCAGGATCATGACCTGAGCCGAAGGCAATCGCTTAACCAGCTGAGCCACCCAGGCGCCCTCGAGTGAAATTTTCTTGTTCCTCATTTCCCCTAGCTCTGAGAAGACATAAGATTATTTGGGGTCAGCCATAGACATTCGTAGTTGATATGTAGACAACCTGCCAATGGTTAATGTCAGTAGAAAAACAAGATCTAAAGTTAGTGTGAACACATACTACCTCACCTGTGTAGACGCATTTCATACTCAGTTGCCCCAGCTGGCAGTTTATTAATCTGCCAAACGTGTATTGGCTGTTTCCACATATTGTTATGCTTCCTTTTTATAGATAGGATCTTCTTCACATTTCTTGTAATGCTGTTCCTTGATCCTTCTATCTCTGTGTCTCCAAATTCTCCTTCCTGGTATAAAGACCGATGTCTACTGTTACTCATTTTCCGATCACACCCTCGCCCTAACGTTACCCTAGCCTGCAGTGTTAGGGGTTGGGGGGCAGCCTGGGGAGTGATGCAGGCGGCCTCCCTGTCGGGAACCTGCAGGTGGAGGGCATCCTGGCTGGTGTAGCTGCCATGGGTGCTCTTGCTCAGCACTCAGTCATACTTTGTAGGACAACTGCAGTCCTTTCTGGGGAGCCAGTGATGAGTAGGGAAGTGCAGATTTGCAAAGACATCATAGCTTTCCTTTTGCTCCCTTTATTCATGAAAAATACTCTTGGAGAACACTGTTCCTCCCACTTCTCTTGTGCCCCAAGGGAATTTTGTCATGAAGGGACTGATTCCCCCAGAGATACCTTTCTGTTGTGTTCATGTGTCCTGGAGAAATTCTGTGTATGTGGAATGGTTGAAAAATAAGTATTACTTTTCCCATATCCTCTAAGATAAGATGTTTTCTTTTCATGGTAGACCATACTTTTCTACGATTATTTATAAATCCCACCCTTTCAAGCAAATTACATGGTCATTGAATTTAATGAGGTCCGTAATCTTAGGTCTGTGCTGACTCTGCCTTCTGGACTCTTTCTTAGATTGGCAGCCCAAGCAGCAGAATGAATATTATTCATCCCCAGGTTTATGTGAGTATGGTTTTCCTGCGTCACTGCATTTACTGAGTATATACACTGCGTTTGAACCGTACATAGACGTCCTGGTGATCACAGGACTGTATGACCTGAATGTGATTGGAATTAATCTTTGTCCTTTCCTATTAACGATTACCTTCCTTTTAAAAGAACTTTCAAGGAAATGTTTTCACTAACTTGGTATGTTAGACTGAGTGTTACAGGGGAGGAGGAGAAAATGCAAATGTTGTGGTCTAGGGCTCCTTTCTCCTCTTCCCTTTTTCTTTTTTTAAGAGAGAGTACGAGCATGTGCATGTGTGTGTGTGGGGGGGGCGGTGGAGTGGAGAGGGAGAGAGAGAATCTTAAGCAGCTCCACGCCCAGTGCAGAGCCTGACTCAGGGCTTGATCTCACGACCCTGAGATCAAGACCTGAGCCAAAACCAAGAGTTGGATGCTTAACCGAACGAGCCACTGAGGTACCCCCCCGCCCCGTTCTCTTTCTAAGTTAAAATATAAATTAGCCATGTATGGCTGGCTATTTGCATTTTCTAGGTTTTGGTTCCAAGGTCGTAAAAGTAAATAAGAATGAAAAATAGTAAGATTTTTTTTTTGCATTTGGCTTTTGAAACATCATCAGAAGATGATATTAAAAAACTGTCTTCAGGTTTTTTTCTTGTAATTTCTTCTCTCTGATGGTAGTAAGTTCTGACATGTGAGATTTTAGGTAAGCTTGGAGGCAGCAGCATCAAAATTTAAAACCATCGTTCTTGGGCCTTGGCTCTGTCAGGCTTTACCAGGCTAGGTCAGTGGGAGCCTCGCTGATGTTTGTGCCCTGGATTATATCCCTCTAAAAACCCTCCAGAAAATGACAGTTTGTCTTTTCCTTGGGACTTCCTGGAAGTCTTGGTTTAAAACATGGAATTCTTCATTTTATTGTGCATTAGGCTGGTTTCCATGTATTGTTTGTTTTAATAAAAAAGTTGGTAGTGTGAAAAGTTTCGATGTGGTGTCATTTGTTTCTCCAATAAAAATAGCATTGTCAATATGTTCTGGACACTCATTCAAGGAAGGATAGTTGCAGAAACCTTCTCTTTGGTGTACCTGATATGGGGTTTGATACCTTAAAAAAAAAAAAAAATTCCCTGGCACTTGGTAGTAGAATGAAACGTGTGTTGAATGTGTGAATGAACATGTGGAAACAGAAAGTAGTGGCCGCAACCCAAGACCAAAAATAAACTATTTCCCTCCACTCTCTGGAGTTTTGGAGCCTTGGTGTCCCGTTTGTGAAAGAGCGATTACTGAACAGAGCTGAAAACGTTGCAGGGAAAGAGAAGTTTGATTTTCAAGTCCTTTGAAAAACAAATGTTGCTTTTTCTACAGGCATGTCAACGAGTCATGTATGGGCCTAGAGAGTAATTTTTATGACATTTAGGGGGAAACAGTAATTATTGTTCCTGTGAAAGGCATACCAGTACAGACAACTCTTTCTTACACACTCTCTGGATTTTACAAAGACAAGTTCTAACCTCAGAAGACTTCCTCCTGTTTTTCTGTGTGTGTTGGGCAGTGTCCAGCCCATTGTTAGTGTTCAAGGAGTGTTTCTCACTTTAATGGTAATCTGGGAGAAAAATACCACAGAAGGTAAATCATTTCATGTTTTGCAAAGTCTTACTCCAGTGTTTCTGAACGTTTAGTTGCTTTGGATGATCTCTGTTCCCCTCCAGTAGAGTTGAAAACAAGCCTCGTTCATAGTTTCCATATAAGGGCTGATGTGTAGGAACCCAAGGGCATTGTGAATGAAGGGTAATTTCCAGCAGACAGTTTCTTATCAAATTGCAGGAAGTTTGGAAGATTTAATAGGTTATTATGGGTCTTAGTTTCTTTATAATGTGTCTAGAGGCCTAGGACTGATTTTTCTTTGTGACACATTTTGTGATACCACGTCTGAGTAGAGGTATCTGTCTTTCTAGAGATGTTTAGAATTGGCTTTTTTAACAGTGTGTATCTATAGGATATTCACTCCTGTTAAAGATGAATGATTTTAGGGCTTAATGACTAATTTCACTGAAGGGTTATAGTAATAATAAGATGCTTTTGATTTAGGTCTTCTGGTTGGTATTGTTGTATCTTGTGTGTCTTTTCGAGAGCCCAGCTATGGTACTTTTATTCCTGTCTTTTTCGCAGTTCTCTTCGCTCCCACCTGTCCGGGTGGTCTTTGCTGTGACGATGGAAGGCAGCGCTCGGAAAGTAATCACCGTCCGGTCTGCCCTCATTGTGAAGAACAGGCTTGAGACACCAATGGAGCTAAGACTGGATAGCCCATCTGCTCCAGACAGTGAGTTTTGCCATAGTCTGTCTTCCTTTTATCTTGAGAGGGTCAGACTTTCGGGTGGAAGACCGTGCCCTGACGATGCTGACCCTTTTTATCTGTGGCAGAGCCCGTGGTGCTTCCCGCTATCATGCCAGGGGATTCGTTCGCTGTGCCTTTACATCTCACTTCTTGGCGGCTCCAGGCCCGGCCCAAAGGACTGGGTGTGTTTTTCTGTAAGGCTCCTATTCACTGGACCAATGTGGTGAAGACTGCAGAAGTTGGCAGCAGCAAACGAGAGTGCCACTCCATGGGCTTGGACAAAAGCCGATTCTTCAGGTACGCACAGCGCTGCAGTGGCCTGTAAACTTTGCTTTTTTTAAAAAAAAAAAACTCATTCTCTCTCTAAGGACTCTTAGCGAGTCACTCGTGCTTGTTTAAAACCCTGAAGTTCTTATTCCTTAAGCTCTTGTGTTAGAGTTTCTAAGGATTCGAGGGTTACTCTTTGGCGGGGGCGGGACTGTTGCTTGTCATCCGATAGTTATGGGAAAAACAACCAGCAAACACACTACTCACACATATAAGTTAAGGAACCGGTACGCGTGCATCCGCATAAAAAGAGGACATGTAGAGAGGGAGGAAAAAATATTACCAGTTCCCATTCCTAAATTGAGAAGCAGAATCTTGGGGTTGGACATTCTTCAAATGACGGATTTCAAGAGAATTTGTAGGAAGGCTCATGCACCTAGTACTGACTTTCCTTGGCGACCTTAACAAAATTATCTAATCATGTAGACTCCTGTTTTCCCCTTCTGAAGAGTGTAAGTAATACATTTCTAGATTCAGTGTTGGAAAAAATACTGGGTTGGCATTGTTCGATCCTTCTAAACTTAGACTTTAAACTTACTTAGACTAGAGACTGTCAGCTTTAGTTTTCTCTCTAGTGAAGACGGGCATTCATTTAGTTTAAACTTACAGAAGAGGTGCAGGAATAGTGTAAAGAATTCCAGTATGCCCTTTACCCAGATTGGCCGATGGTAAACAGATCGAAAAGAGAAATGAATAAATACACAGCTATAGTGAACCGTTTTAACAGTTTCCTGTCAGTAATTTATAAGACAAACAATAAAGATATAAAAGGATTTGAACAGGGCTGTCCATCAGTGCTTGTCATAATTGGCATTTATAAAAACACTTTAACCAACAACTCCAGATTGTACACCCACTTCAGGTATGTGTGGAATAGTCATCAAGAGAGACCATCTACTGGGCCATAAGACAAAGATCAGTAAATATTAAAAAATTGAAACCATACACGGTAAATCTCATCATCACAGTGGGATTAAACTGGGAATCAGTAACAATAAGATGCCTGTAAAATCCCTAAATATTTGGAAATTATACAGTAGATTTCTAAATAACCCAAGGGTCAAAAAAAAAGAAATCACAAAAGAAATTAAAAATATTTTAGGGCGCCTGAGTGGCCCAGTTGTTAAGCATCTGCCTTCCGCTCAGGTCATGATCTCAGGGTCCTGGGATTAAGTCCCGCATCGGGCTCCCTGCTCCGCGGGAAGCCTGCTTCTCCCTCTCCTTCTGCCTGTCACTCCCCCTGCTTGTGCTCCCCTCTCTCAATAAATAAATAAATAAAATCTTAAAAAAAATATTTTGAGCTGAACAATAATAACAACTAGACATTAAAATGGGGGGGGAAGCAGCAAAAGCAGTTCTAGAGAGAAATATAGGTTGTTTTGGGTTTTTTTTTTTTGAGAAATGTGTAGATTTTTAATGCTGTTTTTAGAAAATAATAAAGATGTAAGGTCAATGATCTGAGCTTCTGCCTTAAGGTAGAAAAAGAAGAGCACATTAAACACAAACAAATAGAAAAAAGACCTAGTAAAAGTAAGTGTGGAAATCAATGAAATAGAAAACAATAGAGAAAATCAACAATGTCAAGTTGGCTTTATGCAAAGATTAATAAATTCGATAAATGTCTAATAAGACTGATCAAGGAGAAAAGAAAGAAAACACAGATTACCAATATAAGGAATGAAAAGAGGAAACATTATTACAGATCCTCAGACATTAAAAGGAGATTTCTTTGAACAATTTTATACAAATAAATTCCACCCTGGAATGAATGACAAATTTCTTAAAAAACACAGATTACCAAAACTGACACAAAAAAGAAATAGAAAATCCACATAGCCCAATATCTCTTAAATATAATTTTTAATAAAAAGCCTTCCCAGAATGAAGACTCTAGGCCCATATGGCTCCACTAGTGAATTCTCCCAGACATTTTAGGGAGAAATAGCACCAGTTCTGTGTAGTCTTTCAGAAAGCAGGGCTGGAGGGAACAGTTCCTCATTCATTTTTATGAGGCCAGCATATACGTGATACCAAAACTGACATAGATATTATTGGGAAAAAACAAGAAAGGGAGAGAGAGCTACAAACTAGTATTTCCCCAAGAGATAAAAAAAAAAAAAAAATTCTTAACAAAATATTACCAAATAGAAATCCAGCAAGTGAGATTTATTCCAGGAATGTAAGATTATATTAACATTTGAAAATTGATAAATGTAATTTACCATATTAACCTAAAAGACTAAAAGGAAAAAACCCATCAGATCATCTCATTAAATGCCAAACAAACAAAAAAGCATTTGATAGAATTCAACACCCATTCACTGTAATACTGGGCAAGTGAGGAACCAGGGGGAGTTTTTCCAGTCTGTTTAAGGGCATCTGTCATAAACCTACAGCTACCATCATGCTTAATGATGAAACCTTAAACTTTTCTTCCTTGAGATTGAGAACCAACGACTTCATTTGATATTGCCGTAGTAGTCCTAGCTGTTGCAATAAGGACAAATAAACAAATTGAAAAAGCTTGAAGATCTGAAAAGAACTAAAATTTAATATATGCAAATGACATGTATGTAGAGAACCATGGACTACGTAAGAAAATTATGAGGCCTGATAAATTTATCGAGATTTCAGGAATTAAGGGCAACCTGCAGAAATCAATTGTATTCTTATATTCTAGCCATGAACATTTGGAAATGTGATTTTAAAAAGATAGCACTTACAAGAGTATCAAAAACCATACTTGCCCAGGAATCAGTCTAAGGAATTATGTACCAGTCTTCTACGCTAGAAATGACAAAACCTTGTCAAGGGATAGTAAAGAAAACCCAATAACTAAGTGGAAAGCTAACCAAGTTCGTGGATTAGAAGACTCGATATTTTTAGGATTTCCATGCTCGCTAAATTGATCTGGAGATACAACCCAGTTGGCCATCTCGACCCAGTTGGCTGTCAACAGGATGATGAATAAATTAAAAAATGGTATATTCATCCATTGTCATGTGGGTCAAATTACTGATGCATACGTACAACAGCATGACTGCATCTTGTAGAAACTTCATGTTACACACAAAAAGCCAGACCCCAGGAATGGTAAATACTGTATCATTCCATTTACATGCAGCTCAAGAACAGGCTCAACCAATCTATAAGTGATAAGTAAAAGACAGTGGTTACTTCTTTGTTGGGAGAGGATATTGATTGGAAAGGAAGAGGAGGGAACTTTGTGGAATGAGAGAAAGATTGTGTATAACTGGTTTTGGGTAGCGGTTAATGAGGTATACATGTTTGTCAAAACTCACCAAACTGAGCATTTAAAATTACCCATTTTATTATGATTTAATTATACCTCAGTAAATGTGTTTAGATTGAAAATCACAAATATCTCCCTGAATTGTTGAACCGTTTTAAGGTAATGCTTTCTCATACTCCACTGAGGAGGAAAAATTCAAGTTCTTTGGTTTTTACAGTGTTTTGTCCTCATAGGTTTTGTGTGGCCATAAAGAAGGAGAATTACCCGGATTATATGCCCTCAAACATATTTTCTGATAGTGCAAAACAGATCTTCAGACAACCTGGACATACCATATACCTCCTGCCAACTGTGGTCATCTGCAACTTGCTACCTTGTGAACTTGACTTTTATGTTAAAGGGATGCCAATTAATGGGACCCTGAAACCCGGCAAAGAGGTGGCCCTCCACACAGCTGATACATCGCAGAACATTGAACTGGGTGAGGGTTTAGTCAAAGAATCATTGGTGGTAATTCTATGGAAATGTCACTGAGTATTTTGTGATCATTTGGTAAACATTTTAGAGAACTTAGAGCACATGATATCTCAATAACCCAGCTCAAGGGATTCACACGACTAAAAAAAAAAACAAACTTAGAAAATTACCAAAAGAAAAAATCTGAACAAATCCAAAAGATTTACAGAGGAAGCATTCAACAGAGTCTTTTTTCTTATATTGCTCACTTGATGTGTGACTACAGGAAGTCATTTCATCTTTTCAAACCATGCTTTTTTTCCTGGCTGTAAAATGAGCAAAATCCGAGGTCTCTCCTCTTTTTAGGAAAGGGGAAGACGTGCTTGGCACACACGGTACTCCAGGCATTATGTCAGGTGCTTTCACACACGTGATCTCACATAAGCCTACGGTCGTAGTTGCTGCTCTTATTTACCAATGAAGAAACTGAGGTTTGGGGCGTTTCACGCACCAGGTGATTTTCAGCCACAGGGACGAATAATGACGTCAACGTAGAGAATCGTTACTGTATTTGCAGCACTTAAGGCAAAGAGGGATTCCTGGAGTTTGGACAGGACATATGACTCAGCTGCGTGAGTGACCTCACTGTGTCCTCTCACACAACCCCTGTTTCAGGCGGACAGCTGTTAGCCCCTTTTTACAGGTGAGGAAACTCAGACTCACTGAACTTAAGCAGTGTGTTCAACGGTGACCAGCTGACATTTCAGCGCATGTGTGAATCCTCGAGCTTGATTTAGAAGAAAAAAACAATGCAGTGCTAGTTGTCCATTCTAAAGAAAACAGGTCTCTGCTCTGACATTTAAGTATCTCTTCAACAAATGTTCCTGGAGCCCTGTAGAAAATGGAAATGTCCCCCCCAACCCACCACCACCGCACATACACCCAGCACTCCTGTCTTCCCAGTCACGCTCCACGTGGATGATCACTTTTAGTAACAGTCCTGCGACAGACCTACCGGTATTCTCCCCATTTGGCAGAGGAGATGCATCGAGGTTAGCTTGCCCCACTCCCAGCCCCCCATCACACAGCTGGTAAGGACAGACTGGGAATTGGAAGCCAGGCAGTGTGACTGCCGAAGACCTTGTCTCTTACCCTGTACTTGCCTTTCCTGTGTTTGAGGTGCCTGCCCAGCTCAGGGCCTGATGAATAGTAAGCTCACAACAATCATAGCTGTTATTGATAGCTTTTTGGTAGTTTCATCCTTCTGATTATGCAGTTCAGACTCTCTCGTGTACCTTCCAGACCGTCTGGTTTGCTTCAAATTTATTCTCGCCCCAGCTAAAGGAAAATGGCTGTTCCAATGAGATTTTTGCTGGTTACATATGTAGTTACTGATTTTTCCAAAAGGAATCCAATTTTGTTTGGCTGTGGGCTATTTTGACAAACTAAAGTGAGAACCCAGGCAGACAATAGCTTGTATCTTCTTTAGGGGTATCACTGGAGAATTTTCCACTCTGTAAAGAATTGCTCATTCCACCTGGAACGCAAAACTACATGGTAAGAATGCGACTCTATGATATCAACCGGCGACAGCTGAACCTCACCATCCGGATTGTGTGTCGAGCAGAAGGATCCTTAAAGATCTTCATTTCTGCTCCATATTGGTTGATTAACAAAACAGGTATGTACAGAGGCTGCTCAAGGAGGCCTCTGGCGTTGGTCATGGGAATTCAGATTTATTTGCTCAGCTAACTGAATGGAGCCAATGCAAATAGATTACTTCAACAGTCTAAGCTGCTAAAACTCTCCTGCGTCCATAATAAATGCTTAATCGTGGTCAAAAGTGTCCTTTCAGACAACAAAGTGAGCCCACCAAATAAATTCAATTTTCACGATTCTCCCCCTTGGCAATTTTTTTCCTTTACCATCTGCATCTGTCTTGCGTAGACTGTGTGAGATTGATGTAAACTTTCCCCCTCCTTCCTAAAGGGTTACCACTGATCTTCAGACAGGACAATGCAAAGACAGATGCTGCAGGCCAGTTTGAAGAACACGAGCTGGCCCGGAGCCTGAGCCCTCTCTTATTCTGCTACGCTGACAAAGAGCAGCCAAACCTGTGAGTACAGTTATTTATGGAAAGGGGAAATAAGCTCCTAGGCGAGGGAAAAAATTAGCAAAGGCTATAGTATATCCGTGCAAGTAGAAATAGACTGTAGATAACAATCCTGACTTGGCAGGGGAATAGGACCATGACCTAATGGGATTTTTTTCAGATCTAATTTCTGTGTCATTTGATATTGAAAATAAACCATTTGGTGGGTTTGTAATGAAAGCTAGTTTTATTTTACATGTATTGAAGGAGTTCTATTCATAACTCCGCCAGTGAGGGGAACCCACATGTTCCCTTCCCTGCTCTGCACGGTTTTCTCCTGCACTGAGCCCTCAGCATGGGCAGTGGAGCTGTTATCAGAGGGGAGATAGCCTGGCCCTTTGGTAAACCCAGTCCAGGGCATTTTTTGAAATAAACTGCCCTTTCAAGAGCTCAGAGCACTCACTGCGTGTTTAAAGTCAGGGACGAGCAGCGTTTGCGAGATTCAGATGACCCGGCCTTTGCGGGTGTGGTAGGAGCTTGGATTCCCTTTTGTTCTTGTTTTTGACATTCTGCTCTTTATAGGAGTCTTCTCATTTAGAGCCTTCCTCAGAGGGAGGTGAGCGCATAGCGCTACAGTGCCATCCCCTGCTGTAGAGATGTAGAAGTGAGCCACAGCTGTCCAAGGAAGGCTTCGGGAGCGCTGCACACCAGCGGCTGCAGACACGGCTCCCAGGCAGGGCTATGGCCTCGGACCTACTGGCGACTGACTGGATGTGGTGGGCGTTACAGACAGCCCCTTGACACAGTCTCACGCCTTCCCCGAGAGGATTCTGATGGTTTTAGATCGAGGACTTGACATCTGTGACGCAGTTTGACTTATCCCGGGAACCCACGGTTCACCAAGCATCTCTGCCTCGCCCATCACATCCCAGGGGATTAGGCAGGGCAGGAAATACTGTTTTATTTTAAGATGAGGAAACCGAGGCTCAGAGCAAACTAGCCGTCCAAGGTTACTTGGCTTGTTAGTGGTAGAGCCAGAACACACATTGGGGAATTCTGTCTCCAGGATCCATGACAAGACCCTGGCCGCCCAGATGGCCCTTTGCCGTTGTAATAGTACCAAGCCTGAGAAAGAAGATAACCATTAGCCGCATCTCGTGTACATACTTTTCTGGTGTGCACAGAGTCGTGTCCACACTTTTCTCCTACGGTCAAGGAGTTTCACGAACCCCTGAAACATGTGAGATAGGAAAGTATCAGTTTGCCTCGACTCCTTGTTTCTCAGAGGAATAAGGTATCGTAGTCCTTTCCTTATGATTTATGCTCATCGAATCATAATGTTTTCTCTGAACGTGCCCAGGTATAGATGTCAGTACATTTCACACTTTGCAGTACTGTGGCCGCCTCTAAGATCAGAGTTCTGACCACTGGCTGATTGCCTTGCTGTGTTGGGAAATCACACGAGGGTGAAGAAGAGTCAGTGTTAGAGTTCTGGTTTGGGGTGATAGCTTCAGCAGTGTTTCCTGATTAGAACAGGTAGGTAAGACTGTTTCATGGCTGAATACATGTATCTCTGCTTTTCTGCCCCACACAGCTGCACGATGAGAATCGGAAGGGGGATTCATCCTGAAGGCATGCCGGGCTGGTGTCAGGGCTTCTCACTGGATGGTGGTAGTGGTGTACGAGCTTTGAAAGTCATCCAGCAAGGAAACCGCCCAGGGCTGATCTATAACATTGGTGGGTTACATTTGGAGCAGCGGGAGAATCAGAACCATTGGCCAATGACCTCAGGCTTGGAGGAATAAGCTGGCCATATGTTTTGGCCTGGCTGCAAGTGCTGATTTTCTCATTTGGCATTGGGTCAGGTATCTGTTCTCTGAATGCTAGATTGATATCAACACAGATCTGTTCTCCTAGGGACTAAGGAGCCACCTAAACACTGCCCTTTTGAGGTCTGGGACTCTGTTTAATCTCAGACTCACCTGTGTCAGGAAAGTATCGGTTTGGCTTGAATCCTTGTTTTTCATGGGAATAATAGGAACACTTAGAATGCTTTTCATCCTCCAAGCATTTCCCACGCATTCATTAAAACCTGCAAACCCTAAGAGGGTAAGAAGCATTGTTCTCCTTGAAACTGAAGCAGAGAGGTTAAGTGACTTGCCCAGATGCAAAGGGCAAGTCTGGGTCAGAAGTAGGATTATGATTAGGGTGTACACATTTGAGGCAGAAAATATAATAAAACGTGCTTAGCGGTTATAGTAATCAGAAGCCCCTAAACTAGCCTTACTTCTTGAGGTGGAGGGTGTTGAGGGAAGGGGAGAGTACTGTACGATGCACCTCATAGCCATCTGGGACACTCAAAAGACTTTCTGAAGAGTTAAGGTAAGTTTGATTTAAATATGTCTCAGGTTTAAAATGTTAGCAGTGCACCCTTCCTTTAGTATATAATTTCCAAAGATCTCAAAGCGCTGTTGAGTGTTGAATGCTGGAAAACCATCTAGAACTGTGCTGTCTGTCATTGAACCCTCTACGAGGATGGCAGTGCTCCATTTTACACCGTCCGGTGCAGCAGCGCCAGCCACGTGTGGCCACTGAGCACGCAGAGTACCTTACTAAGAAGTGGGGCAGGTGTGACCAAGGAATTGACTCTTGCGTTGTACTTGATTTTAATGAGTTTAAATAGCCATTCAGGATTAATGGCAACTGTAATTGGACAGTGCAGATACAAAGAGTCCTGTTGTAGAGGGAAAATCCGAGGTGGTATCATGTAGCTGTTTACCCTAAGTCCCGTGGAGGGCCAGAGGTAAGTTTAAGTATTTGAGGGCTTATTAGCAAGTCTCTTCCAAGTCCAGCTTCCTTTTCCTGTTTTTGGAACATGAATTCATCTGTGTTCTCCCTTGACAGGGGAGCTGTCTTCTTTAAGGCTGATGTTAAGATTTTTAGTAGAAGAAATAAATTTTCTGCGATCCTCCCACCAGGGATCGTTTTCTTTCTTTTATTGTTGTTGTTGTTGTTGTTGTTTGTTTGTTTGCCCGGGGTCATTTTCTGTACTTTGTCTTTACATCTGTTTGCTCCACCTCTTGAATAGGCAGAGGCTGTGTTTCATGCTCTGTTTGGCTATCTGCTGGGGTATCTTGTCCTTGATACAGTTCCTAAAGAAAGATACCACAGGTTGGCTAGAAGCTGCAGTTGGGACAGATTGTGGGGGGAAATGGAGGCTTGTGCCTTCTGAAGTACCAGGAAGCACAGAGTTCTGCAAAGAGGCAAACAGGTCTCCAGTCAGAAATAATGCTGTAGCATGCATATAAACTTGTATGCGAGGAGCATTCATTAAAAGTCACTGCACATGTTTTTAGGAACAGTACTGTGATAGGAATTTTGTTGTTACACCAAAGAAAGGGATAGAGGGGGTAGGCTAAGATAGGAGTTTATAATTCCTAAGGATCATGAGATCTTGGCATGTATTATCAAGGGAATTTGTGGAATCTCTCCCTTGAATATTTTTGAAGAATTAGATAACCAGCTCCCTATCAGGAGAGTTTAAAAGTGAAGTCCCAACATGAAAAGCCAGGGAGGACCTTGCCAGTTAGCCCTCCATGTACCTCCAAAAAGAAGGATTTTTGTACATTTTAATCTTACCAGATGTTCATTTATTGGGAGTTTGCTAAGGCAATCTAAGATGAAAAAGGACACAAAAAAGTCTGCTTTTCAAAAAAAATTGGGTCTTTATACTGTAGACTCTTTTTGTAATATCAAATTAAATATATCTTTTGTAGGCAGACTTTGTATTGGTTAAGATCAGCTAGCTGTGAATATCAACTTCTGACAATGCTTTCCTGTAGCAGGAAAAAAATGATAGGGTACATCTCCCTATTAGAGTATTTTTTTTTTAAGATTTTATTTATTTATTTGACAGAGAGAGAGAGAGACAGCGAGAGAGGGAACACAAGCAGGGGGAGTCGGAGAGGGAGAAGCAGGCCTCCTGCTGAGCAGGGAGCCCGATGTGGGGCTCGATCCCAGGTCCCTGGGATCATGACCTGAGCCGAAGGCAGACGCTTAACGACTGAGCCACCCAGGCACCCCCCCATTCAAGTATTACTTAGCATTTCTTAGCTACAGAATTTCAGACTTTTCCTGTTTTTGTGATTTGCTTAGTCTTTTTTTTTTTTTTTTTTTTAAGATTTTATTTATTTTTTGACAGAGAGAGACACAGCGAGAGAGGGAACCGAGCAGGGGGAGTGGGAGAGGGAGCAGGCTTCCTGCTGAGCAGGGAGCCCTGTGTGGGGCTCCATCCCAGGACTCTGGGATCATGACCTGAGCCGAAGGCAGACGCTTAACGACTGAGCCACCCAGGCGCCCCATTTGCTCAGTCTTTTAGGTATTTTGAAGACTTAGATTAAAGCAATACCAGCTTTTTTAAGCCAGTACACGTGAATTATGGAGTTAACAGACTAGAATATTTATAATTGGGGTTATGTTGGGACACCCAGGACATCTAGTTATCATGTCCTAAGATCTCTTCTTTTTTTATGGTCTCTTGACACTTGTTAACTGCTGAGGAGGGTCCTTGTAAATGTCCCATCATGATGTGAGCAAGGGCTCCCGAGGCAGTGTGCCTGGGGTTGAACCCAGCTGGGCCACTTACTGGCTCTGTGACCTAGTGCTTAAGTTTCCTCGTGTATAAAAAGGAAAGACTGAAAATACCATCTGATAAGGTTGTTAGGGAATTAAACGTAGAGCCTTTGGGAGAGGTGCATCCTGCATTAGGAATTCAATAAATATCATTTTTATTATTTCTAACTATAAATATTTTTATCCTTGTATAACCGGAGCTCAGCCTAGTGCCTTGAATATAGTTGCTGTATTTATTATCTGAATGAATGAATAATTTATCCCACTGAGTTTTGTAGTTTTTAAAATTGTCATCAGAGGGGCGCCTGGGTGGCTCAGTCGTTAGGCGTCTGCCTTTGGCTCGGGTCATGATCCCAGGGTCCTGGGATCGAGCCCCGCATCGGGCTCCCTGCTCCGCGGGAGGCCTGCTTCTCCCTCTCCTACTCCCCCTGCTTGTGTTCTCTCTCTCACTGTGTCTCTCTGTCAAAAAAAAAAAAAAAAAAAATCTTTAAAAAAAAATAAAATTGCCATCAGAGTTTTTAAGATAATTCAGTGCTGTTTCCCTTCTTTCTTTCTTTGGGATCCAGTGTTTGGAGATGACATGGTAGGTGCTGGAAACATTTATCTTGTGAATGAATACATCTGTAATATTTAGCTTCATGTTTCAGCTGGGTTCTTGGACAGTGGGCTAAAAGAAAGTCCTAGAGAAGAGTCCGCTGTGTTTCGGGCCGTGCAGGATCCAGTTAAGTAATCTGAAATTTCTGCCATATGTGAAAGGGGCAAGTTCCCAAGGAGGAAATTTTGTGTCCCAGATGTAAACAGAAATGTATTATATGAACTGTCTTAGTAGTCCCTTGGTGAACGGAAACTACCAGTACCTGTGGCTGAACACCTGCATGTCTTAGTTGCTGTTGTGATGGGGCAGCCTTTATGGAGAAGCTAGGAATTATGAAACTTTTACTGAAACTTTTTAAGGCTGAAGTGGGCATAAAGAATAAGACTTTGAGTACAGTTGTTCTCATTCCATTCTTGGAAGGCTTGACAGCATCTCTGGGTGATAATGATTATTTTCTCAGGGCAAGTATGTACTTGTGAAGCCTACTGATTTCTGTCAGACCATGAATTTTCTTTCTTCTGATTAACTCATGGAAGTGGTACTTATTATTTGCAGGGATTGATGTCAAGAAAGGCCGAGGTCGATATATTGACACCTGTATGGTCATCTTTGCCCCTCGTTACCTGTTAGATAATAAATCATCTCACAAGCTTGCATTTGCACAGAGGGAATTTGCCCGGGGACAGGTAAGTAGTTTACTTTTGAAGAATGACTAGTGTTTATTTAACAGCACGGAGAGTTTTAATGCCATGGCTTATCTCTCCATCAGCACTGTGAGTTTTGTGATGTGAATGACCATTTTGTGCCTTTGGAACCCTAACTAGCTCGTGGTAGAGGGCTCAGAGTAGGTGGTTGCTCAGGAAACATTTGCTGTCTTGACTTGATTTGTTGACTAAAGCCAGTGATCCTGTGTATTTTAGGGAACAGCCAATCCTGAAGGTTACATTTCCACCCTTCCTGGTTCCAGTGTGGTGTTCCATTGGCCTCGGAATGACTACGATCAGCTCTTATGTGTCAGATTGATGGATGTTCCCAACTGTATTTGGTCTGGAGGCTTTGAAGTCAACAAGAATAATTCCTTCCATATCAACATGAGGTAAATTCAGAGACTGTATTTAAACAAAAAGTAGTCGTGTTTGAGGAGAAGTAATGTAAACAGTGAGCTGTAAATACCATGTACAATGGAGATATCTACAAGTCTATAAAAAGTAAATAGTAATATTACTCTTCATGAAATGGGCACATTTCTAGCTCAAAGTTCTTAAAACTTGCAGTGACCAGATAAATATGACAGAATGTTTTGATGGAATGAATTAAAGGGCATGTTGACAGTTTTGACCATGGTGCAGTTGCTGTGGGCTGAGGTTGTAAATCCAAGGGGCTGCACTGAGCTCGTGATTGCCTGCAGCTCTGAAAATTCTGTTTGTATTTAGATGCTAACGTTATTTATAGATGGTTTTGTATATTCTTCCACATTGTGTATGCTCTTTTCTCACTTGGTCGATTTAGTAAATTATCAGGCCTTCTTTACCCAACCCAGTGACCCTCAGGTCCTTATTAAGAAAAATTAAACAGATTCAGTCTCAACTACCACAGGATGACTTTTTTCTTTCTGCTTTCATCACATGCTTTTTTTTAAAAAATACTAATTTTTTTAATTGTGATAAAATACACATACCTATAAGAAAGAGAACACAAAGACACAGATTATTTTTGTGGGCCTCAGGCACATAACATGAAATTTACCATCTTAACCATTTTTAAATTCACTAGGTTAAGTGTGTTCCTACTATAGGGCAGCGAAGTGTCCAGAACTCTTCTTGTCTTGCAGAATGAAACTCTATACCCATTAACAACAACTATGCATCTCCCCCTTCTTCATGTTAGTATCACACTGTTTTGAATAATGTAGCTTTGTAATGAGTTGTGAAATCAGGAAATGTGAGACCTCCAACTTTGTTCTTTTTTTAGGATTATTTTGGGGGCTCCTGGCTGATTCAGTTTGTAGGGCATGTGATACTTGATCTTGGGGTTATAAGTTCAACCCCAAGTTCAACCCCTTGGGTGTAGAGATTACTTAAAAATAAAATATTTTTTAAAAAAGATTATTTTGGTTGTTGGAATTCTTTGAGATTCTATCAGAATTTCAGGGTAAATTTTTCTATCTCTGGAAAAAAACCACTTGGGATTTGGGTAGGAACTGTATTAAATCTGTAGATCCACATTGGGCAGCATTGCCATCTGAACAACATTAAGTCTTTGGATCTGTACACATGGGATGCCTTTCCATTTATTTGTGTCCTGTTTAGTTTCTTTCATCAAATGCTTTGGCAGCTAAAGACACTGAAATCTTTGCTATTTTGATGCATTTAGAAATAAAATTTAAGCTTTTGTACTTTATGGTTAGTTCTCCATTGAGAACACTCTTGTAAAGGAACAGAAAAAAGGCTGATTTAAGAAGAGATGATGCAAAATAGTATCTACATTTGACTTTTTAAAACACGCATTATCTGAAGGTTGTTTTTTTCTTTGTGGTCAGTGGTGTACCCTTCTAATTTCCTTTTGCCCTGGCCCTGATTAGAGTCCATTGCATTTGGTAAAGGGGTTTTCAAGCCGTGTTTCTAGGAGTCGTCAGGGGGTTTAAGGAGGTGACTTCAGGGGCTGAGGGAGCCAAGTGGGCAGGGCTCCAGTGCACTCGTCCCTGTTTCAACCAGAACTCTTGTCTGTTAGTATCCTGTGTCCCCACCAGACTTAATGGGGTGGGGTGGTGAGGAATTGCTTCTGCAGCTAAAACCACCAGTGGTTTATGTACTGCTTGGGTGGAGGTCACCTGGATATGTTGTGTGAGAAGAAGCCAATTCAGAATTAAGCAAAAGTTGTTCATGACTACTTCAAGGAAGGAAGGGAGGAAGAAAAAATGTGTGGAGGCGGGGGAAGAAGATGGTATGTGTACCTCTGTTAACCCTTTGGAGTGGTTTTAGTGCACAGAGCTACTGAGCATGGGCCCACAGCCTCTTTCTTTGCCCTCCTCCATGTTTACATTTTGAAACTGTTTAAACCTACAGAAAACTCACAAGTGGTATAAAGAATACCCCTTTATCTTTCACCTGGATTAACTACATGTCAGCATTTTGCTGTGTCCTTGCTTTGTCTCCACGCATGCACGCATGCAATCTTTTTCGAGCCATTTGAAAGTAAATTGAAGTCATCCTGTTAGTTTAGCTGTAAAAACTTCATTTATCTACCCAAAGACGAGGGCATTTTTCTGAGTCAATATACTGTCATTACACACTGAAGAAATTGAATATTGGTTTGTTTTCTGCTTTTTTTTTTAAGGTAATCTCTACACCCAACATAGGGCTCAAACTCACGACCCAGAGATCGAGAATCCCATGTTCTACCGACTGGCCCCCTGGGCGCCCCCTGATAAAGTCTTTTGAAACGTCCTTCATAGGGGTGCCGGTGGCACAGTCAGTGACACAGTCACATGTCATTTGGCATCCGATTCTTGGTTTTGGCTCAGGTTGTGATCTTAGGATCATGAGATCGAGTCCTGTGTCTGGCTCCATGCTCAGCGTGGAGTCTACTTGGGATTCTCTGTCCCTCTCCTTCTGCCCTTCATACTCACGCGTGTGCTCGCGCACTCTCTCTCTCTCTCTCCGGAATAAATAAATCTGAAAAAAAAAAGAAAGAAAGAAATGTCTTTCATAGCAGCTCCCTTCCTCCTGATTGAGGATCTGGTCACAGATCATGCATTTTATTCGGCAGATCTCATCCACTTTAACCTACAGTACTCCTACTTTTCCTTTTTTGCCTTTTTTGACATTGGAATTTTTAAAGATTCCAAGCCAGTTTCTTGTAGAATGTTCTATTTTCTGGATTTCTCTGAGAGTTTCCTATACATAGATTTAGATCAGACGTTTTTGGTAAGAATACTACATATATGGTGTTACATGTTACTCAGTGGGTCACACAGGAAGCCTGTGACATCTGTTGGTCCCATTATTGATGTTGCTAAATTCAGTCATCACTTGATTAGGGTGGTGTCCACCAGATCTCTCTATTGTAAAGTTACCTTTGATTCTTTGTAAACAGTAGTAGACCACTGGGGGGATAATTTGAGACTGTGTGTATATTCTGCTCCCCGGAAACCTTTCACCCACTGGTTTGATGGTTCTTGCCTGAATCAGTGATTGCCTTGGTGGTTGCAAAATGGTGATTTTCTAATTATTTCATTTCTTCCACATTTATTAACTGATATTCTTTTGAAGGAAGAGCTCCCTCATTCTCTCCAGTGATCTCTCTATATTTAAATACACATACACGTATACATAAACACACACATATAGAAGAAAAATCAAGGTTTACATACTGGTAGCTACTGGTGGATTCTTCCTCACCTTCCATCATCCTACCGTGAAAACCCTGGTTAGTAATAACATCCATACATTAGTTTGAACCATGTGAAATTGCTCTTTTTTTATGTCAAAGCAATCTAATGTCTAGACTGTTTACTCATTGGCTACGCTGGCACTATTACCCAAAACAGGCCCACCAAGTAAAATATATTGGCTTTACTATGTACCGACAACGTGCTGTTCAGAAGTTGCTTGGATGAATTCTTTTTTATTCAGTGTGATTACGGGGTCAGTTTCTACTTTTCGAGTGTGATCAAAGAGCACACAGTGGTGTCGGTTGAGGTCCAGACCATATCACGATAGCGAGAAGTCTGGGTGAGCTGTAACTTGTTTCCTCCATGGTGTGCATGTTTCCTTTACGTGCAGAGATACCCTGGGGAAGTGCTTTTTCCTGCGCGTGGAAATCACTCTCCGAGGAGCTACCTACAGGATCTCGTTCAGTGACACGGACCAGTTACCCCCGCCTTTCAGAATTGACAACTTTTCTAAGGTATTGGGTGGGGTCATGAGCCAGTTTGGCTGTTTCATGTGTGGGAAGGTGGAGTGTAAATTATAAAGTACTGCCTTTAAGATAAGGGTGAAATGCATTTTAAACTTGGATTGGAAAGAAACTATATGGGGATCTCTGCAGCCGGACAACCCTAGACACCCTTACCCTCAGGAGGTGGCTTCTGCTAGTTAGTTTGATTGCTGGGCAGCCTTGTCCAGAAGTGACTTCTCAGCCCACCATAATCATTCTGACTGGATTGTTTGGTGGACATGGTGCCCTCTGTCCTCTGTAGACACTCCACACAAACAGAGAGAGGAATCAGAATCAGATTGTCCGGTGACAACGGGAATGGGCACCTCTCCTGTTGCTTCATTACAGTGAACATTTTTTATAAATCTTCCAAGGAAAGCCAAAATGGAAATCAGAAGAGGCTCTTTTAAATTATGCCTCTGAGGGGCACCTGGGTGGCTCAGTCATTGAGCGTCTGCCTTCAGCTCAGGTCATGATCCCGGGGTCCTGGGATTGAGCCCGCAATGGGCTCCCTGCTCAGAGGAGAGTCTGCTTCTCCCTCTTCCACTCCCCTGCTTATGTTCCCTCTCTCGTTGTCTCTCTCTCTCTCTCTCTGTCAAGTTAAAAAATAAAATAAATAAATAAATAAATAAATTATGCCTCTGAGTAACAGCATCTTATGTGACTTCCCATAGCTGAATTCCAGAATTTGTATTCCTTTCTGTGTTCAGAGTGGATCCCAAGGGGTTGGGTGGGGGGAGCGGTGAGAGTAGAGGAGATGGCCCGTGTCCTTTAGCTGTTGGGCTTGGTGCAGTTGGGAAGATGATTAGAAAGGCATTTGAAGAGGCTAGAGGATTATGCTTATGATTGTGGTTTTGCTCTGTGTAGGATTCGCTTGGGCAGGATCTGGAACTTGAGCCTAGGGAGCACTGACTCACTTTCCAGTAATACCGCTCTGAACGGAAGTTCTCTTTCTCCTCTCTGCCGTTACCGTAGGTTCCAGTGGTCTTTACTCAGCATGGGGTAGCTGAACCCAGGCTCCGAACCGAAGTGAAGCCCATGACTTCATTGGATTACGCCTGGGATGAACCCACCCTGCCTCCTTTCATCACGCTGACCGTGAAGGGGGCAGGCTCCTCGGAGCTCAACTGCAACATGAATGATTTCCAGGATAACCGACAGCTTTATTATGAAAACTTCATTTACATTGCTGCTACGTATACATTCTCGGGGTAATTCTGGGTTAAACTACTGTTCTCATAAAGCAGAAGGCTCTAATTATTAACTGGTTTTAAATTTTAAGCAGTTCTCAAGAGGCCCAAAGGATGAAGGAAGATTCCTTCCATTCTTTAACAAATCCTAGGCTCAGGGTCTATCTTGAGAGGTCTTAGGCTAAACCCTTGTCTTCTGGCTAGATTAAATTTATCCGAAGAGGCAAGACTGTTCTTTTTCTTTAAAGATCTCCCCAATAATCCATTCTAGCATTTAACAATCCTCCCATAAGGTATTATTCTCATATCCTCAGTTCCTCTTGTTTAAGGTGGTATTTTTTAGTATAATTTTTAAACTTCTTGCTATTTTTATCTCTTTCCTCATTTGAAACTGACTAATCTTTATCATAATTATTCAAATCGTCATTCTGACTCCCCTCTCCCATTGAGAATACTGGTCATCACCGATAGCCAACCAGAGTAGCTCAACTTGACAGTAATTCGAGCCACCTGAGAATTATAACCTTCACTGTCCTCTGACTAGTTGTATTTAGGAAACTCAGGCGAGGAATAGCAAGTTTATTCCAACTCTGTTGTTAGATTGGTACATAGAGATTCAAAACATTGGGCTTTCAAAAACTAGTCATTCCACCAACATGTAAATACAATTGATTGTTTCTGTGCCAGTTATGGGGCCAGTTTTTAAGTTTACCTGTGGGAAAAATGGGGAAAATAGCTAAATCTTTAGCACGACAAATATAACTCACTCATTGTACAGGACATTTAAAGTCAGATCCCTTTCCAAAATGTTCTGAATAATTTTGCTTATGAATGATATTTTTGTATGTGCCTGAGGCTCACAAAATAATCTCTGGGTCTGGTGGTACCACTCACCTACCTAGAGCCCAGATTTCACTAGTAATGAATTGAACGGGCATCTTGGCTTATAATAGCCATTCTTTTCCTTGTTTGTTACAGATCTCTTTGGAAATAATGGTGCTGGGTTGTTTATCTTGTTGTAATTAAGTCAGTCTGCCTGTTTCTTTTTAAAGATTATGGCACTTGCCAGAGTGACATGCTTAAGGTTTTAGTGCCTGAAAAACCAGTTCTTAATCTGTTGCTAATCATGTTTTTCTCTTTATGTTCTCATGTTAAATTCCAGTAGTTATTATGCTCTTTAACTGAAGAATCCTGATGGGTGATTATGAGTTTAATGGGTTGGGCAGATAGGGAGCAGATAAAACAAGACCTTCCTAAGAATCTTGGTGTGTAGAGAGATTGCACCATGTTTCAGTGTATTTTAGACACTATTTCTTTGCATTCTTGCAGAGAACAAATGCTGAGGAAGAGACTAGTTTTGTTTTTGTTGGCTTTTAGTTTCCGTTGAGGTGAAATGCACACAACATAAAATTAACCGCTTAAAAATGAACAGTTCAGTGACATTTAGTGCATTCGTGATGTTGTGCAGCCACCACCCCCATCTAGTTCCAGAACATTTTCATCAGTCCAAGAAGAAACGCCCAGCCCATTAAGCAGTTACTCCCCGTCACCCTCTTCTCCCCAGCCCCTGGCAACCAGGAGTCTGCTTTCTGTCCCTAAGGATTTACCTATTCCAGATATTTCCCATAAATTGAATCACCAATACGTGACCCTTTGTATCTGGCTTCTTTCACTTAGCATAGTTTTCAAGGTTTGTCCACGCTGTAGCTTGTGTCAGAATCCCCTACCTGTCATGGCTGAGTAATATTCTGTTGTATGGGCGTACCACACCCTGTTGTCCATTCCTCTGTTGATGGGCACCAGTTGTGGTCTCCCAACTTTCGGCCACTGTGAAGGGTGCTGCTGTAACATGCCTCTGCACTTGTTTGTTTAAGTACTCGTTTCCAGTTCCTTTGTGTGTACACCTAGGAGCGAAATTGCTGGGTTCTGTGGTATTTCTATGTGTAACTTTTTGAGGAACTGCTGTCCTGTTCTCCGTGGCAGCTGAATCACTGTACGTTCCCACTAGCAATGTACAAGCGTTCTGTTTCTCCACGGCCCCCCAACACTTGCTATTTTACATTTTTTTGATTGTAGGCTACCTCCTGGGTGTATAGTAACTTCTGCTGGTGGTTTTGATTTGCATTTCCTTAATAACTCACGATGTTGAGCTTTTCATGTGCTTATGGGCCATTTGTGTATCTTTGGAGAAATGTCTGTTCAAATCCTCTACTCATTTTAAAATTTATTTTTTTCCATCTTATTGTTGAGTTTGAAGAGTTCCTTGTATAATATGGATAAAAATTCTGTATGAGCTATATGATTTGCAAATATCTTCTCTCCCATTTTGTGAATTGGCTTTTTACTTTGTTCTTGGTGTCCCTTGAAGGGCAGAAGTTTTTAATTTTGTTGAAATCGGATTTATGTGTTGTTTATTTTTGCCACTTGTACTTTTTTGGTCATGAAAACTTAATTTTTCACTCCGAATTTACCGGTCCCTTTTTGATGATAGAGATTAGTGGAAACAGGAGAATAATCTAAATAAAATCTTATGAAAATACCCCAAAGTGTAGCTAGGCTGCAACATTCCATAAAGCTTAGGATTCTTAAGCCATGGAGAAACACAAAACGATCGAGTTGGAAGAAGGTGATTATAAACCCTTTGTTTTCTTTTCATCCTAAAGGGACTTCTGATTTCTTGCCAAGCCTTGGGGATGCAGTGATGCTGATCTTCTGTCTGGCAAAGAATAGAGCTAATTCTTGGACCCTTGGAATGTCTGGCTTAATTTGGGGGGGGCGGGGGGAAGCTCTAAAGTTATATAGTCATTCTTTTATGTCTGAATTTTAAGGCACTAAAATCATCAGCAGAGGGGAAATATCAGTATGTCTTCTGACAAGTGCATCTTTGAACTGTACAAGAAAACAGCCCAACCTTGATCTTTCCACAACTTTGAGTTAGACTTTTTCTTCTATGATTAAAAAAAAGTTTCCTCTTTACAGATGAGGTTTTAAGCATTTTAAGCATTTTCTTCTGAGTACTTGAATACACATTTGAGTATATGTAGATACATGTATGTCTATCTGCATTATCATCTTAATTCTAGTTTACAGGAGGGGACGGGAAGGCCTGTGGCCTCCAGCAAGACCACTGCCTGTGCAGAGCTTGTCTTGGATGTCTCACCAAAGACACAAAGAGTCATTTTAAAGAAGAAGGTAAGAGAACCTAGCACTTAGAATTTAGAAGAGGAGGTGTTTAGTCCTGGAGGGGACTCCGGTCATCCAGTCCAGCCCCTCCTCATGCACAGGGAGGGCAATGGATGCAGGCTGGATGGCTGGCTCAGGGCGGGAACACCGAGGTGCAGGAGTGACTTGAAGAGGAGGGAGATTGCCGGGGCACCTGGGTGGCTCAGTCGTTAGGCGTCTGCCTTCAGCTCAGGTCATGATCCCAGCGTCCTGGGATCGAGCCCCGCATCGGGCTCCCTGCTTGGAGGGAGATTGCCAACTCTGATTATTTAAATCACATTTCCCTGAAGGCTGTGTTCCCAAAGGTTTTCCATAATGTAAATTACACAATCCAAAAATAACCCTGGTAAGTGAATGTGTCTTTACCACCCCATTGCCCTAATGCTGACAAAGGACACCTTTTATAACCAAAAGTGGTATCAATGTGTGTCAGTGATGTAGCTTCATTTGGATTTGAGTTTGTGCAACTCCTCTCAAATTTTTAATTGGGGAAAGGGGCAGATTCAAATCATTTCAAATTTTGTACATCAAATGAAACCTTAAATGTGTTCTTAATTCACTTTTTATATTTGAACAGCTTTATTGAGGTATAATTCATACAGCACACAGGCCCCCGACTTACAGTGTACGATTCGGAGTTTGTAGTATACCCACAGATAGGCACAAGTGTCATCACACTCAATCCCAGAACATTTCATCACCTCTAGAAGAAACCCTGTTCCCCCCGCTCTTGCCCCATTTTCCTCTTACTCCCCAGCCCTAAGCAATCACTAACCTCACTTTCTGTCTCTCTGTACTTCCCTGTTCTAGACTTCCATATGAATGGTGTTTTCTGAGTGGCCTCTTGGCACTGAGCCTGATGTGTCCAAGGTTCACCCCTCTGTCACTCTATCAGTACTTCTGCATGTATTCTTGTACATATTCAGTTCAAAGTCATATAATTCAGATTTGCTTACAGTGTTATCACACTCTTTTTGTGCAAGGCTATGCCTATGTGTGAGATGCATTTTGGAAATAAGATTCGGGAATGGTGATGACTAAAGAGACCATGAGGCATAGTAATTAAAAGTAAAGGGGTCTGGAGGCTTTTACTGGGAATTCTGAAGAAGAAAAACTTTGAAAAGCAATAATCTAAAAATTAAAAGCAGCAGGTCCAACAGAAGTCAAGTGAATTGAAAAAAATGGCAGAGCCCTTGGAAATGATGTTGTCAGATGGCTTTCCAAGAATGTTCAAGTTGATGAGGATGTTAGCATGAATGGAGACAGGCTCAGGAGTAAAGGTGATTTGCCAGCTGGGATTCGAGCACCAGGTGTGATCAGCAAAACAGAAATGATAAATAACTGTAATTTCCAAGGGCTAGGTGACTGTGAAGCAGACAAAAACAGATTTTTTTTATGAAGTAGGAAAAACATTTTGAAAAAGATGTTATAATTTGTATAACATTTTTACTGCTGTTAATTTCCCTTGATGAGGATGAAAACTGGTACATAGGAGGGTAGATCTAAATGAGTTACGTTGACATCCCAAACTAGGCTATGTTCCAAGAATTAGCATTAGGAAAGGGTCCTCTGCTCTTCAACTGGAAACCAACAGTAGAAAGTCTGACATTTTGGGTTTTTGGTTGGTTGGTTGGTTGGTTTTTGTCCTTTTACTTTTTATTTTGAAAGAATCTCAAACTCAGAGAAAAACTGGCAGAAATTCTGTAGAAGGAATGCTGTGATTTTGATTTGTCCTGTTACTGTTGATGTTAACTTTAGCACTTGATGAAGGTGGTGGTTGCCAACCTTCTGTACTGTAGAGCAAAGTTTTTCTCTTTCCCTTGTATTTAGTAAATACTTTGTGGACAGGTACTTTGAGACTGTAGATATCCTCATCTTCTTCAGATTTTCTGTGTATTGTGTCTATGTATTGGCTTAGACTTCCATAATGAAACACTATAGACTGGATGACTGGAATAATGGGAATTCATTTCTCACAGTTCTGGAGGCTGGGAGGTCCAGGATCAGGGTGCTGGCCATTTGGTTCTCTGCTGAGGGTCCACTTCCTGGCTTGTAGACTTCCGCCTTCTCACTATGTCCTCAAATGGCAGAGTCTGAGAGGCGGGGGAGAAAGCAAGCTCGTTGGTGCCTGTCCTTGTAATGGCACTAATTACTAATTCCATCAGGAGAGTCCTACCCATATGCCCTGATCTAAACCTAATTATCACCCAAAGGTTCCATTTCCAAATACCATCAAAATTTCAGATTAGGTCTCTACCGTAAGAATTTTGGGCAGGGCTGTCAGTGTGGTCCATAGCTTCGTGTATGTCATCAGGATGGATTCTTCTTTTCTTCAGTGGGTTACCTGTTGCTGTCAGGATATATTTAATGCTTAATTCCCATATTCGGCCAGTGGGAGCTCTTTTATCTTCAGTGTCCTTTTGACATATACCCCTCATTCCTTGAACACGTCTGTACTTTCTAACAGCAGGTTATTCTGGGCTCATCTGTACTTTCCTTGCTGCATTTCTGGATTTGCCCCTTCTTCAGGGAGCCCTGATCCCTCCTAGCAGAGAGTGGAAGTTGGAAAGCTAAGATGCGTACACTAGGTGCACTTGTTGCTACTGTAGTGTCGTTTCCAGGCTCTCCCAGGAGATAGAGCCAGGGGTTTTCTGTGCACGGCATATGTGTACATACACACGAGTGCCCGCACCCACACTGTAATATATGTACATGTACATACAGAGTATACATGTGTATACACACACATATTCTATATAAGTATTTATATATTTTGCATATTTCTCTATCTCTGTATTTTAAGAACCAGCAGTTCACACTGATATTTCCAATTCCAGTCCAACATCACAAATTCATCCTAATTTTCTCCCTTCCCATGTTTGTAAGTCCCTTGTCCAGCACTAAGAACGTATTTACTAATTTGATCACTTCCTCTGAATGTAACCCATTTTCTGTCACCAGAGTTGCACCCAATCCCCTGTGTGAACACACGCTGGGACCTGGCTGGGACTCTGATCTCTACGTCCTAGACAGCAAGCACCCTTGTCAACCTCCAACCCTCACAGGAATGCTCTTCTCACCTCTCCCTGCCTCTGACGGCCCACACTAAGCTTCCAGCCTCCAGTCCCGTGGAGGACTGGACCATCACCTACCTTGGGCTTCAACACCACACTCTGGGCTGTCCACCCCCTCCCCCCACTGCCAACACTCACAGTCCCCATGGACTTCTGTCTTCCTCAGTGTCATCTCAAGGTTTTCAGGCTAAATTGTGAGGGAAGGAGGGCGGGAAGGGAAGTGGAAGGAGAATGGTACATCTCAGATTTTTTTTTTCATTTTATTATGTTAATCACCATACATTACATCATTAGTTTTTGATGTAGTGTTCCATGATTCATCGTTTGTGCATAACACCCAGTGCCCCACGCAGAACGTGCCCTCTTTAATACCCATCACCAGGCTAACCCATCCCCCCACCCCCCTCCCC